TGGAAGGGATCTCAAAGTTCATCTTGTTGCAATCCCCTGCCATGGGCAGGGACACCTTCCACCAGATCAGGTTGCTCCAAGACCCATCCAACCTGACCTTGGACACTTCCAGGGATCCAGGGGCAGCCACAGCTTCTCTGGGCAACCTGTGCCAGCATCTCACCACCCTCACAGAGAAGAATTTCTTCCCAATATCCAAGCTAACTCTGCTCTCCTAAGCTTGTCTTCCCTGCAGCAAAACAGGCCTTGACATTCATCCTTCACCACTCCTCCTTGTCCACTGATTCCCATCCCTCTGCCTCCTCCGGGCTGTGCCAACAATAACTGATTACAAAGCTTTGCTGCAAACCAGCTCAGGGACCTGACCAAGCTGAAAGAACTTGTCCTCCTCCCTAGCTTGTCTGCTATTCACATTATTTGCTCAATCACACACACCGTGGCACTGCCTCGCACACAGTCCAGGGGCGAGGATGGAACTTTGCCCTTAAACATTCCTTTCACAATAACAACATCTCTCTCTCCTTCATGGAGGCTGCTCACTGCTGCCCACCTCCCAACAGCACCGTGGGGCCAATAAACCAGGGCAGGTCACACAACCGAGGCAGCTGAAGAGTAACCCAGAGTCAGCAGAAAACGAGGGGCTGATTTTCATTTTGATCAGCTCCGTGCCCGAGTTCACCTTCTCACTGCTCAATAAAACAGTAATTCGAGACTAAGAGAGAAGGCTGGACTGAACCAGTAAGAGAAGATGATGAAGCAGCAGCAGCACAAGCTGTTATGCTGAATTAAACTGAACACAGAGCCATGCCCTAAGGGAATGTACTCCAGAGCCTACCAAATTTTGCTTGATTGGAGAGACATCGACAAATGCTATTCCCTCCACAGAATTTCAGGAGGGGCAACAAGGGGTGGCTGACGTCCTGAGTGAGACTGGACTCTGTCCTTTGACAGCTCTTCTAAGTCTCCATTAATTAGCTCTGTCCTACATTATCATGGCAAGACTTACAGAGTCTCTCCAATTTGCCACGGTGATAAACACTGGATAAGAGCAGAACAGTACCAGATCACAGGGACCTGGTAACTTTTGGGGCTAGAAAACAAAGGTCACTTTGAATCCTTACCAAACACTATATTCAAGACATCTTTTAACCTGGTTTTGTTAAACACTGGCTGCCAAATGGGGACCTGAAACACTCCCTAACCCTCCAACACTTCTCAAACATGCTTGGTATGAAAATAACTGCTCATCAGACCCTATTTGGAAAACAATAACATAAAAAAAATTAAGAAGCAAAAACAGAGTATGAAAATATTGTGGTTAAAGATAAGAGAAGATCCTGCAATAGGAATGAGAAACTAACATCAAATAAGTATAGGCAAGGTGCTCTCTGTATTATCCAGCTAAAACAGTGTACAGAGCCATTAAAATTACTGCAAGAATTACTAGACAGGCTTTACCACTGAAACCTCACACTATGACTGACACACATGTTATTATTTAGATATGGTCTGTCAAGTAGCAAAATGCTGTCGAATAGATAAAAAGCCCTACTGCAGTAAATTGCAATTTTTTTTTCAAACCAGAGCAGGTATGAAAGGGCGTATTAGTCTCATTTTTAAGAGACACAAAACCGGAACCACGTAGAGCTTTTTTTAGTACTTTACACTAAACACTTTCAAGAGCTGTTGGGACTTGAGGAGTCTATTCTGTACTGCCAGTGTTAACACAGGCAGGGGCTGGATGTGACAACAGAAACCTTCAGTCACTGGCATTTCAAGGGTCTCTCCAGCACTGACAAGGCCACCACTAACCCATGTCCCCAGCTGCCACGTCCACATGGCTTTTAAATCCCCCTCCAGGGATGGGGACTCAACCACTGCCCTGGGCAGCTGTGCCAGGGATGGACAACCCCTTCCACGAAGCAATTTTCCCTAATATCCAATCCAAATGGCCAGCTACTGGACAGACACATGCACCCTTCGCTAAAGGTTTGTAGCACGAGTGGCTTGAGCACTGCAGAAACTCAAACACTATATTCTAAGCAGTGCTAAAAACAAAGAAGCTGTGACTGACACCCTTTCCCCACCCTCTGACCCCCACTCCCAGACTTTGACCCCATCTTCCCACCCTCTGCACCACCTTTCCACCCTCTGAATCCCCTTCTCACCCTTTGCACCCCCTCCTCACCTTCTGAGCACCTTCTGAGCCTCCCCTCCACCTTCTGCACCCCCTTCCCAATCTCTGATCCCCTTCCCACTCTCTGCACCCACCTTCCAATCTCTGACGCCCGTTCCCACCCTCTGACCCCTTCCCACCCTCCGTACCCCCTTCCCGCTCCCTGAACCCCCTCCTCAACCTCTGAACCCTGTTCCCGATCCCTTCCCCCCACTCTGACCCCCGTTCCCACCCTCTGACCCCTTCCCACCCTCCGTACCCCCTTCCCGCTCCCTGAACCCCCTCCCCAATCTCTGAACCCTTTCCCCCGATCCCTTCCCCCCACTCCGACCCCCGTCCCCACCCTCTGATCCCACGCTGCCCGGTGCCTTTTGGAAGTTCCCAATCACTCCCAGCTGTTCGCCCGTGCTGACACGGCACGGACGGGACAGCGGGAGGGGGTAAACTCCAAGGGAGGGACAGGAACAGCTTCGGGGGCTCTATTTTGCAATTCCTGAGGGCAACACGAGCTGCCCCCCTTCCCCCCCACACCCCCCCTCCCTCATCGCCCCGGTTGAGGGGCCCCTCCAACCGGCTCCCTCCGCCTCAGAGCGCTGACGCCTGGCTCCCAGGGGTCCCTCCCGGTGCCGGGATCCGCGGGACGGGACACGGGATCCTCACCCCTCAGGAGCGCCATGGCCGCCCCGCTCCGCTCCTGCCCCCGCTCCGCGCCCCGCCGAGCGCCGCGCCTGCCCCGCACATTCGCCACGCCCGGGGCGGAGCGGGGCAGGAGCGGGCGGTAGGCGACTTGTTTGGCGTGCTAACCTACCCTTAATTTTAATATATTATTTTACGTATTTAGGATGTGTTGTTTTATTGGTTTTATTTTCTTTTTTTTTTTTAATGCGACCTCTGTTAGGTTCGATTTTTTCAGCGGTGGCTTTGGCGAATCGGCGGCGGGCGAAGCGGAGGGAAGGGCGGCGATCCCTGAGGGCGAGCTGAGCGCACGCAGCTGTCCCCGAACGCCTCACAGTAATTACATTAATTACAGTTAACCACAGTTAATCACGGTTAATCACAGAGTCATGGAGGTTGGACAAGACCGCCAAGACCGTCGAGTCCAACCTGAGCCCGATCCCCACCCTTTCCCGCTGCCCAGAGCCCTGAGTGCCACGTCCAGTCCTTCCGTGGGCACCTCCAGGGATGGGGATCCAACACCTCCCTGGGCGGCCCTTTCCAGCGATTAACCCTTTTCACGAAGATATTCCTCCCCATGTCCAACCCAAACCTCTCCTGGCACAGCTTCTGACCATAAACCTGCCTGAAGGGGTTTGGTGGAGGGTTGCAGCCCTGCTTTCCTGGACACGGAGGGAGGAGAGCAGGAGCTGCCTGCAGCCCATCGGTTTGACACCGTAAAGCCCTTGGATACTCTCATTTTTCCAACGCTGCAGACATGGAAAAAATAGGGGCAAAATGAACTAAAAAAGGCTACACAGCAGCATCCTCGTGGCCAAGTATATGTAAGCTCCCAGCTGCACCAGGGGATCCACAAAAGCCACCTTCCACAGCTCTGGTGGTTGAAAAGGCACCTTGAAGTATATAGTATGTACCTTGATTTATGTGCATAAATGCTTCAGTGGAACCATCCAGACTCTCAGACTGAAGATGAGAAAAATCAGTGAAGATATTTCACGTACAAACAAAAATTGCTGCATGTCTTTACGGACAAAATTTAAGTCCTATAAATTTTCTAGACGAAAAAATGTTTTCCTGTGGAGACTCACATTTTTTATTTACAAGAAACTTTCAACTGTTTTTGCTGCATAATTCCAATGATTTAATGAATCTATAAATCAGTGAACGTACAGCAACATGCAACTCCATCTTTTAAAAGAGCTGACAGTTTTCCCATATTTTCTCTCTCTGCCATTGACTTACCTCATTTAAGTCTCATTTAAAGTTGAAGGGAGGGGTTCTGCCCCTCTACCCCACTCAGGTGAGACCCCCCTGCAGAGCTACCCCAACCCTGGGAACAACAGCACAGGGACGGGGAGCTGCTGGAGAGAGCCCAGAGGAGGCCACGGAGATGCTGCCAGGGCTGGAGCCCCTCTGCTCTGGAGCCAGGCTGGGAGAGCTGGGGGGGTTCACCTGGAGAAGAGAAGGCTCCAGGGAGACCTGAGAGCCCCTTGCAGGGCCTAAAGGGGCTCCAGGAGAGCTGGAGAGGGACTGGGGACAAGGGATGAAAGGACAGGACAAGGGAGAATGGCTTCCCACTGCCAGAAGGCAGGGATGGATGGGATATTGGGAAGGAATTGCTGTCTGTGAGGGCGGGCAGGCCCTGGCACAGGTTGCCCAGAGAAGCTGTGGCTGCCCCTGGATCCCTGGAAGTGTCCAAATCCAGGTTGGATGTGGCTTGGAGCAACCTGGGATAGTGGAAGGTGTCCCTGCCCGTGGCAGGGGTTGGAACTGGATGACCTTTCAGGTCCTTTCCAACCCAAACCATTCAGTGATTCTGTGATTCAAGCACATGCACAAGGGCTAGTACTGCATCCCCTCTTCTCCATTAATTTACAGTGTCTTTGAAGGCCTTAAGATTCCACACTCAGTTAATTTCTAATTTGCTCAGATTATTTCAGCATCTCTGAAAGAAGCTATAATCTCTAAATTTTTCAGTGTCTTGAGTAAAAACTTTGATACTGTTAATGTTTTTCTAAAGTACTTTGTAATGCTTATAAAGTTACTTTGTAATGTTAAAACAGAAAAGTTTCCAAAAGATAGAAGGAAATATTGATAGAGGTTATTTTTTTACATTTCTATTTTTGACCACGAGACACAATTTCTTCAAAAGTGTTTATTTCACAAATTTTGTTTTTATCCCCATCTGAATAGCACAGTGACTATTACAAGCATTTTCTTATAAACAAAGGTGTAGTTTACAGATTTGTTCAAAATGGAAAAATATTCTATAAGCAGTAGTATTTCATCTACAGTATTCACTCATGTATATCATTCAACTTTGACAGCAGCTATACTTTCTGCTTGTTAAGGTAGACACTTCACACCAAAAAAAAAAAAAAAAAAAAAAGAAAAAAGAAAAAAGAAATAATCCCCAAACAAATAAAATAGACATTGCAATACAGTAGCACTTTTTTTTTTTTTAAATACATTTTTTTCCTTCTAATTTCAAATTAATTTGAAAGTCCTTTTCCACTGGCATTCACACCTTGAAATAATTTGGATACTCATCTGGGAATATGTCTCCTGGATTGCTTTACTTATCATCTATCTTGCTCAAATTTCTTTCAGAAAATAAATAATTAATTTATGACTGTTATATATACGTGAATCAACAAAGAGGAAAAAGACTCATGGTTGTTCATGCAATTTATTTTAATCAGCTTCTATTTATATGCAATGATAAAATGCTAGTTTTTCAGTTAATGGTCTGAAAAAATAAGTTTGAACAATTTTATTAATTTACTATTGAGAATGGAGGGAAATGACCTGTTGTTTCAAGTGCAGCTTTTTTATTTGTATCTTTTGCAAATCACACAAATAAAAGATCATGTCCAGCAAAGATTTCAGTGAGCGAGTTGCAGGATGATTTAAGGCAGCCACTCTGCTTAAAACATGCCCACATTTTGTTACTCATATAAAGAAACTCTTTTAGATCAAGTGAAATAAATTGCATGAGCAAAAAATGATCATGATGTAGGACTTCACAAAATCAGTCTTAAGGTCCAACATTCTACAGCAGCTTTACCAGACAAGATAAGCAACCTCAGCTACAAAATGACAATAAAAGGAAGAAAAAAAAAAAAAAGCAGAGGAAGTTTCTGGTGAAAGTGAAACATGGACATTGTCCTGGATGCTTCTTGTAGGTCAGCCAGCACATGCCTGAACTTCTGGTTGAAACTAGTTTTGTAATGCTGCTGATTTATGTGATTTGGGGGGTTTTGAGGGTTTAATTTATTTTATTTTATTCCCAATAGTGCTTTTCTAAGATACATTATACATGCAACAGTCAGCATGGATCAGTATTGGGTTTTTTCCCTGGGAACTTCAAAGTGTTTATGCAGACCTTGTCAAAGTAAGATTTTTTAAGTAGGGTTTTAACTCCACAGACAACTTTTTCTATGATCAAATAATAAAAATATTCTCCTCTTTTAATGCTTTTCTCAGAGAAAAAGGGGTTGAGCTAAAGGCACAGAGTGGGAAAATGCTCAACTGAATAATCAATATTTAAAAATAAAGACAGATCTGGAGAAGAGCCAGCGTTCTCAAAGCCATGCTTTGTGTTCAATTAGCTTTTTAAAGAAAGAAGTGCTAATCTGAGGAAAGGCATGCTCAAACATAGCGATTTGACTAATATTTAAATACAAATTTTAAAAACTGCTAACAGAAAAGGTAACATATATTAAAGATATTACATACAGTGTATGTAATATCCTCTTTCAGATGGATCTTACTGGATAAACTACATGATCACAGATCAAGACGTTAAATCCCAGTTCCCATCTATACATACCAAGAGTTTTTAAGAAAGTACATATAAATTATGATCCTGAACGTGGAAGGACCATTATCCCCTAGAAGACCATTAAGCACATTTTATAATTGTGATCAGGAACAAAATTGTTGCAGAAGAGGATTCTGCAGCAACCTGTCATTAGTCTGAGTGATGAGCATTGGTTTAATCAATCTGTTGGGAATTGTACTCCAAATAATTTACATCAGTGAGAGGTAGAGACCTGAGGTGCCTGAGAGGAAACTGCTGACCTACTATGAATCCTGAGCAATAGCTCTGTGTTAAAACCACCCTACAGAAAGGCTGAATTCCGCTTGGAATTATCTTTTCTTTGAACCGTGATGACTACTAGAGTTCGGAAAGAAGGGATGGGAGACAATTAAAAAAATTCAGAGCACTGCAAAGACATTCACTGCGAAAAGAGGTAGGTACAAATAAATAAAGATAGCGTAGATGAGCGGGTGACAGGAGTGTGGGCTTGCTGGGCACAGACAGCAACCTGGTGGCATTGAATATAAAGGGGAGATGAAGGCACTACTTGAATACACAGCAGATGTGAGTGCTCAAGGACTGTAGTTTGGAGGTAGTGCTGGCTCTGTACTAGCAAAACATCTTCTATGATTAGCTGGGTGATGGTTAGGGGGGAAAAAATATTTTCTTAGCCTTAAGTGTGTCCTTCAGTGGTAACAGCTGTTCTAAACCAGTCTCCATTTGAAACAAGGTATTTACCCACTGGTATAGACCAACATAGTTCTTCACAGCACTCAACCTTTCCTTTAAAAATGTGCTTTCCTTTAAAAGTGTACTATATACAGATATCTAGTACATACAGGACTATTACAGTTTGTATATACATAGATTATATACACGATGTTTAAACCAAAACACACTCCTTGCCTACAATGGGTAACTGCAGTAGACAGGAGCTAATGTACCTTCAAGAGACTTCACATTCTTCTTTAATCCTCTGAGCAGACAGCGTACCAGTGCTTGGATATCTCACCTCTCATACCCAGAGACCTCCAGCAATGAAAGAAAAAATCATTAAAGGAATTTAAAGAGGTCTTTAAATATGGACCAAACAGGTTTATGGAAGAACCAGTGCACAGTAGTATATGGATGTTGAAACGTAGAGTAAAAAAAGGGACTGGTCTGTATGTCTTTTTTTTTTGTAATTTGTGGCTCAGAAATACGGATACTTGAAAAATAGATTTATTTTTTACTGCTTGGTCTTATGTTGACATAGTTGAAAACCCATAATCGTCTCCAAAAGCCACTAACAAAAAGGAACAGGAGGTGGGAGACAGCAACGGCCTGGGACGTTGCTTATTTCCACTGATGTGGAATTTGTCACAAAGTCTACGTTTGAGAAATGCTGTTGTTCCTCCTAACTATATCCAGTGCATCTGCTTCGTGGGAATTTAAATAAATTGGTAGCGTGGACTTTCCTCTATTACCAAATTTATGTTAGCAAAGGTTGTGTTGTAGTGAAATAACCGTGATACAAGAAACAGCCTTAAGCCTTCTGCTTGTAGACTAGTGTCACCCTTTAGCCATCAGTGTGCTTGAAGCAAGCGTGGGTAGAGCCCTTCTCAAATCTTCGTTTGTGAAGCCTAGCCCTGATGATGATGAGTGTCATCCTGATCCCTACTGTTGGCTTTCCCTGTGCTCGTTAAGTGTCAAAAACTCTCATCCAGTGGCTATCAAGGTTCTTGGACCTCTGACATGGCGTGTATCAGCATCTCATGCATCGATCATGCTAAGGCAGCCCAGTTTAATTACAGAGTCCCCAACACTAATTAGTTCAGTGGTAAGTCCTAGCTCTAGCTGCCCGTGGAAAAACTTTGTTCATGTTGGTAGCCACCCCAAAATGTTACCAGTCGTGCAAATACAGGGGAGAACACTTAAAAAAAAAAAAAAAATAAAAGAAGTGAAATGTTCTAACACAAAAAAGGTTGTCAGATGGTGTGTTGGTAACGTAAGCCATTTCTTTAAGAGTGAACACCAACTCTTTGTCTACAATGACCTTAAATGAATAACTGCAATCAATGCAAACTCTGTTAGGATTTTTTTAAACCAAATTCATCAGCTTTAGTTGAGATACAAACCAACCTTCTGACCTCACCACACTGATGTTGGAGGGCACACTAGCTGCTCGCAAAGACAGTCACTGTTTTTTCTTGGCACTTCCACAACACATTGAATTTTCAGTGGCTGCTGGGCAGGGAAAGAGGTGGGTTCCCACGGCTGAGCGGTGCTACCCAACTGCTCAGGGTGGTGATGCTCCTACCATAGCACAGCGTGCCAAATTGCAACCAGGATGTTCGGCAGCCAGCATTCTGCTCTTTCCACTTCCATAAGGATCTTGTCTAAATAGATCTTAACCTACCTGCTTTTGTGGTCGCAGTTTCTTTCGTGCCCCGCAGTTCCACTATGATCAAAAAGCTTTCAAAGAAAAACCCAATCTCTCTATCTGACTACTTTTATTTGGCGTAAATGCTTAATTCTACTTTCTTCAGACCTTATTGAGAAAATCCAAGTTAAGAGAAGCAGGGAGATGAATAGAGTCCATGGTGATGGAGGATGGGTTGAACGGGAACACAACTGGGAAGATGTGCTTGAAGTCTAACAGCAGCTGTGGAGAGTCATTCCGTTTCTCCAACTGCTTCTGTGAGGTGTGGAGAAAAAAACAAATTTAGCATCACTTGTTGCCTTTTCTTTGCCTATGTGGTGTTTAACATCATCAAAGGTTTGAGAATGTACATAATTTTATAGATACTGCAGAAAACAGTGAGAACTACTTTGTTCTCTATTGCAGTAGCTTTCCTCTGAGCAGGGAACTTCTACACAGACTGTTGAAAACACTGCTTCAGGAGAACCTGGCTACATTTTCTACATGACCACAAAGCAAGATACAGGGACCCAGAAGCAACATGACCCCCTTGCACAGAAAAACCAGCACTGCACAATACCAGCAGTCTCTCTCTGATACAGCTGCTCAGTGACAGAGACATATTCTAGGGGTAGCTGAACACATTTCTTTTTCCTGCCTCCTCCTTCTGAGCATTAAAAGGTATTTGGTTTTAATTTGTTTATTTTTCCTTTAGTTCCCGATTTCTACTTCATGGCTTGGAAGCAGCTCCATTTCAGCAATATCTTGCTGGCTCCTGAAACCTTAATCCTAAATCATGTTCCTACTAAACAGCTGAACTAGCTGAGTTGGGAATTTAGATGCTTATTTCTCTTTGTGATTAACAGCCTAGTTATCCCTGCAGCTGTGTGTGTTGTAGGTGTGTCCTAGGCAGCACGCCTATTACACAGTTCCAGGGTTAACAATGATTTAATACAGATGTCACTAGAATTGCACAGATGCCATTTGTGCCCTCCAGGTTACAGCCCTTTAAATTTACCTGTATGTCTCGTATGAAAGCTACTGTCACACGTTCTTCAAACTCGTTCACAGGAGTGTAGAGATTAAGAATCTTTACGATCTGTTGGAAAAAAAATAAATAGGGTTACAGACAGACATGAGAAGCCAAACCTTTCCAGAATACACCACTAACAGCTTGTCATATAAGGCCATAAAAAGTCTCCTGTGATACAGCTGAGAAGCAGAAGCAGCACTGGTGTTTTCCTTTGCCCCCTCTAAGTTATTGCAATGGACCTTTCAAAGTCACTTCTTATTGCAAAGTTTGTAAACTGGGGATAGACTTGGACAACAGGTTTGTACAGGGACTCCACTTGGTTGGCACACAGTGTTACGGGTGACTTCAGATGTCACCTCTACAATGTTTCTCTTGATGTTCCCTTACTCCTGCTCCTCCCCTACTATCCTTCAGCTTCTCTCAAAAACACATGTTCAAGATGGGGACATGGAGAAAGAACCACTGGAGATCAGTTCACACCTCTCACTTCTTCCTTCTCAACACATTATCAAATTAGACTGGGCAATCCAGCAGCAAAAAACATGAGTTTATATCCTCCTGGGGCGTAGTCTCAAAGTTTAAGGTCAGTGCCTAGGTGGGCACTTCTCAACCTCCTGCTCCAAATAGGAATCCTTGGTGGGCATTCTGCACACCTAGCCAGGTTACACCTGGCAGAAGACAACAGGTGGGTTAAAATCTCAAGGGTTTGACTTGTAGCTTGAACTCCTCAGGGGTGAGTTTCATTTCTGCAGATTGCCACCAGTGGCACTGTAAGAGAGGAGCCACCACAGTGACCACCTCTGAGAGGAGTCACTGCTGAAAAGGACAAATTGTCCCCACCGAGGGAATGGCAGACTGAGGCTGGGCAGTGAAGAACTGGCACCAGAGGACCAACTTTTTCCACTCTGTTAAGTATCCATGCCCTCTGGTGTAAACCTTTGCCCTGCTGCCTACCTGCTGGGTCGTGAGTGATGTGCACAGGGAACAGATGGCCTCGGCGTCCTCCGAGGTTTTCTTCTTCAGCTGCAGAAGCTGTGCTGCCTGAATCAAGGGCACCAAAGTCTGTGCTGCTCCACTCTGCTGCAGGTTCTTCCCATGCAGCCATTCCTCCAGCTGGCTTATGTTAAACCTGGGTAAGCAACCAAGACAAGACGCGAGCTCAGAGATAAGGCGTAGCAGCTCAAAAATCCTCCGTGAGGCTCAAGGTATGTTGCAGTGCTGGTATATGTGGCTTTTTATGATGCATAGCTGTGGTACACGTGGCAAGAGACTATTAGAACAAAGCTTAATACTAAACTCAGAGAAAAATTTATACTCTATGTACCTTACAAATAGATGAGCCATGTAACAGCAGAAGAGCACAAGGGAGGTGCTTTTCTATAGCATTCAGATTCCTTCAAGTTTCAACTGCCAGTTAAGATGAAGCTTTTAACCAGCTTTTAGACGCTAACAAAATCCTGCAAGGTACCCAGGTACCTTTGAAAATATCTCCACAAAAGCTTTTGCTGTTCCCACTCCCCAGCTCAACGGGAGCACACAAAGCTCCAGTGTGGAAAGGGGAGTGGGTAGCAAGAGGAAGATTTAAATAATTTGCTCTGAGAAGTGCACTTAATAAAAAAAAGCTTCCTCAAGCAGCCCCAGCCCTGCCCCAAACCCCAGCCCCACCTCAGCTGCATGCCCGTGCTCCACGAGCAGACATCCTTCCTCAGCAGCAGGTTGTTCAGGGCAACTGCGTTGATCATGTAGAAGATCTGCCTGAACACCTGCTGGACGATCTCTGGGTCCAGACCCTGGTCACACATGATGCTGTGGAACATGTTCAGCTGGTGGATCAGGTCGTCCAACCCGTAGGACATGACACTTTCTGACGACTTGGAGATGTATTTCCTGTAGCCCATCGACTTGACACCAGAAAGCCCTTGGATACTCTCGTTTTCCAACATCGCAGACACTGAAAAAAAGGGGAAAAACAAGCTAAAAAAGCCTGTATCCACCTACTTACTAATCACTAGAAGGAAGAATAGATTCCTCTGTGGGCTGTAACAAACATGTGTCGGTCTCAGCGATGCAAGTGCTGGGTGATGCGGGGTCTGAGAGCAGGGCAGATCCATGAATTGCTGGTTTGTTCTGATAATATAAAACAGTTAAAAAGTACACAAATATCATGGAATCCTAGCATATTATGGGTTGGAGGGGATCTTAAAGGCAGGTCCAACTCCCCTGCCATGAGCAGAGACACCTTCCCCCAGACCAGGTTGCTCCAAGCCCTGTCCCACCTGGCCTTGAACACTTCTAGGAATGGGGCACTCCTCATATTCAGGGATTTGGCCAAGGAGGTAACTCTTCTCATAGTTAGTTCTCTTATACTTGCAACACAAGGTCTTTATAGTCTTTTTCCTCTTCCCAGTTTTCTCCTCTGCACATTTCCACCCACGAAGAAGTTAGCCATGAGCCTGGTGCGGAGGGGAACCCACCAGCACCACCTCACCTCTCTCACTACCTCCCCAACAGAGAGGAAAGAGATATCTTCAATCAAGGCGCAAAAAAAACCCTCAGCCCCGTTGGTTTCTATCATAGGGGTAAATAAAAACTCTCCCAGGTCATGTTAGCACTGTGCAAAGGTCTGGAAAACAGCCAGAGAAGATCATCTCAGCCAGGAAACACCCTCCTAGAGGCTGTGAACTCACCGATCATGGGATGCAGGATGCCCTGTGCTATGTTAATGAGATGCTGGTAGATCTGGATGGAGAGGTGGTTCAGCACCTGGCGGTACTCAATCAGGTCAAAGTTCTTCAGACAGTGCTCGTTCTGCTTCGGCGTGTTTTGCGTCGCGAAATCCTGAACAGAAGGAGAGAAAAACACCCAGGTTCATTATTCCACCCATTTACAGCCCTTCAAAATCACTGCATCAAAAAAAAAAAAAAACCCTCACACCCTCGGAGTACAATATACCCAAAGGACATTTTTACTCTATTATAGAAAAGCTCAAGACTCATAAATCACCTTTGATTTACTCAGGCATTGTTCATAAATTATTACTAGAGGACTACTTTTTGAAGAAAATCATTAAACTATCAGTTTTTTTTTAGCAAGGAGCAACGTTTGTATTAATTGCAGCACACAGAAACTAGAAAATGACATTTCAGTCCCAGGGAAATTACTTCTTAGCTATGTGCCTATCCCTTTGAGCTGCAATTGGGAAACCAAGTATTCAGAAATTAAGATTTTAGAAAATTGAAGAAAAAAAATATAACTGCGTGCCATGTAGTGGCTTTGACAACATTCAAATTGACCTGAGGTTTATAAATCTCTCCAGATAGCCAAATTTGTTGCTGAAGAAGCAGCTGATCTCTGATAATGAGTACAGATGCTGTAAACCCCGAGGTCTGGGTTCGAATATTAATACCAGTTTTAGAGGCAGAAGCAAATCTGATGTACCTTAATTTTGTAATTATCACAGATGCTTTAATTGCCTGATCATATGGTCTTATTTGGTGTCAAAGTGAGAACTATGCAAATGCTTTTGTTGGCTGCTGACGAGCAAAATACAAAAAAAAAAGTGCAAATTTGAGTTGATTTCACAATTTCCCCATTTTCCTGACTAATCAAAGAACATGCTCTTCCCATGAAAAGAGTGCACATAGCTTGGGATTTTCTTTCAGGTCTTTTCTTAAAAATAGGTTGAATTCAAACTAAAGATAACAGTATTTTTGAAACTGCTCAGAATTATTTTTCCCTCTCTGTTTTTTGCACCCAGTTATCGATAGAATTCGCAAACAGCTGATTCATTTAAGACAGTAAATCATAGCAAAGAATGTGAAATTTAAGTTTGGGTTGTTTTTTTTTTTTTACCCTGCTGGTTTTCTGGGCAGGATTTTCTTTAAATGTAATATTATTATCCAGACAGAAGAGGGCAAACAAGAGCATAACTACTGGTAACTATTCTCTAAATTATTTCCCTTTTTAATTTAAATTTTAAATATTCCAAGGCTATCACTGTGGTTTTACACACAAATCATTATCTTTTGAATGACCTGAATAGTTATTTTCATTCCTTGAAACTGTTTTTTATTTATTCTTGAAATCTGAATGCTCAATATATCTAAGAAAAATCAAAACTAACAAAAAACCCGAGTATTTGGCTCTGCTGGAAAATATAATATGCAGAATAGATAGCTACAAGGATGGCAGCATGCATTGTTACAAAAGGACTGTGATAATCTCATTTTGTTGGAGGGGATCAGCTATAACAGAACTTACTTCAGCTTAGGAAATATTACTGAGGTGGGAAGAAGTGACAGAATTTCCTTCTGAAATCTTGTGTTACAATTATCCATGAGTGACAGGACAAGGGGGAATGGCCTCCCAATGCCAGAGGGCAGGGTTAGATGGGATATTGGGAAGGAATTGCTGGCTGTGAGGGTGGGCAGGCCCTGGCACAGGTTGGCCAGAGAAGCTGTGGCTGCCCCTGGATCCCTGGAAGTGTCCAAGGCCAGGCTGGAAGGGGCTTGGAGCAACCTGGGCTAGTGGAAGGTGTCCCTGCCCATGGCAGGGGTTGGGACAAGATGGGGTTTTAGTTCCCCTCCAACCCTAATCATTCTGGGATTTTATAATTCCAGGATCTGCCTCATGCTATATCCACCTTAACAAAGGAGGGATGTCAGAGATCACCCCAGGGAGGGTTAGAGGGAAGGCACTGGACCCAGGAGACTCAAGGACCCTCCCTGGAGGAATCCCAACACACTCCAGACCGGCGATGGTTTCTTACCTCATCTCCACTGTACTGCTTTAGGCAGTGCAGGAGGCGACACGTGTTCGCCAGCCAAAACGACGTCATCTCAAAGTCACCAGGGTGTTTCTGGACAAACAACATTAAAACGTGTGAGATCTCCCCTCCCCTTCCTTGAGGGATGTTCGGCGCAGCAAGACAAAGCAATTTTGAGTTTCTCCACACAGTTATCAGGCATCTTTCCCTCTGCAGGTGGGCAGTATTAGCCACTTCCTCCAAACAAACTTTTTTTTTTTTAAAATCCATAATTGTGAACAGTTTTATTGCTTAGATCATAATTTGCCTTCGTTCTTCTAAAAAGGGAAGCTCCAAGAGTGACTTGGTTTGCAAATCACTGTAAGAGCTGAACGTCACACACCTGGACACGGTTATTACCATTTTACAGCATCTCAACCCCAAGACAAGAGCAAAGGGACACCTGCCTTCAGCACTTTCTTAATGCCGTTGATGGTGGAGGTAAGCAAGGAGTGCACCTTCTCATCATCGTTGATGTAATCTGCATGTCTGATGCACATGCAGAGGATGTAGGCAGGAAGGCAGGGAACAGTAGCAGACACTGCCTGGGGCTTGAGTTCTAGAAGATGTGACAAAAAATAAAAAAAAAAAATAAAAAAATTTTAAAAAAAGAAAACCAAACACCACAAAAAAACCCCAAACTTAAAATTTTACCAGCTGACAGGGGAAGCAGAGAACACCAGACCTGGAGATGTACCCAGGCAAACCCTTCTTTCCCCAGCCCTGGGGAAGATGATATTTTGGCTCTGCAACTTGCATCCCTCCCTGCAGCATGGACACAGAACCAGAGGTCCAGCTGCAGGACAGATGGACCTGCTGAGGAGCCACAGCACTGGGGCTTGGGAGGGTAGCTCTGCCTGCACTGAGGTGTGTGACAGTATCCCATTACACCTTATGGATGCACAGGTAGGGTTAGAGCTTCTGCACCGTGTAAAAGCCTACCCCAGCAGCACACAAATCACCTTAGAAAAGGCTCCTGAAGCTTCTAGGTGTACCTCCCACAGTTTATACCCGCCCTCTTCTGAACTGATGACACAGTAAATCGCTCTTTCTGTCAAGGTACTGAATCCTAATTGCAGCTGAGGGCACTTGTAGCCTCTACAGAACAAGCCTGTCTGATTAGGGGAACTTCAAAGACCACAGCAATGGGTAGCACTGCTCTTTGAACACTTTTTGGATCCTCACAAGGCTCTGCTGGGATTACAGTGTGGTGCTAAATACCAACACCCTTCCAGGGAAGTACAGAACAGGGGGATGCTGCAGTAACTCTGATCAGTCTGTGCAGCAGAGAAGAGCTCACAGGTTCATTATCTGTTATTACCTCATAAACCAAACTGCCTTTGTTCCACTGCTGTTCCAAATCCCCAGGGTCTAACCTTCTGCTACCCCCTCCCCAAGTTACTGCCTACTCTAAAAACTGCAGCCTTGTTTTGCATTTCCAGTTTTTTGCTATCCCTAAGGATTACATCCCTGCTGGTCTACCTGCTCAGTGCAGCCACTTTACCTACCCCAATTGCCACTGGCACAAACGTGCAGCCCCAGAAGGGGTTAATTTGAGATGATCTACTTGTCTACCTTGATCTCTCAAGTTCACAAACGCTCCCAGGCAAGAGAAGCACGAGTCAGGTAGAGGGGCAGAGGAAACTCCTCACCTGTAATGAGGTTTCGGATGAGGAGTGGCTCATCTTCGTTATGATACTCCAACATGCCCTGAAACTCTTTCTCCTTCCTCTGGACAGCAACTTGCATGTTACTGTCATGTGGCCTCCTCTCTGCTGGCGGCATGGTTTGGGATGCTGTGAGGAGAAAAGAGCACGAATGGTGGTACCTGGAAATCAAGAACTATTCAGGTCCTACAACGGCCTTACTGCAGACACCAAGTCAAAGAGTTATATAATAAATTCCCAATAATGTCATCAGCTTTGACAGACCTATAAAAAAATATAAACAACCAGGTCTTGAATTACCAGTCATCAGACTCTGAATGAAAGAAGAAGTGCAAAATTTGAACTTAATAGAGGAAAAAAATGAACCTCATTTTTTATTTTCCAAGAGACCACAGGCTAGAAGGTAGTAATCCTGTGGGAAGCTCTTTAGTGTATGATTTTCACAGATGGGGGGAAAAAATAGGCAGGCAGTGACAAATCCCTAAGCATCACGTCTTCTGTCTGTTAGAAAAGCTGCAGAGCCATGGTGGCACCGCTGAAGTTTAATAAAGCAGAAGAGATCAGCATGCAAATACTGCAGCAAACAGCATGCAAATCACACTGACAGAGACCAGCTGGGTGAGCCATGGAAACCCTCCAGTTATTCAGCTTAATTTCACTTAATGCCTCGTTTCCAGGAATTAGCTCATGAGAATGGGGCCCTGTGATTAATCACGGCTTCTCCAGAGAACAAGAAGCTCTTCCTGCACAACACAGATGTCACATTTGAGGTGTTTTCTCATCAAGAATATAAATACATATTTTTATTCCTAAAGGGTTGTAATCCCTCCTCAAAACTGATAGATCAGAGCACTTGCCTGATAGCCACTAGTCTCCTCTCTGTAGCTCTGCCTGGATCGCTGCACTGAATGCAATGAAAGCAAAAAGGTCTCTAAATACCCTCCAAACCTCAGTACAAGGTCAGTGTCAGCTCAGTGCCTGCTGCTAGTTCAGTGCCAGAATGAGCAGAATCTTACTTTTATAGAAAGAAAGAGAAAAAAACCCTTGCAGCTCTCCAAGGCTCATCAAAGAAGCAAATCCCAAATACGGTTCCCCCACCCCAATGCCTTCCAACAGCCACGTCACCTTCAAAATCCTGGACCTTCTTCATGTAAATCTTCAGCTGCTTCTTCAGCTTCTTTTCATTCTTTTCCAACTTTTCTACTATTTCTTTTAGATCCTGAAAAACATAAGAAGCATTTTTTAAAAAAATACCCCCAGCGTTAAGCCCAACAACGACTCAGCTGGGGTGAGTTTAAGGCTGGTCTGGTCTTTGAATCACCATGGCGTGGTGTGTGTATCTTGGCGGAAGAAGAGCGATGTTATTTCTGGGTTGCTCAGAAAGACCCTTACCTCCACCACAAAGACTGTGAACGCTGGGCACCTGCTTTCTACAGCAAGCAACACTCACCACCCACAGTATTTAATCCTGGCTGTTAATCACAGTTAAACAGTTCAAACACCATTCAGATACCAGAGCTTTTGGGACAGGTAAGAAGCCCTCACCTGAACTCAGGAGGTGCCAATGCTCCCTCCAGACCTTGCACACAGACATAGAAGGTGAGAAAGGGGAAATTTACGATCAGGTAGGCCAACTTTTTGGAGTGGCAACTGCCCCTCTACACTTCCAGAAAATGCAAGAAAGATGAAAGGATTGTGTGGTCTTTGTGTGTAAAGACAAGAGTAGAGGCATCACCAGTGATATCAAGTGGAAGGCAGTGCCACAAAGCAGACAGGCTTTAAAAAACACTAAAAAATAAAAAGGATCTATGTAGTTACAAAAGTCATACAGCAATAGAATATCAGCTCGAGGTCAGGCACCAATGTTCCCAAATGCATCAGGGAGATCCTGATGGTTCTGCAGAGAGTTTGGGAGGAGTGGAAGAGATCCCTGTGCCCTGTCCTCCCCTCCCCATCATGTTTCCTATCTCCTTTCTCCCAACCTGTTTTTTTCCCTTCTTCCTGTGCTTTCTGCACAACCTCTTACCAGGTTTTCATTGGTGAGACGTGTAATTTCTTGCTGAAGTCCAAACTCCACCTGGGCTCCGGGAGAGAGCTGCAGGGACTGCAGGGAGGCCTCCTGCTGTTTGTGCAGCTCTTCTTGTGTTGCATCCAACTTGTTTCTCAGAGCTTCTATCTCCTCCTCGTGCGCCCTTCTCTGATCTTGGAGCTGTGCTTCCAGCAGCCTGAGAACAGGACCACACTGATCAGACTGTGATTTCAGCATCAAGGTAGTCACCAGCATTTAGGTTGGTTCAGTCCTTCAAAATTGGCCACCCTGGGATACATTCCCAGTCAACCTCCCTATAAAACTGACAAACACGAAGCTATGGCTGTTATTGCCACATTAGTCTGTCATTTCCTATACTGCAGATCAAATGCTTTTGAAATTTAAAGACATGACATCAAATGTTGGGTGGGTTTTTCTTTGTTTGGTTGGTTTTTTTTAAATGAAAGGGAAAAAATCCAAGAGCTCCCATTTTATATTTAACTGTACCAGAAGTTTGGGTTCATCTACTTGCAAAAAGCAAACACATGGCAAGAAAGCAGCGCAGACCAACACATGCAGGTTTTGTTTTCAAAAGCCCAGGATCTTTTTTTCTTGCCCTCATTTCCTGTCAAACACCATTTCTTACTTCTGAAAACTGAACTGTAGGTCTTGCAAAGGGTTCCATTCAGTTGGAATGCCACTGGCTTCTGTCACTACTGCTGGGACTGCTGAGAAAGGCAGAAGCCCTCATTCTTTCTAGTTGTTTGTAGAGCTGCTATGTATCTTTGTTTAAAAAGAAATGTACTCACAGGTATTACAATTTTCATTTACAAACTACCTGCAGAATACCACGCACAAGGCAATTTTCTGTCCCCTTGATGTGTTCCTGCTTCCAACATTGCTGCTGACCTCACTAAGAGTCTTCAAGCAGGGGGACAGACTAGTTTCCTTCTAGCCCAGGACATGCAAATACTAACACCATGATTCACAGCTGAGAGGAGTCACCAAAACCACCCCTTCTTCTACTTTTTAGGTGTGCAGTCAACATTTTCCTCTAACAAGTTGTCCTGCCAACCCTTCCTACCCTCCTTTCACTTACACCTTCCAGGTCACCTTCCAGGCCTGCCCCGAGGCTCCGCACAAGGACAGCCACAGCAAAAGGATGCAGCATGTGTGGAGGGCCAGAATGCCTTCTTAAATACCACAGAAGAATGATTCATCACTAAGAGGTTAACTGCAGACACCTGTGCTGGTGGGCATGCTAACAAACCTGCCAGGTGATATGGTAATTGATTCTTTATGGGTGTCCCCACCCTCTGCTAAATAGAAATCTCCTCTTAGTCCACCAGCTCTTTCAGAAGACTAAAATAAGTGACTCCAAAAGGTATGAGGACTGTGAGGAAGGGCCATCAAGCCAGGGAACTGCAAAGTGTTAGTCCCAGGTTACAGAGGGTGATGGTGGCAAAGAGGAAGAATGACCCAAGGAGATAACCAAGCCCAGGTGCCTGCTGTAGCTCAAGGATGTGATCCCCTAGGCAGAGCTATGGATCACCACACACCCACGTCACAGGCTTCTCTTCTGGCATCAGATGCAAAAAGCAATCCCCAAAGATGAGGAAGACTGTAGTGTCAATAGCTTTGCATTTACCCAGGACATGCACAGGCACAGAGCTGGGCCAGGGGGGAAAAAAGCTACAACTCTTTCACCTGTGAACTGTTTCCCTGCAGGAACAATTATGCATGGGATTTTTTTTTTGTTGCTCTGTGGTTTTTCTTTCATAACTCGTATTAAAAAAAACATGCTTTCTAGGAAAAATTTCTGTGTGAAAAGTATTAATTATTCCCCATGGTGTTTTGTTGTTGTTGTTGTTAATGTCTTCAGAAGATTAAATAACACAATCTCTACTCCCATTTTGCAGCAAAGAACAGAAAAGCATATTTTCCTCCTATAGAAACATGGGCAATAATGCACTCAGCCTCATAATCCTGTCAGGAGTTATATCCTTAATAGGCTTGAAAAATACAGACCCACCATGAAATAAGTATTAAGTACTTAATTTCCATTTTATTTCTTCATACTGGGATTAGTTTGGATTCAGTTTGGATTAACTGTGAGACACCCTCAGAAGAACACACTCCTTCTTATGAACTTGGGTTCCTACATTGCTTGGAAAAACACACTTATCATCCCTGTTATTTTTTCCTGTTATTGTTTGCTTCACCCTGATAACTCTAGACATGAACATTTCAGACTACTTTCCACAAAATATTTAAATTTTCCATCTCTATAATGTCCTTAAATCTTTTATAAAGACATTGGAGCCCCATAACCACCAAAGACCAGGCTGAAACAGGGTAAGAATCCAGGAGTCCCCCAGTGTGCGTGTGTACCCTGTGGGGTATTTGCCCAGCAGAGCAGGATGTGGGGAGAGCTGTTGGAAAGATGGCACTGTGTATCCACCACGTGCCTTCCTCTTTACACCTGTGGGCAAGGCATGGATGGGAGCACACAGCCCCCAGGAGCATGCAAAGGTGGCAGCACTGGGATACAAGCACAGGGACTCTGCTTCTGACAAGTCAAGGACTGGGAAAGAACTCTTCAGGGAGGTGCTGTATCTTAGTGCAATTTCATTAAAAAAAAAATCTAAAATGGGAGGGGTTTTTTGGCGTCTTGGAGGTCAAAGCTTCCTAACACCTTTATCACCCAATTTCCCATTAATGTAACATAATCCTTAAGGAATCACAGCTCAGGTATTAGTGGCCACAGCCACCATCAGCAGTGCCCAGCCAGAATCACAATTCTTCCAAAAATCAGAGAAGGGTCTCAATTCCCCTGGTTTGGAAACCCTAACTCAAGCTGCTCCCAGAGAGGACAACAGGTCCTGTAGAGGACCACAGGGTAAGAGCAGAGAAAGAAACAAGAGAAAGAAACAAAAGGGTGGCAAAAGGGAGGAGAAGGGAGAAGCAGCAGTGAGGAAAAAAAGAAAGCGTTTGACCTGGCAACTTGCTTTAAACCTTGGTAAGCCAAGCCGAGCTCTCCATCTTCATTGAGATACCCCCAGTCCTCAGTCTTGCTAGAAATAAAGGACAGAAAAAGGAAACAAGAGGACAGAAGAAAGACAAAAGGTCAATTGCAAGAGAAGGGGAAAAGGTGCAGCAGAACCCTTATTAATTTTATTTAGTACTATTTTATAGAACACACTTTCATTACATTGTATTTCTTTTTCCACTGCAGTGAAGGAGAACCATGCCCTGGTTGTGTCCTGTAAAACATTCCTAGCTAGTGGAGCTTCTCCTCCCTGCCCAGCTGTGACAAGTGACCTCATGTTGCCCGTCCCTCCCCAGCCAACTGCAGCCAACAGGAACCCAAAATCCTTCAGGTCAGAAAGAAATCTTCACAGATCACCCTGTCCAACCTCCTGGCAGGTTATCATCGTTTCCAATATGGAATTTTTATGGTTATCGTAATTCCCAATATGGAATTTTTATGGTTATCGTAATTCCTAATAGGAATTTTAAGACAAGCTTTTCCATTTCCTTCTTTCTGCAGCAATTCATACTGTTTAAAATAAATTATCTTCCTTCCATTTCAGTTGAGGGTTTTCTCAAAACACTGAGTCAAACATGTCAGTCTTTCCTCAGAGCAATCTTTGGTCCAAACACCACACAAGATCAAATCTCCTCTGTATCCATCCAGGCAGAAAAATGCCCAGAAAAGTCTCATCTCACTTTGATACTAAAAGTCTACATTTACCAGACTGTTTGTTTTTTGTTGTTTTGGGGTTTTTTCCAAGTTATATGAGGCAAGAAACTTACTTATCTCCTTCAATGAGGTCTTGAGCACATTACAAATGAGTGATGTAAGCTGGTCAACTTGACCAGAAACACTTGTTATAACAAGTTTTTTACTTAGCTTCGATGTCAGTTAGAAAACAGTTTTTCTTTTTGGAAATAACAATTTCAAAAGTAAATAAAGCAACCACCAAACTTACTTAATATATCATTATAGTTCAGACATACAAACACACACACACACACACAAAAATACTCAGCCAACGCGCATCTCCTGTTTTGGAAAGGGCTGCAGGAGAAGCCATTCCCTGGCAAGGAAATCTCTGCATATTTCAGGGGAAATGCACAACACACAAACTTTCTCCAGCTAATTTTCACAGGGGGGAAGAAGTGAGAAATGCGGTGTTGCAGCACTGCCACGAAAGGACTCAGGAGGTGTCTCACTGCCACAGGCAGCCTGTACATCCCTTCCATGCTGGTGTACAGCATTTCTCCAAAAACAGCAAACATTTCAGGCAATGACATTTGGAAAGTTCACCTGTTAAAGCCACATGTATGAATTTAAATTAAAACCTTGTTGATACCCTATACACAGCAGGTTTCCAAAAGTGTTTGTAGGCTGACAGAAACAAGGAGGTTTATTGGTCTGATTTCCATTAATGCCTTAGTAAAGTCTTTTTTTTTTTTTTTTTGTTCATATAATCTTAACAGGACGTAACCTCAGGCACTGAAAACCAAGGAAAAAAGAAGGAAGTATCATCACTATTTACTGCATGTCAGTAACCTGTGAAATCTCACACAGTGAGCAGCATTTTTAAGAGATGCATTTTCCTGGATAACCTTCTTTGAAAAATAGCTTTCCTTCCTTTTTTTTTAAACAGAGGCATTGTGGTAAATGAGGAGAGCAGCTCAAGGAGGAGCCATTATAAAAGAAATATGTACAAGTGCCGATATAAGATAAACCTGCCCTGGGAAACATGCATTTAGTTCGTCTCCATCAACACAGCACTGACTCAGAAATCACTGAGCTCCTCTTTCTGCCAGAAGTTCATATTGACCAAGACATTAAACATCAAACAGAGGCCCTTTCAAGCTAATTAGATTAATTAGCATGTGACAACATAATTTCCTAAAATGCTGGCTAAATCCTTTTCTCAAACAAGGCTGAGAGGAGCTGAAAGTGCTTGATTCACAAAGCCTTCCTCCTTTATCCTTATCTTGGAAGTGCAGGTCTGGGGAGCAGCTGGGACAAACAGCACCCATCAAAAGTGAGAAATCCCTGCCCAAACACCTCCTTTCCAAAAACTGCAGAGTGGGAAGAGACCCATAGGAGAGTGGGAAGCAGAGATATGAGCCCTTTCCATATGATGGCCTCTTCCAGATGCAAAAGCATCCTCCACGTGAAGCCAGCATCAGCTCTTCACTTTGCACTGCATTTCCAGCTGGGACTTACACAGCAGAAAAAAAAATAAAAGAAAAAAATCAACAGAAATAACTTGGAAGTTATCACAGAAGCTAATTTCAAAGACACAGCCTGATTTACTTTGAGCTGCCAGGTTATTATCTCTAACATCATCACCTGGTCTCTCTTGGCTCTATGTTTCCACCAAGATCAAACAGGCTCCAAAGAACGATCCCAAGAACTGAAACAGGGAACAAAAAGCCTACTTAGCTTTACACTCAGTTACTGAAGCAGAAAATGAGCTGGGAACTAACCTGATGATTTCCCCTTTAGAAGCTAAAAGTAAGAAGGAACAAGAAAAAACCCCAAAACAAAGAAACAAAAAAAGCTGCAGTTATTTAATTTATAAAGGGTTGCTTTTGATTCAGACTTGGCCTTGACCTGGAATCAAAGGGCTTTGCTCTGAAAGCTTTGTGGAGACAGAATCACTATGTTGGCAAGGTCAGCAGCACCTGGCAGAGTTTTTCCTGTTTTCCTCCTGCTGTATTTAGAAGTCCTGCATTACACGGACATGGAGACAATAGAAAGATGATTTTCCACCAAAGTAAAGCCTAAATAACTCAGGTGAGCCTCCCATTAAAATATTTATTGATCAAGATCAGAAAAGGGAAGGCAGCTCTATTTCTCATGCTGACACCCTTGGGTATAGAGCTGCGTAAGTACAAATGCAAATTCATGCTGGGGGGAGGGAATGTTAATTTATATCCTCAAACACCAACAATCCATGCTTCCTAAGCATTTGTTTTCACCTATTTTTCTGCCACTGACACCGGCCTACAGTTTATAAATCAACCCCACACACAGGCAAATGCACCATATGATGGGAAAGCTGGTGGTGGGTAAAAATTAGCCACCGGATAAATCAACACAGAAAATCAGGGTGAGAGTATACAGAGCTACTGCTGCTGTCTTACAAGAGACAAGCTCCAGGCAAGCTTCACATGAGAGAGAGATAATAGGAAACTGAGCCTGGAGACAGCATATTTCCCTTCCCAAAACTCAAGAGGTCAAAAACCACCAAGGCCGGGCCACATGAACTTCCCAGAATTGCAGCTCACCCGTGCAATTGCAGGGAAAGGGATCTGTGCTCTCATGGAGAATCAGATCCTCGAAAATTATAAATCGGGGGCGGAAGGAGGGATTTAAAAGCTGTGCAGATGTGGCACTTGGGCACATGGGTTAGTGCTGGGGGAACAGCTGGACCTGAGACATATTTTCAAACCTAAATGATTCCATGATTCAGTTCTCTCTGCAGAAGTTAAGTCTGGAAACCAGAACATCTGAAGGAGCGCTGGAGTCTCCTGGAAGGCTACAGCAGAAAACATGTACACCAGTACGGCCAGATATCAATTAATGCTGGGGACTAGTGATGCAACCTGGTCAGACACACCTTACAAAAGCAGCAACTCTTTTTTTGACTCTTTCACCAACCCCTGAACACAAACCAACCATCCCTACGCGCGCACACCAGAAGACTCAGGGAGTAATTAAAGCTGTGCCTGACAGTGGGATTTCACATCCCGTATCAGTGCCCACAGCTCCAGGAGAACATTGGAAGGAAAAGAGACAAAATTCACAGACTTCCTTAAGTGACAAAAAAACCACACCTTGCTGCTGGAAGCACACTGAGCATCCCTGATTTACTGACAAGAAAGGATGTGATATTCAAATTAATTTTATCATCTCTATCGCAGGACGGGACAGAAATTTCATCAGCAAGTTCAGTTTGGGAAAGCAAATATTCAATGGCAAATTGAAAAACCACAAACACTGGTCCTGATCCAGCCAGAGATGACACTCAGGTGAGAAACCAGTGTAGCCAGAGTCCTGGACCCCAACAATCCTCACTCCTCCAGGTCCCTGGGCCAAGATGAAAGCTGGCAGAACTAGCCTGGGCAGAGCCTCAGCACCAGTCTGGCCTTGATCATGTTCCTTTCCTCATATTCATAAAGGGATGGATAAAATCCTCATTAAGTCATGGTCTGTCACATCCTGGAGTGTTAGCCACCTTCTGCAACCCCTCTAAAAAGTGGTAAAGTATATTGTCTTGTTATTAAAAGCCATTAATCCACAATGGCTTTGTCTTCTATCTTGATGAATAGAAATTATTTAGGGGAAAAAGTCTCAAACATCTATATTTGTCAAGAGACAAAATAAAAGAGATAAACATTCAATTTCCTTGGAGTGAAATAAAAATTTACTTTTCACACTATCTTGCTGTTAAATCCATGTAATTTTGTCTCCTTTCAAGACACTACTTTATTATTTGATATCCTCCTGGATAACTGCAAGGATGATTTAATGCTTAGCAATATCAGCCCATTGTTACTGTAAGGACAGACACATGTTCACAGAGTTAACCCCCACTATGGTAAACCTGTAATCAAAGAGATGTCCCCAACACTCAGTTTGGATGCAAGAAGAGCAATAATGTGACTGTTTCCAGGGAATAGGGCATGTTTGTTAGCTCAGTTAGCCACAACAGGCTTTTGCCTCTGGGAAAAAGAGAAGGGGACCGTGCTGTCTTCTCAGCATGGTATGAGATACTTTAAATAACTCACTCAAATATATCCCAAATCTTCATCTTGCTGCTATTTGCATACTGGAAGCAAAGTCAAAATCCAGTTCTTCTCGCTTTCGTGTTTGCTTTTCTACCTGCTCAGTATCTCCCCTCTCTTGGGGACACACACACAGCCCTAGCAATGAGGGCTCCTCACCCATTAGAACTAGTCGGAATTAGAAGATCTTTAAGGTCCCTTCTGACCCAAAACATCCCAGGATTCCATGATTCCATAAGACATGCGTCTTTGATTTCATCTTTGCGGCCCATCCTTGACCCAAGGCCCATAACACAATCCAGAATCTGGTAACTCTTTAAAATCCTGCTGTTGATTTTGATCTGGATCCCTTCTCTCACGCTTTGGTTAGGATCCCACCTCTTTCACTTTGGCCAGCCCCCCCTGCTGCTGGAAGAATTCAAGCCACACTTACCGGTTGGTCTCGCTCATCCCCTGGTAGGCTTCGATCACGTCCTCCTGGTCAACGTGCTTGTCACTGTTGGGCCAGCTGGCATTTCTGGGGAGGCCCTCCTAAATCCAACATGCAAAACAGCAGCATGACATCCTGCACACCTCTTCCTGTCTTTTTAAAAAAGTCCCCCCGATGCCAAACAGCTCCCAGCCATTCTGTTAAGAGCTGTTAGAAGCTTCTGTTGAGAAGCGTCCCCGGGGCATCCAACGGACTAGAGAGTTTCTATGAACTCACACACATGCAAACAGACAGCAGGAGAGAGGAGAGGTGGAAGTGATGCAGTGAACATGAGAGAGGGATGAGTGGGGTGCTTGGTCTGAAATACAAAACATACCAAAACCTCGAGGAATGATAACACAGTGAATAAAAAAAAGCCCAAGTTAGAGTTTTTGGAAAATGTGCTCTCCCACTGGAATGGGCTCTAAAAACAAAAGCACATCACAGCTGTTTGAGAGACAGGCTCTCCTCTTGTCTACACACCAGCACAAACACATTACAGCTGCACCAGCCTCAAGTGGGCAGAATCTGACCCAGAAGCTGTTTCTCCCCATCCCATTTTCCTGCAGAATAACAGCGCTGTCAGAAAACATCACCAGGAACAACTCGGACCACCACACCTTGGTATAGGACTGGAGAAGTTGTTCCTTGGTGTGGGGGCTGGCTAGACCTCATCAGGTATGGTGTTAAGCACCTTACAGCAGTACCATGGGGTATATAGTCCTGGGGTGCCTGAAATGTCATGGGCTGCTTCTCATCCACAGGCAGAACCTCCCATATCCCTGCACAACCCCCTGTGACCAGCCCAGCACAAGAGGCATCACTCAGGCAGCCACTGAATTCCCACCAAGATAAGGGAAAATGGAGAAGAAAAGCCATTACCCTCTCCTTTAGTATGTTTTTCCCCGTGTCTTTTTGCTGGGCTGCCTTCATGATCTGTGACCTCAGGATGAGCACCTCCTCCTTCCGCACTTCCAGCTCCTCGTTGGCCACTTTCAGGTGGCTCAGTAGGAGGTTGTAACTGTCCTGGACATTGCTGGATGAGTTGTTCTGGGTTGCTTGGTCTGCAATAGCCTTCCTCAGCTCGTTGAGTTCATTTTTCAGCTTCTTGTTCTCCGACTCCAGCTCTTGCCTCTGGAAAATATCGAGCCATTAACCAGTTTGGATAATCTGTCTTGTAGTGCCTCATCCTTTTCTGAGACGCCTCTAAGGTGACTCAATTAGTGATGATTATGGCTGAATGATCAGTTAAAGACAGGATCTGGATTTTGCTGCCAGTCCAGTCACATGTGGTTCAGAAAAGGGTTTTACTTTTATCAGCAGCCTGTTGCTGTTTAGTAACAACACTAACAGGGGACACAGGGGAGATTTTTTATTTGGTGACACTGTTCTTAAACACAAAAGCAAGCTGATAAAGAAGCTAAACACGTTGTTTTCTTCTCCACCTCTTTTCCTTCTCAATCAAGAAATCACCACAACCCCACAATGTTCAGCTCATCTTTCAAATTCATTAGGTAAGCTGGAAGGTGCTGATTTACATGACCCATCATCGTGGCAGGCATCCCATTAGGTGAGCCACGGGTCTGTGAATTCCCACTACAGCTCCTTTTCTCATACATTTTGTAATTCCCTCACCCTGGTGCAGTGTTTGCAGCTGGAGGATTTTCTCGCCCTGACATCTCATCAAATGCTGGCGTTTGACAGGCAGGGGCAATACTGTACAAGTTTGACTGTGACTGCTTCTCCTGAATAACAATGTGTTTGCTGAGACAACTGAAGGGCTCATTTCCTTTTGCATGACAGCAGAAGACAGAAGAATGAAAATCCTGCAGCTAAGACAGCCTTTCTTTTAGCATGTCACCCCTGAAACTTTGCAGGTAGCAACACACCATTTGGTAGCTCTTTGCAAGCACCCAAAACCCACCTGGAGCATCCCAGCTGGGTCAAGAGCAGCTTTACTTCTGCAGCAGTGCAATCATAGAATCACAGAATGGTTTGGGCTGAAAGCTCATCTCTTTCCAACCCCCTGCCATGGACAGGGACATCTTCCACTATCCCAAGTTGCTCTAAGCCCCGTCCAGCCTGGCCTAGGACACTTCCAGGGATCCAGGGGCAGCCAGGACCTCACAACCCTCACAACCAGGAATTTCTTCCCAATATCCAATCTAAATCTACCCTCTTTCAGCTTAAATCTGTTAAGTCTTTGCTATAGGTCACAGACAGGGTGGGAGCCAGACTCCTGGGGTCTGCTCACACCCAGTATCCAAAAACCCGCCTTCTTTTTGCACTGATCTTCCACCCCCAGATACTGCAGGGTGGCACCCAGGACTGCTCCCTCCTGCCCCCACGCACCCAGACAATGCCAAAACCCAGCAGGACCCTTATCCAACATGGCACAAACCAAGACATCTGCAAAATGAGCTGACAAAGTCTGCTGTCTGAGTGATTTGGGATCAGCTCTTTCCTAGGGACAAACCCCATGTGGATCCACTACAACAGCACAAGATCTGTCCCCACTGAGATCCAGGTGCTTCCCTCTCCCCACCACCTTTTGAGCCTTTCCACAGCTTTCTTCCACAATCCCCCTTATCTCTGGGATATCTGCTTCTTTATCATCTTGGGCTGAGGCGAGTTAATGAATCCAAAAATGGCTGGGGAGGATGGGGGCAATTTATACAATTTATACAATGTGCAGCTAGCACAGCTGTGTAAACCTCGTTTCCATAGGAAACGGGTGTTGTAATTATAAATCCTTACAAATTATAAATAGCAAGGCTTATCACAGCAGAGGTGTGAACAGAATAGCTGATCTGGCATCTGGACAGCATGCTCCTAGCTGAACAAACAACATCAGTAACGGAGCGTATTCAGGTACTTGATACCATCTGTCATTAAAAAAAGACAGGATAAGAAATGCGCGAGATCCAGCAATTCTTCCACATTAAGCACAGCTCAGCAAAGGGAGCATATGAGACATGGGCTTCTCTGTACTGGTTTTTAAAGCAAGAGCTGTGCACACGTGGTGGGAATTCATACCAAACTGGGTTTAACTGTTCCTGCTACGTAGCTAAAGCATCATCTTCACTCTTTTACTGTTCATTCACTCTCTACTGATTATGCTCAGAGACAGGTAAAGGGCAAGATGAAAGCAATTACCTGCTTTTCTACACAAAATGGCTCTCCTGTGATTTTTGTCATTTGCTGATTTAGACCTCTGATTTCCTTTTTCTTTGCTTTCCTCCTCCTCCTTTCTAACCCTTTCTCCTCCTCCTCCTTTTTTAATGGGTAAGCCACACTGCTGACGCCAAGGACTGGTCATATAAAGTTCAGCTCTGGTTAGAAACAAAGCCAGGAGGACTGGGAAAGAAAGGAATAACCAACAACCCTACTTCAAAAGCCAAGCCTTGGACTCCACTTAGAGCTTATGTGTAAATTCATTCCCAACCCCTTTCTTTGTGGATTTCATGGAGCAGTGCTAAAACATCTACTGTCCCCTGCCCATACACCCTTTTTGCACCAGCAATAGCCATGGCAGTACAGAAGCTAAAATAAAATGCTCTGAATGTGGAAAGGGAGATTTCTACTGGTGCTGTGAGAAATGGTCTCTCTCTTCAGCATAGTCCAGTAACGCTGATTTATTTGACAAATTACGGTCAAAATGAACTGAACTTGAACTCACACTTGTCCCAACATGTACAGCACTACAGAGCTGTGAAAGGGGTACCCAAGCACTAACAGTGATGGAAATAGCTTCCCTCTTTAGAAAAGGGGCTTATACAGCAGTGCAGGGGGAAGTGTGAGCCTGCCTAAGTCAGGGGTTAGCAGTGCCATGCCAGGAATTTGCCCTCTCTCCTATTTCTGGTAGTCCATGGGAAAAGAAAATAAAATCTGCTAGAAGCTCATTCTATGATGAGTTTCCAAGTCTAAGGGATCACACAAACATCCCAGCTATGCAACAAGTGAGAAACTCAGTTATGCCTTGTGCTCCTGCTAGGTAGGAGTCCTAGAATGGTTTGGGTAGTAGTCTGACCCCCCTGCCATGGGCAGGGACACTTTCCACTAGACCAGATTGCTCAGAAACAGAGAGTCAGGGCAAGGGCTCCTTGGTGGTTTCATTTCCAGTCCCTCTTTCCCAGCTTGAAAAAAACCAGGCTGGAAAATACATTTTTTCACTGAAGAACTTTCTTGGGCAGGCGTGACTCAGGGGCATATCTCCCTGTTTTGCCTTCCTGAATATGGTAACCAAACATCTGGCTGGGCAAATTCTGGGACAGCGTCTCCTGAAAAATCTGTTTATCCGTTACGAAGGACAGGTAATTTCTGCCTGCTGTATCTATCAGTTTTAGCTCAAGTTTCTCACATTTCTTTGCAGTGTTACAAAAGGAAAGAACTAACTCAAAGACACTGTAGCCACATTTCTAAAACCAGAAACCTTTCTGAGCTGGCTAAGGTGTCTCAGCTTGTAAAAGATGGAGCATCAGTGGAGCATTCAAGCCCATATCTCCTCCTCCTCCGTGATCGGTATCTCATGGACCACTCAAGAGCATCCACAGAAAGATGTGTGTAAGCTTTAAGGCACCTCAGCCTGGTTCCCCAAGATAAAGCCTTTTAAAGCTGGCAAAAAGGAAAAAATAAATCTATATACAGCAGACTCTTAAAGGAGCCCGAGATAGCGCAAGTTTTTGAGATACAAATGAGCAGGAGAAATACAGAGAGGAAGAGCTTTTCCACAGAACCACTGAAGCAGCTGTCATGGGGGAAGGAGGGGCAAGCAGCCCTCAAAATCAGCAGTAAGTCACTCTTTCATTGCAGAGAGAGACTTCAAGGCAGTGTCCTATATCCAGGTGTGGGGAAAACACCAGTGAGGTGTATTTGTCTCTCTTTTTCACTGTTGTCTCTCTTTTTCACTGTTGCCTCTCAGGGAAGCATCCTGTGTTCCTATAGGGAATACAAAATCCCTGCAGGTTCATTTTCCACCTGTTTTAGGCTAAAGAACCCTTCCTTTTTAGCAACATAGGCTACCTATTCATATGAAATGGTATTAACATAGAGTTTTCAAGGTTTCTTAGATACGCAGGACTACGCATGTTAGTACATTAAGAATGTAGAAAGTAAGAAAATCTAAAATTACAATTTCCTCTCTGAACTTCCTGGGTTAAAGCTTGAAGAAAACACACTTTTTGAACTCACACTGAAGCCAGAACTCCATAGAAGCCATTTAAGAAGGTGCCATCCTTCTTCTCCTAGAGACTGTGCAGAGGTACTAATGAAACTCAGCAGGGTTTCCCTCTGCCACAAAAAGCACATCCAGCCAGTTGCAACATAAATACCATGCTCAGAAAATAAAAACTGGATGGATTAAATGACAGAAAAAGCTTTTGCTAGAGGTATGTGCTTAGTGAGGGTTGAACATCTGTCCTTCCCACCTCTGATGTCTGGGGTCTTTGTGTCCTTCAGAGGAGATGATGCAGAAGCAAAAACGGTGTTACTACTTACAGATGGTTTAGCATTGTATTACTCTGGATAACATGTGTCCCCCTGGACTTCTCAGTTGTATTGCAATATTTGCTATGGGGATGGGGAGAGAAGGAGCCTCTGAAAGGCAGGTCTACACCAAAAAAAACAATATAAAAAAAAATTCCCTTACTAACCCTAATCTGGAAACTGGATTTCTGAGGACAAGCAAGACATAAGAATTAGTCTAACAGTCAAGACTGGGAGTATTTGGGTACTGTTAGAGCAGGAGGGGAGAACCCACAGAAGCTGCAGTAGGAGCCCAGCAGGCTTCAGATGCTCTGTGTGTCACAGGGAGAAAATGATGGAGACAGAACATCCACGGATTTATTTGGTTTTGACCTGAGTGGCACCTCAGGAATGCACAGAAAGTGGACAAAAAGCAGAGTTGAAGCCTGGAACAAGAATCACACTGGGCTTCAGCTGTGAGATTTACACTTACAGCAAAGCAAACTGCTGAGAGCTGCAGTGTCCCATCAGAGGAAACCCAATAAGGTCCCAGGGGGAATATATGCAGTGAAAAAAAACATTTTTCACAATAAGTGGGCTTTTTACCTGTGTGGATGACTGAGAAACAGGTAGACCAGTGCAGAACAGATGTTGCCCCAGGGGGAAACATCTGTGAGCCCATCCCAGACTCCAGAGCTGATGGACAGCTACAGCTACAACTGCCCCCTCTAGCAGAGCCAGTTACAGGAGGTTTTGTGTTATTACCACGTTCTTACCATTTGTCTGGGCTGCTGGAGCCATGGAATAGGTTACAGCACTAAGTGGGAGCCCCTCACTCACCTTCAGGCTGTTGTATGCAAAATCTTCCTGTTCTGAAGTCATGGTCTTTGTTTCAATAACCTGCACGGATTAAAGAGACAAATTTATACTTAAAAGCAGCCGGAGGAGCTGGCACACAGCACAGGATGGCTGGGCACGTCCGGCCAGCTCAACCATAAAAATGTTAATTATTGCCATCAGACAGCATCCCAGCAACACCTAGTGGGGTAGAGGACACTTCAAGAGAAAAGGGTTTAATCTCTCATTAATATCCTGACAACTGTGGCTCGCTGCAGCCTTCAAACAGTGACAGTCATTAAGGGAACAATCTTCAACACAGCAGTCGGAAAACAGGTTTTTAATCCACCTCTGCTGCAAGGAGGAGAGGCTGGGGAAGTCTCCTATTTCCTGTGTCCCCTGCAAATTGCCAGAGGTGATCAGTAAGAATAAGTAGTGAAGCAAGCAAATAATTACTGTTGATGATTTTGCCGAGTCTCTTACTGCGTTTGTCCAGTTACATCGATCTCACACTGGAGAGTAATAAAGAAAATAATCCCCAAACGAAGCAACAGAAGCCCCAGAAATTTCAAATACGAAACCAAGAGTGATGGTATTTGCTCAGCAACTCGTAAAAGAGCATCTTTGCTGCTTCACAACACCATGCACACAGCACTGCTGTTCCAAGGCACACATCATGCCCTCTGCGGCCTCGGACAAGCCACAAAGTCTTGGTTACAGGTGGCAAGGAAAATGTGTACAAGAGATCTGCTAGTGAAAGCCCCCAGTCCCAGAATTCCTCTCACCAGAACACAGAGAGCTATATTTTCAGACTTCAGTTGTAAGCCTGGATGGACTCCTGTCCCTTAAGTTACTGGGATGTCAATAATGGTGATTTTTAAAATATATTAATATATATTAATATTTACATTATATACAAGACAAACACATTCCATATAATTATATTATATAATATAATTATATTATATATTTTATATAGTATAGTAGATAAATATATATTAATATTTAATATTAATATTAATATTTAATATATATTTTTATATTTTTAAATTTTTATATTTATATATATTTTTAAATTGTTTTCAAGCAAGCAACTAAAACTGCAGGATGATTTTTTTTTTTCCCCACAAGGAAGAAAGAATACAGCATAGGAATACCCCTGGCCTTGCAACTGGAATGAAGAAACCATTCTTCTAACAGCTATCTTGCTATTTCTGATTTACTATACCATTTTTAAGCTCTAAACCAACCAAACCACACAGATGATAACAATACAAAACCCAGGACACCAGCCTGACTGACATGTGTGAATTGTAGCTGTGCCAAGGCAGTGACAAACTCTTTCTTTAAAGAAATATTTCCTAATATCCAACCTAATCCTCCCTGGAGCTGGAGGCCATTTCCTCTCCTCCTGTCCCTTGTTCCCTGGGAGCAGAGCCCAACCTGCACCCATCTCCACCATCCTCTCAAGCTGTTGGAAAGAGCTTTCAAGATACTCAAGATACTGTCCCAAATATTTTATAACCAGTTTGTTTATACAAATAAATAAAGCACTTCCCCTCTTCAATTGTCTTTAGGTGACAAAAAAAGTTTATCTCTGTTTTCCAGGTGGATTTGTTGCCTCTCCTTTTGGACTTGTCACTCTCAAACCTGAATTCCTACATCGTGTCCTTCAGGCAATAAAGGAAAGCCAGTTACCAACATGAAATATTAGTATCAATGAAAGCCATCCTTTACCTGGGATTTCTTGCTCTCTTGCTCCTTTTTCTCCAGCTGGGTTTGCAGCCTCTTCCTCTCCAGCTCAAGCTCCCTCACTCTCTTCTGTAGCTTTAGGAAGAGGGTCATGTCCATGGCTGCTTTTTCCATCCCAATCTCCTAGAGAAGAACAGGAGAGTGGGAAAAAAGAGAAGATCTCAGTGTCAAGTTTTATAACCACAGTGCCAGACACGTCCTGACTGTACATCAGCACTCACCCCAGCCACAGACAGCAATAGGAGGATCTCAAAAAAAGACATGCACTTTCAAAGACCAAATCTACATTTTAAGCACCTATTTTTAATGTCAGTAATATAGTTGCCTCTTCTTAATAAATCACTGAATGCTTAACAGCCCAACAGATAAACTGGGTCTGATTTGGGCTGCAGCTAAGAACACCAAAAATGCCCAGCTAGAGTCCCTTCTAGCCAAGTATTTATTTGTTGTTTTTTTAACTGGCTTCACCTGGAATATTTTACAGCAGAGCATGGCCATTATATTTTGACTTCAGAAAGCGCTCTCAGAGGAGTTCAGAAATACTAAATATAACACAGCAGCCAGCTAAGGGCAGTGGGGGCTTCTGCAGGCATGGGGTGTGTGTGTGTGTGGGACGCAAAATAAGGTCCTGCCAACAGGGTGTCAGATCCCAGGAATGTTCATCGCCAACATGCGCTCTCGAGTCACAGAAGTGGAATCTAAAAAGCAGCCTATTCTAGCAAATGTAAGTAAAAAACACATTTCTCTTTCCCATAGGATTCTTGATAGCCAGGGAATAATTTATGCTGCTCTTTTCTGCATTAAGAGGCTGTTGATTTGATTACAGGGGCTGTGCTGGCCAGCCAAGCATCCGTGAAGATGCATGGGAGTGAAAACACTCAGGGCAAGAGGGTAATGAATTCTGGTATCCTTGCAGAGAAGGATCATGATACAGTCATCGCCATCAGTGCTGGATATAACTGCTTTGATGAATTTTCATCAGTCTTTAAGCTGGTGCGGCCCAAAGGCAGCACTTCGTTATTTTTAGAGCCCTATTTAAGCCTGATGCTGCAAACGAGTAAGCATTTGCCACAGCACTACAACCCCTGCAATCCCTCTCACACAATTAATGATGTACTTCTTTAGCCTGAAGTCAGTTTTGTATGCCAGACCTTCTCGCCCAACCTTTGTGCTCTAAACCCCACACCCATCACCCCTGCAGAGCAGGGCTGTCCTCCCTCCTCCTCCCCTGCCCAGTTTCCTCTACCTCCACTTGTTGAATCACGTCCTCAGTGTCTCCTATCTCAGAGGAGGATATGGATGGATTATTGGAATCAGACTCCAAACTGCTTTGGTTGGATGGGTTTCTTCTGTGCCCCGGTGACTGCTGCCAAAAAGTAATGCAGATACATAAAGCATTCAGTGTTTAAGGATTCCTCACTGTGTCGTTTATAAAAAGCAAATATTTGACTATGTACCAAAGTTACCTTTACAAAAGGCTTGACTTTCACCATATGGTGGGTTCCATTTTTGAGTTTTTATGCCCTAGCCATGAAATTCCTATTAACACAAAGGAATACTTTAAAATATGAAGGGCTATACAGACCCAGTTTAAAAATTCTGCATGGGTTAAAGGCACTTCACGGCACTAGATGCCTGGTAAGTGTGAACATGCAAATCTGAGCTCAAGACTGTACTGCTGACAGAACCCTCTGGAACTCCATTCAAACACTCAACCTTCCACCAAACCCAGCAGCAGTCTATTAATCTGATTTTCAACAGTTTTTCTAACATTTAAAAACTTTGGCTTTCGAAATTCTACAGTCATGTTGCTGGGGTTTTTTTGGTTTTTTGTTTTTTTTTTTTAACCCAACACCTACACCTGAACATCACCAACACAAAACAAGAACAAGGAGCACAATCCAGCTTTTGCTGAGATTCACAGAGATTTCTAAGGAGTCCACAGAGATGCATGAAAGACCGAGCCCACTTTTCCAAGGCACACAGATGGTTTGGTAGAAGTGTATCCTTAGAAACATCAAGCACAAACTGCACAATAATGTCAGCTCTATTAAATGTTTTGTGGATAAGTGAGTCAGGTTGTTCCCCAACATCAGGTTCAGGGTGCAACAGAACAGGGATAATTCCAGTTTCATTACCTTTACAATCGTCATTTCATCCCTCAAGTTGTCATATCTCTGCTCCAGACCTGAATACTCTTTTACCAGGTTCTGATAACGAGATCTCTCTTCTTCCAGCTCTTTCTTCATCTGGATATTTTCCTCAATTGCATTTCGTGCAAATTCATCTTAAAAAGGGAAAAAAAAAAGGAAAAAGAAAAGAAACTATGAACTTTATCTCTGAAATGAGCTTCTGGTAAATATGTCCAGTTACAGGGGCTAATGAACAAAATACCACCTCTGCCAGGAGCCTTTAGAAAACATGTAAGCATTCTCTAATATTTAGATACTCTTATAATCTAGAGATGTCTCCACGACATTTGAATTTGAGTTAAAGAAATATCCCCGGCACCTACAAACCACCAGATCTGTTATGTTTAACTCAACTGTGCCAGCTCCAGCTCCCATGGGCCAGCCATAAATCCATTCAAGGAAAGACCAGCACAGTATGGAAATACATTCATGTTGAAAAAGTGGCACATGCTGCATTTACAAAATTCCCTCCCTGCTTCCCACCACCAGATCTGGCACAGGAGCAAATCAACTGCAGCAGCTTTTTTTCATGCCATCAACCATTTACCATTGTAAGACTTGGGGGGTTCAAAGTATTTTATATCCACATAAATTAATTTCTTTGTTAAAAACTCCTTTTTGGAAGCCAATCTGGTCCCTCCTTTTCCTGAGGAACCAGGCAAATATAGCCCTTGTGTCCTTTTAAATGGGAGAACAACAAACTAACCCCCTCCACTTGCTTTCTCCCATCTCAGGTGCTCCAGAAGCATCCCATTAAGAGACAAAAAAATATTTACAGGAAGTTTCTTTTCAACACGTTACTTTCGTTCCTTTATTTTGTGTCAGGGGCTGAGGGCAAAAGGTACTTCACACAGAGCAGTGATAGATACATCCACAGTACAATGCTCTTTGTAAACCCTGCTAGAAAATCAAAGCTGAAAAGGATGATAAAAAATAGAAAAGCTCAATACACGCAGTTTCTTTTGTGACATGGGATTTTCCCAGATTGCTTTTCCCTTTGTATGTCTTGCCATCTTAGTCTCTGCTTCTATAAAACACTCACAGACTTGTGTCACACCAGAGAAATCCTTTGTCATAGCTCAGTAATGTAAACTGTGCTGTTCCTTGGGTCCTTTGTTCATCATTCTTGGGATGCTGTTATTCCCCACCCCAGCAGCCTCACTGCCTCCCACATCACCTGCAGGAAGTGCTGCGACCTAACTGAACTAAAAAGCCCTTTCAGGTACTTTATTCCATGTTTCAGCAATTAAACTGGCCTCTGGCTTACCATCCACTAGCAGGGCTGGGTGAACAGAACTACCTGCACAACGAAACAGTGACAAAAAAAACACCGGGGAAGGGTGGCAGGAAGATGAGCACTTTTCAAGGCAGGAGAAACACACAGGAAAAATGAGATTCGGGGGACACCTGTTAAGCTCCTCGCTTAGCAGAGGCATTACAATGCTACAGGCATTTTTCTCTTACCTTCAGACTGACAGAGAATCCTGCTGTTAAGCTCCTCTTTTTCCTGCTTCAGGAGAGCGTTTTCTTCTTCCAATTCGGAGATACGCTACGGAGCAAGGCAAAGAGTTACTGCTTGCTGCAGGTCAGAGCCTCTGCACAGGGATTACATTTCACCTGATGGGAGACAGGGAGCTTTGTTCGGGCTCTCTTTTCTGTTTAAGAGATCCATCCCCCCGTGCTTTACCAGCTACCCTTTGTACATCAGGAGCCGGAGTGCAGGAGAACTGCACTGCTACCACAGAGACTAACTTTCCCCCTTCCTGAGTGAACTGCTCCATTAAATTAATGTTTTCAGCAGAATCTTACAAAATGCTGAACAGCTGGACCTGGCGACCACAATCCGCAGGAGTGAAACTCCTGCAAAGTGATCAGGTTGTGAAATCTGAGGTTTATTTTCACGTCTCAATGGGCTTCATCGCTTTCTTCAAGTCACAGCACAGAGTGCTGTTGGGAAAACGAATCTGCTGATTGTTCCCAGCAATGTAGCACTTAAGGAGTTGAGACGGACACAGCAACTGTGAGCTGAGTAAATAGTTCAGGCTTTTTTAACTATATTGTAACCAATTCATTAAGTGTGGTTAGTCACATTAATGCTTCCCGGTGACTGCAGAACCACTAGTACAGTGAGGCATGGCATGTACCAGGGCCTTTGGTAATACAACAGCAGCATATCTAGCAATTAACACCAACAACTGCCTTGTAAAAATTAACGAGAACAGAAAATAAATCCTGCGAAATGGTATTTTGCGTTGTCACAACACCAGGGCTGGTCTGATTCTGCCAGCAACTGATGCCATAATACTGTTCATCCTCAGGAACTTTGAGGCATTCAAGGGCCTTATCTCAAAACACTAAACCATCACATTATCAAGTGAAATATGCTGCTACAGTTAAGCAGGACAATTCTGCTGCTGTCAGGCAGGAGAACACGCATCAACCCCAGCATAATGTCACTCCCTGTGCCTCCTCCCTCACATCCTATAGCCACTGCTTGGGAAACAGCTACACACAGCAGAAGAATCTCAAGATGCCAACACTAAACAACACTGTAAACATGCCCAAGAGTAATAATTTTGCTGTCACCATTAGATTGAATTTATAGGCAGCCCAGCTGGCATGCATCCCTAGCACAGATTTCAGTCTTCCACACAAGCGTGTTCAAATTAAGGTATTTTATCAAACCCTGCATATGCCAGATACATACTAATGGTGTGGATAAAAGCAAAATGAATATTTTATTGTAAGTCCTGACTGAATCAGTCATATTCTGTGCACAAACTGGAAAACATCACCACCCCTTACTCTCCTTGTGCATTTACTCCAGCTGCTTGCATGACACTATCACCTCCTGCATCTCTCTCTATATGATATGAAAGTTGGAGTCTGCAGATACAACTAGAAAGCGAAAAAAACCACAATTAAGGAATGCAGAGCTATTGGTGTTTTAAATGTTCTGAAATGAGACAAGATTTTAGTATTCTGTACTTAAAACAACTACATTTCTTCTTCCATACATCAAATCTGCCATCAGATCAGCACTAGTGCCTTCAAGGTAGAAAGAATTTTTAAAAAAATGGGAAAGAGCTACAGGAGTTATAGGAAAAAATGAGAACCTGTTCTGCAATGGGACAGCAAGGAATTTGAGCTGTTTATCCCATCAGGGGAAAGATTAAAGGCAATAGGATCATTTTACTAGTGCACTTTAATGGGTACTCATAAGGTACCCTCTGCCCAGAAAAATTCATGATGGTTAGAAACCAAAACTAGGCAAAAACCTGGAGTATTTTCAACAATGATGGAGGGATAATTTGAACTGAAAGGCTCAGTAGAATCCACAACACTTATTCCAAGGTTTTAAAATTTCAAATGCGGATTGGGTACAGCTATTTTTAAGACGTGATCTTAAGGCACTGAACTTGTTTATTGAATTCCTGTTTCTACACGAAGCAGGAACAAGCTCAGAGTTCAAAACCTGTGTTTAACCAAGCCCCCTGAGGATGAGAATAGTCCATTGTACACAGGTGGAGGCAAGACGAGCAGGTTACACAATGGTCAAGCAGCGTGAACTTCATCTCTGCTACCTACTGGCACCTTTTGTACCTCCTTCTCGTCTTTCTGTAGGAAACAGATCTCTGAAGATGCTTCAAAGCAACAGCACCTGCTCTGAAGGATTTCTGTGGAAGATGCTGAGCAGGGAGCACTTGTGATGGCTTCAGCCCTTATGTAAGTGTTATGCTGGAGCAACCTGCTCAGGAGACCTGCCTCCTATCCTCCCCTAATCTTGTGAGGAAAGAATGATGGCATTTAGCATTTTCCTAACAAAAATTCCTGGCCAGGCTTCGAATTACTCTATCTCACCGAGTGAGGAGATTTGATGCTACTGAAAGCCCTACAAAGAGCTGTCGGTACTTACCCAGACCCGATGTTTTAAACTTTATCACAAAATTGAGTGGAAAGAGCTATTCCAAAATTAAGGGATCAGAGAGAACAGCTATGAGGAAGAGATTAAAGGACTTTTTTAAAGTAACGAAATCATAACTGATAGGGGTTTGCAGAATCTGAAGCCTCAGCTCAAATTACAGAATTAAGGCTCATCTCAGTCTCGCTCAGAGGTGAGATGACTTTGGGAATCATCCCTAGAGAAAATATGTCCCACTACAAGCACGGCCATGGTGTAATCCTCATCCTAAAGGTTAAAAGTGCTTCTCACCTGAGTTCAGTTTCTAGACACTCCCCAGCTTCTGGTATTTGTCAGAATTACTCAAAAAACGTCTTATCAGAATTTTCCTTGAGAAGTTTGTTGGCTACATTAATGTTTTCAGGAAGGAAACAGGTCTTCCCCTGTCTCCTTCCCACTGACAAGGAACCAAAAGGAGCAATGGAAAGCTAATGCCAGAAATGGGAGCCTGCACTGCTCATTAGAAATGTTTTATAATTAAACCATTTACTGTCATGGTAAAATGCACAGTATTTGCTCTGCTGTAGGCGCTTCTACAACAAGGGAGAGCTTTTGCTTTGTTTTCATGCTTTTTAAAAGCATTTCTTTGGTGATTAAACCAACCTTCCTTCCGAGTGCTCGAAGGGGATTTGCAATCAAGAAAGAAGAGAAGCAGTTTATCCCCAGCTGCATCACCTTCAAAATAAAGCATCTTTTCTGGCTCTAAAAGTCTGTGCTGCAGCCAGATAATGAATGGAGTCCTGTGCCAAAAAGGATCTTCTAATTTGGTGGTGGATAAAAGAAAATCGCTAATTTCATACGTTCCCTGCGTGGGTGCAACACACATGCAAAGAGTGGAGTAGGTGATTACCTGACCCCTCTTGGTCCAGCCAACAGGCAAGTACACAGGGTGCCCACCTTTCTGAGATGTACACCCAAAAAATGCATCTCAGTTGTTCCAGTGGTTCAGGTTAAGTAATCCTGACCACAATTCCTGCAGCTTCTCAGCCAAACCCGAGTGCTCAGCAGCAAGGGGAAGGCTGGCCAGGGCAGGTGGTGCTGCATGAAATGCCCTAGAAGAGCCCCATGTGGGCACTCTTTCACCATAATAAAAACACAGCTAATTCCAGGTTCTTTTTTTTTTTTTTTTAATTTCCAAAAGTGACTCATCCTCAGGTTGTCACACACAAAGTGCCGTTCCAGAGTAACAGCAGCAAAACAGCTCTTTCTTTGCAGTATACTGAGTAAGAAAGCCCTAAATTCTTTCCAACAGCAAGATCAAAGATTAAATTCACTTGCTGCTACAGAAGAAATATGATGGATTTAACCTGATCATCCACAAGCATTCGCAGAAGGAAACCAAACCCACATCTGAATGCCTCAGGTTATGTATGAGAATGGTTGTTATTCAGAATTAATCTGACCAGCAAAGGAATTCAGGGCAAAAGGTCCATGTTTACTCTTTGCAAAACAAGCTGTCCACACTGAAGTCTCTTCCTCCACTAGAATTCTTTCTTGTACAGTGGTGGCAGTGTTGGACCACATCCACCTCTAGAGATAAAGCACAGGATTTGGACTAGATTATACTTGTGGGACCCTTCCAACTCAGGATATTCTATGAGTTTGCATGAAGGAAGAGAAAATAATAAATATATTTAGAGCGTATCTCAGCTCCAAACCCTATAAAGGCTCATAACAACCAGCCTAGGTGGTGCTGGAGCAGTGCCTCTGCCTGGGTACAGAGAAGTTGGTCTTCACACAGATCTCAGCTCTGTGTACCTACAACACTACTACAACAGCTGCAACAGCCATGGCAAAAACTGAACCCTTGTGTCCCATCCTGGGCTGGAATGAGGAAGGACATCTTCCTAATATTGACAGCATCTATGACAGCCCTATCCAGTACTTTGCATTACATGTCATGATGAATCACTGTACAAACATGGAGCTCTGGCATACAGAGCTGAAGCTCAGGATGAGAAGAAACAACCTCCAGCTGTGCCAGGGGAGGTTTAAGTTGGGTAACAGGGAACTTTTTTCTCACAGAGAGGGTTGTAAAGCATTGGAGCAGACTGCTCAGGAAAGTGGTAGAGTCTTCATCCCCAGAAAGTGTTCAAAAACAATGTGGACGTGGCACTTGAGGACATGGTTTAGTGGTGAACACAGTGATGGGACTGAGTTCATGGTTGGACTTGGTGATCTTACAGGTCTTTTCCAACCTTAACGATTTTGTGATATCCATGGTTATTAAATGTCCTGTTTTCCAGATGGGTTTGGGTTTGGGGAGTTTCTTTGTCATTGGCAGTGCAAAAGGCATCAAGATGGGACATCCTCTCACACAGGGCAGTCACTGCCCCTGCAGGGATGCTGACCTGCCCTTGCTGCCCCATGAGCTGGTTAAAGATAAATTCTAGAGGCATTCAGCAGCAAAAACAACAACAGCAAAAATATTAATCAAAGAATAGAAACTGTCTCCCCTTCAGGCCCATGAAGAATGAGCTTTCACCACTATAACCACCTGCACAGCCTGAGGTGTGACAGACAGACGTACCTTTCTCAGCAGGTCTTTCTCCTGCTCATGGCTGTCCTCCACCACCTTCCTCTCCCCATGAGCCCTCTCCAGCTCCAGCCTGAGGTGCCTCATCTCCTCCTGCAGGCTGACAAGCTGTTTGCCATCGCCCTGCTGGCTCTGCTGGTACTGCAGCAGTTCCTTCTTCAGCTTTTCCATCTCGGAGGAGTGGGCTGACGCCAGGAGTTTGTATTCCTTGTTCTGCATCCCAAAGAGAAGGAAACAAGAGCATAAGTGACATGAATGCACGCACTGCATTGATGCACCACAAAAGTAACCGCTCAAAATCCTCGAGTGTGGTGGGTGACAAGCCCACAATAACAAATATCTCCCTGCATATGCTAATAAAGCTCATAAAGCTAAAAGCTAATTCTAAACTGCGTTGAAAACTCAACAGTATTTTGGCAACAATTACAGAAGCATTTGTTAAATGGGTATTACATTGATATTGCTCAAAGGCAAACAATGCTTGGTAGCACTGGCAACCAAACCAGAAGACTGCACTCCTTATTAAGGCTTCCAAACACTGCTGCCTAATGCGACTGGTTTGCTGCTTTTTTTTTAAATATGTGATATTTGTTTTGCAGTTTACTCTTTTATTGGCTCCTGTGCCCACAGAAACCTGAGGACAATGCAGAACTGCATCCTCGAGCTCTCTAGTTTTAAGTCATGTGCGTGCTCAGTCACCTTCTTATTTGCTCGGGTTTTCTCTTTTAAAGCAGTTAGCAGTGATTTGCTCCCGAGTTTTCAGACTCAAAAATTGAGTAGCCTCATTTGTTTTTTGTGATTCAAATCGAAGTCAATGACACTGTGACTAATAAACACCGTCATTATTAGTCAGTCCCAGAAATGTCAGCTAATTCACAACAGACCAAGAGCTTTGTTAAGACCCTACCAAGCTCTGCTAACATTAGGTAGATAACCATGACAGCAAAAGAACCATTTTGAAACTTAAAAATGTAGTCTGTTTTTTAAAGTTTGTTCTGATCATCCTTTTGGCCCCTCTTTAGGTGACCTCCCAAAGTGACCCCTCTCAGTGTAGAGTCTCAGTGGTCTGATAACACACATCTCAAATGGAAAAACTAGTAAATGAGGGATATTACCATTTTTCCTTTGCACCCTTGTAATGCATTATTAATGAAGATCAAAATTCAGCACTTAGTAAATTACAATTTCTGCGTGACCAAAGGCATTTCATAGAATCCTAGAACGGTTGGGCATTTACTGGGATTCTCCGCACTGCAATCCGAGATTGCTCAACTGACCATGTTAAACTTGAACTTGCTTTATTTCCCATCATTATCCAGCCCTGCAGAGCTGTGAGAGCCCTGGTTTCAACCCAGCCTAGACTTTATTTTGCTACCAATGGCAGAGGCAACAAATTCATCCATACTACTATCCAAACCAGTTTTATTCACAATAAGTGCTCACGGAGATACTACTGCTTGTAGAGATAGTATGGAGACCACACTGTGAATCTAATTATTGGCTGCATGAACATGTAACACTAAATTAGGTACCAGCCTTAATAGTATCTCAGGCTGGCACAACACGTAGATTTAAAGAAACTCAACAGAAAAAAAAAAAAAAAAAACAGGAAGAAAAAGAAAGATTTAGTCTAACATAGTTAGAAAAAAAGTGGTCCAGTGAGGATGTTTAGTAGCAAAATAGATTTAAACCTTTCTTGTGTGTGCAAAAAAATCCTTCACCTCATTCAGAAAACTGAATTAAATCATCCCAGTTACAGATGCCAGAGCATGTGAGCCGAGGCTGACACACAAGAAAAGGTTTTAATGTTTTCAAAGATCTTCTCTTCCTTCGGGCACACGGAGTATTGCATCTCTACTCATGCATGAGCTAAAGTAGCAGAAATAGAAACATTTTCTTCCCCGGCTATTTAGAAAATGATACAAGCGCAGCTCTCCAGGTTACCTGGTATACACTTTTTTTTTTCTTAGAAAGTTAATTGGTATTTCCAAAGGTTGTGTTTATAGATTAGCAAGATCCTTCAGGGAAAATACCATGCAGCAAACTCACTGTGCCAGAAAAAAAATAAATCAGTGTACTGAAAAGAAAGTCCACTGTAATGGTGCTCATTAGCACTTCCAAAGCATCCCAAGGAAGGTTAAAATCAGCTCACTGGACAGACTAACACAAGTAACACAAAGCAGCAGTCCTTCCCTGCAAAAGTTAGACAGAAAACATCAAAGAAACTCCTTCAAAATGGCTTGTGCAGAGACCAAGAGAGAGCAAGATGAGCTTCAGACCATTATTTCTGCCTAGTTAAAAGCTCTCCACGACTCCTTCCCTAAAGCAAGCCCTTCTGCTGCTTCCATAATCCATGACAGGAAGCCAGTGTTAATCAAATATTGGGGGTTTTTTGTTTATTGTTCTATTCACACACTTTTCCTAGCAGTAAATTGGCAACGAATTGGGGAAGAATGTAAACTAAAAACTAATACTGCTGCCCCAGGGCCAAGCCCAGCAGGTCTAGCATGGACGTTCACACTCATTGCACAAGTTCAGCCCAAATATCTGGACCTCAAATGACTCATCCTATTTAATTCCACTGAATACCCTCCGGATAAAGGGTCATATCAAACATTATGCTTAAGGGTTTCCATTCCAAAGCTACTGTTTGCAAAATATAAGTATGCAAACAGGCATTTTAAAATTAAACAGCAGGGTCTGAAAGTCAGACTCGTCTGCAGTGCACGCTTTGCAGCCAATTAATGCTGCAATGAAGGCTGCCAGCAGTAATGCAAATCCCAGGGTATCCTGACTCTGCAGTATCTGAGCCAACACAGAGTCACTTCTCATCATCTTCATCACAGGACTGCTCGTGTCATTCAGGCATGGAGAGGTATAAGGTGGTGAGGAAGCCATGCGTGACGTATAAGGGTCCCTGACAACATCCCAGAATGAAAACCCACAATTACCTCTAACTGGTGCTAGTTATCCTGACTTAGAGGGAATGTTCTTCTGCCTGTAAAAGGCCTGTTGAAGGATGCAAGTGGATATGAAATTGCCTGTTGATATATAGGTCCCACTCAGCATTTCTTATGCTCACCCTGAAGTCCTTGTATGGCAACATAGAGGGTATTTATCAGAGCAACTTGCTTACATTAAGAGGTGGGAAAACCCTTCTCCTAAGTGTGTAATCAAACCATTGTTCTGCAGCTCATTAATAACAAGTGGCAATTGATGAAGACCTCCCTGTGATCAAGGAGTCACAGTAAGCCCACCAAGTCATCCACAGAGGCATCTCCATCCCACCATCCCATGCCTCACCACGGCTCTCGCTCCTGAAGAGCTGTTATGTCTAGTAACACAAACATGCTCAAATTACTTTGCAAAGTATTTACCCAAATTGCTGTTTATCTTCTAGGGAAGGTGACTCATAAGACACACAGTTCATACAACCAGTTGTGGCAGAGACTCTGCACCCTCAGTGCTTGTAAGGCAGGAAGCACAGGAGAACAACTGAGCCCCAAACCCCCTCGACATCGGGATCTCACATGGAGCTGGCCTGGGTTTTCAAGCAACAGCTTTCAAAATTGCCATTCTGCCTTCCTCCTCTGAGTCCTCCTGGGCAGTTCTCTCAACAATTTCATTGCAGCTTTTGCAGCTCCCTGAGCAAGGGGGAGCCTGAAGACCCAAGCGCATCCGCACTTCCATGGTGGTGTCCCACCCTTACAAATGCCAGGCCAGAAGCAGCAAAGGCAGCCACCAACACGACACCCTTCCCAGACCACGTGGAAAGATAAAAATCCTTCCTGGGGAGAACAACAAAACAGAAGCAGAGCGGCAGCAGGACCACACTCGCCCCAGCGCAGCTCGGGACGTACCTGCTCATCGATCTTCCTCTGGAGCTGGACCACCTTGTTCTCCATGCCGACGTTGAGCTTCTTCAGGTGCTGGGCTGAGCGGGCCTCGATCCTGAGTGCCTTCAGCTGCTGCCTGGCCTTCATGCGCCGGTAGTAGCACTGCAGGACGATGGTGGCAGCCCGCACCCTGCGGAAGCGCGTGCGGGCCAGCCAGCCCCGGGCGTACTTCTGCAGGATGGTGGCCTTGTGCTCCACCAGGATCTGAGCAACACGGGCAGGAAGGGGACAGTCAGAGGAAGGAAAGCCATAGGATCGTAGAACCATGGAATGGCTTGGGTTGGGAGGGACCTTAGAGACCATCTCGACACCCTCACGGCAAAGAGTTCCTTCCTAACATTCTGCCTAAATCCAGCCCCCTTCAGGTTATGGCTATTCATGGGAAGTCACCTGTACAGGTACCAGCAGCCCTGGTTTGGCTGCATCACGGCACTCAACACTTCCCAAACTGCCTTTGGAAGGGCTTGTCCTCCAAGGAGTGTCCTGGTAGGTGCAGAGGGAGATGGCTGGAGATAAAGGCATCCTCTGTCACAGATGGGACTTCAATCCCCCCCTCCTGGGGGTTTTCTCCAGACACTGTGCTTGACACATCCAGACCTCTCTTAGGAGCTTGGCTCTCTAAAACGAGTCAAGACCTGCTTGGCCAGTGACATGAGGGTGTATAACCCTGGTTAGTGAGTAGAGAACTTGATGGGAACAGGGGGCATCTGGGCTCAAGTGAGGCTCCACGGACTACCTCAGAACAGTACTGAGATCCACAAGATCCAGTGGATAAATGGATAAAAAGATCCAGCAGAATAAACAGCCATTAACAGACACACAAACACTTAGCAGTAAACTTACTGGCCCTTCAGCATCAGATATAACTCACACCAGAACAGGACTGTAGATTTTTTTCTGTGTTCCACCCCTGCATTATGATAATTTTTGCTGCAGATAAATGCTGTCCTGGTGGGATTTCTTATCATGTGAATAACCTTCAGATAAAACCCTGAGTCCTTTCACTACAATCTGCAGCCAGTGCTCTCACACAATTCAATTTCTAGGAACTTTTATCTGGGGTTTTGTGAAATTTCTGGTGCTTGTGCATTGAATTTCTTCCCCAAATTTTATCACAATCTTTTCAGTAGGTGGCAATTCAATTCCTTCCTCTACAACTGAACACTGACATATTAGAGATACAACCAATATGTTGTTAATAACTTCCTTATGCTCATCTATGCTTCAGTCTGATAAGGAAATAAATAGCAGAAGAATTTAAAGATTACAAGACACTGCTGTTATTAGTTTGGGATATCTTGTCTCAGAAAAGGTACCTTCTCAGCTTCTCTTACAAATCTTTTGTTTCACCCTAAGGCTTTCTTTGCCATTGCAAATTTTAATTCAGAATAAAGGGATTGCGTGAACTCAGGATGCAGCAGGAGTTACTGGGAAATGAGCTTTGTATGTTTCCAGCCTTGGCATTCATAGATGGAGAAACTGGGGGTGCCCAAAGAGGTACAAGAAACCCCACTGCATTGCCTTGGGGACCTATTCCAGCCTTACAGAAAAGTTTTGGTGGGCACTGGGCATGCCCTGACCCCAAGGAGCATCACCCACCACCCTGCACCTGTTCCTGAATGAGCCAATACCTGTGCCCACCACCTATACCCAGGTGCTCCAGAGATTAAGGATGTTCAGATTCGAGAGCCCTGGACTTCTCCGACTTCTACAACTTGTTAAGATTTGGGCTACCTTTAATCTCAGAGTGTTTAACTGCTGGAAAAGCTGCCACCCCTGCAGAGGCTTCCAATCTGAAAAACAGATTCTGAAAAAGCAGCGGAAGCACAAATTCCTTATCACCAGCACCCAGCTGCTCTGTCTCAGAGGACAACCCTGATCTCTCTGGCAGGTTACCAAGTGTCCAGGTTAACCTCCACCATCCCCAGGAGCAGGTTTTCCCCTCCTGTCTCATCATTCTTCTCACTTCTTCAAGTGGGCCCATGGCCCAGTTAGGCATAAGTTCAGGGACCACCAAAACAGTGCTGGATCTGACGAGTGGACAGAAGATTCCCCAAAGCTGTTCTCAGTTTCCTGACAGACAATAGCTGGAGAAAGAATTTTGAAAAGGAGGAATGGCTTCACACTGACAGGGGGCAGGGTTAGATCAGAGATTGAGAAGAAATTCCTGGCTGTGAGGGTGGGGACGCCCTGGCACAGGTTGCCTAGAGAAGCTGTGGCTGCCCCTGGATCCCTGGAAGTGTTCAAGGCCAGGATGGACAGGGCTGGGAACAACCTGGTCTAGTGGAAGGTGTCCCTACTCATGGCAGGGCAATGTAAAGGGATGAGCTTAAAGGTCCCCTCCCACCCAAACCTCTCTAGGACTCTATGGTTTCTCACTGTACCACTGCTGTCATCAAACTTTTAGTTTTTGCATTCAGGTCCTGGTTTAACACAGAGAGCTAGTGTAGACAACTAATTAAAGGGAGATTTCTATCAACAAATGACTTGTTGCCTTCCCTGACAGACCCTACTTGTCTTCCTACTCTCCTGGAAACAGCACCTGCAGCACAGCTCAGGCACAGATTCAGTTGGCCAGGGAGGTTTTAGCAGAGAACAGATCAAATGACATTCCCAGACTCCCACAATGCCTTCCAGCACCTGAATGACTGACTTCATTTAGCTGCTCCACTGAGGTGCTGCTGCCAAAATCTTCTTTTTTTTTTCTTTGCACAGCTTTAAATTGCAATGCTCACTGCCACTGTCTGCTCTCCAGAAATATCAGAGGCTGTCGGCTTTGTAAACATCAAAACAGCCACAACAAACACATCCCAGTGCTGTGGCAGCACAGGTAAACACAGAGGCTCTTCCCACTCTTTCGTAATGCAAAACGGAGTGTACCTTGTGGTAAATCCTCCTGGCAAACATTCCCCGAGCAAAAGCCTGGATGGTGATGGTGGACTTGCGGACCCTCTGGAAAGCTCGGAGGATCCGCAGCATTCGGTACTGCTTCTGCAAGACGATGGCAGCTCTCGTCCTCCTCAGGTGCTCAGCAAGCCTGCAAAGCACAGGAGAAAGGTTAGCAGGAAAACCAAACTCCCCTTCTTTCTGCCAAATAAGTTTTAAACTGGACAGAGAGAAAAACTCTTTTTCCCAAAGTAGTTTGGTGGTATTCAGGAAAGACCACCCCAACAGTAGGGCTAAGGAAATCTCCATGCTATCAGACAGCACCTATGGAACCCAGGAGCACTGGAGCCACAAATCAACATACCTCATTGTTCCCAAACAGCATTAAAAACAAGTATTTCCCGGGGTTTTCCCTGGATTTAGTCTCTCTGCCTTATGTACCTGAGCCAATCAATGTCCAGGTTGGCTCCATCACTTCCCTAACTATAAAAAGCCCATTTTGCATGGGGTATCTACTGACTCAGTGAAAACAGCAGCAAACTGATTTGACATTTCAACTGGTGTTTGGCAGTGGTTTGGCAGCATTTATGAGCAGAGCCTCAAGCAATTCATGGAGGGTAAATAATAAGGGATGTGGTCAACTCTCCACCACGTGGCTCCCACTCCCCAACTGAACTCATGCTCAATTTGTTGTTACACCGGTTAATAAATCCCATAACACTTCCATTTCATTTGATAATTAGCTTGTTTTGTTGAATTTATGACTCATTTATTGCTCTCAGTATGAAGCATTATACAGACATTTGATTCACTTCTTCTATTTCATGAAAAGCTTATCACAGCTAAGAGCCACATCATATTGGTTTATATATCCACTTGATCAAGGTCAATAGTTCCTCATTAGGACTGCTGAACCAGGGCTTCCTAAAGAGGACAAGGGATGGTCTGTCTCCAAAAAGAGGAGACAGCAGTTATTCAGATGCCATCCATCACCTATGAAACCTGCACAAAGAGGGGAATTGAAAAATCATGTAGGAGAAACACTCCAGCAGGTAGTTTTTACATGTCTGCTTCCGGCCTCTCTTTTAGCTCATACTCCATTGTAGGAGAATTAGAAACCTTTTGGGTTGAGGCAGGAGTGAACCAGCTGGTGGGAATTTGAGGAGTCTCAAGGACTAAGTGTTTTGAGAACATGACAAGGACTGGACATCTGCAGGAACAAGAAAAACAGCACCTGCAGATAAGAGTTTGAGTTAGACCTGCCAGGAGGCATGTAAATAGAGCATTGTGGTTAGATTTAGAAGGAGAAGAATTTAGAAAATAAGATATGTTTGCTAGCCAATAATAATCGTGTGAACAGTGTGTGTTCTGTGTGTGTGACCAATAACAGGTTAAGTAGTCAAATATGTGGTAGTTATTGAATTGTATAAAAGTTAAGTGTAATTTCCAATAAAGATGAAGCTTCCAGAACATCATATTGGTGTGTGTGAAGTTTCCACTGGGTCTCGCACGTGGTTACACCCCATCACTTTGACATCAGCAGGCATCTCTCCTCCTCTCCCTAGAGGAATGGTTGACTGATGTAAACTCAAATGTAAAGTCCAAATCTGTAGGTGGAGAGCCAGTCTGAGAGGCTCAAATTAATCCCAGAACAGTTTGGGTTGGAAGAGACCCTAAAGATCAGCTCCATCCACCCCTCCGCCGGTCAGGGACATCTTCCACTAGACCAGGCTGCTCCAAGCTCTGTCCAACCTGGCCTTGAACACTTCCAACTCTCCCTTTTCCTTAACCTTCCTCTTATTGCTTAGGTCTCATTTGCCTTGTCCAAGGCTGCAAGGCTGGCAAAGAGGGACCTGTCTAGAGAAGTATGTGGACTGACAAGAAAAAACCCTGCTCAGTTTTAAATAAAAGTCACCAAACTGCCCGTCTTTGCTTCTTCTTCTAGACCTTCTCATCCCTGGATTATCCACGGCACCAACCCCTTTCACAATCAAAAGTAACACCACAAATTCAGCCAGTACCTCTGATGCTCTTCCAAAACTCAGTGTGACTGTACACTGCAGTGTCAGACTTGAATAAGGGGCAAAAGATGGAAGGTGATCACTGTGTTGGGATGCTATTCCTTTGCTTTGCTGCTCCCTCACACTCACCACACACCTGATACCAGCAGCCCAGAACAGTGTTATCTACAGAAATCCCAGCAAGCCAATGGCATGAGGGAGCTTGAGGTTCCTTCCTACGAAGTGTTAACACTGAGCTCTGTTATTCTGTACCATAAACAGCCCCACTGCCAGTGATTCTGAGCAATTTTTCTCATTAAAAAGGAAACAGCCAATCAATCCTGAGAGCTCCCCTTGGACATTAAGGAGGCACAAAGCTGGTCCCTGCAGAAGACAGCGCATACCAACTAGCCAGCTGCTCCCTGGCTAATCCAAATGCTCTTTACCACAGGTAGTCCCAGGAAAATATTAGTTCTGTGAAATACCTTCAGCTAAATACTTCAGAGTACTTTAGTCATCTGATTATAACCCAGTTGCCTATGCTTTGACCTTGGCCCAGCATCTAGAAATTAAACTAATGTAGACGGGAAACCAGTTTGAGGCAAAGAATTTTAATCTCTTGCCCCGAAGTAAAGCTGAGGAGAGGGGCCAGGAACGAGTCCTGATTTTCACACAGAAACTTCCACCACGCTGTGCTATCCACATGCACAATACGCATCTTACTTTCAAGGCGTTAAAAGGCAAGGCCCCATGCGGGGCATTTTCTGTGTGAAAACCACAAGTTTAGGATCCACAGGATGGAAAATGGAAAACACAAGTGCCCAGCAGTGGTTTTACACCTGAGTTGCCAGCCAAGCCCTTCCTCGGAGGGACCCACCTCCGTGCCAGGTGCCCACGTGTGTAGCGCTGGAGGACGATCGTGGCCTGTCTCAGCCTTTGGTACTTGACCCTCTGCAGCCACCCCCGCACCGTCTTCTCAATTATGATTATGGCAGCTCTGAACTTGTCTGCCCGCAGTTTCTCCAGGTACGCCACCTGGCCTGCGCGGAAGAAGATCTTGGTATGTCCAAACTGGAACTTGTCTGGATCCTTTTCAAAACCACAAAGGAAACGAAATTCAATTAAGGCAAACATTAATATTTTCTTTTTTCTCTTCAGTTTTGTGCTGCTTGGTAGATACAGAGCAAAAATCCCCCTTTGAATAAAATGTCAGCTCACGTCCCTTCTTAATTGCGTGATGAAGATATTATTAGACTCCAAGCTACTCAAGCACTACAATTCAGTCTTAAATTCCATGTATTTACACAAATTTTGAATGGCTTGGGAAGTTTTTGGTTCGTTTTGGGTTTGGTTTGTATTTGGTTTGTTTGGTTTCTTTCTTGGGTTTCTCTAAAGCTGAATAGAGAAATAAGAGAATCCTAGAATGGTTTGGGTTGGAAGTGACCTTACAGATCATCTAGTTCCAACTATGGGCAGGGACACAATCTAGACCAAAAATGCAACATCACAGCATTTAAAGAAGGGATTTCTTTCTCAAAAAGATTAACGTTTTCATCTGCAATGTCATTCAAAAGGATCTGCAGCCAAGGGAAACACTTGGTGCATAAGAAAAACAGCTTTTGTAGAGAGGAATGCAATTAGGTACACTCCTCAATATCCCACAGGAAAACAAGAGATCAGATATTACAACCTGGCTAAGGTGCTGTGCAAATTCTGGGCTACCCAACAGCAAGAAACCTCTGTGTGCATATTTGCTATTTAAAAATAAAGCACAGGGGAGTGGTAAGGTTTTGGAGGGGGGGGGGAGGGCAAAAACTCCCAATTTGTTTATGGGAAAAGAATCCCAATCTGTGGGGTGCTTTTTCCACATCTGGCTATTACAAGTCCCCCATACATCAAGATAAGGCATTTTTTGCACTTTTCTCTTAGTCATTAGGGCAAAGAGTGATTTAATGATTGACTAAGGTTCATGATGTTGTCCCAGGCTGGACCTCTAACACATGCTCCAGCTATGGCTGGCCAAAAACAGAAGGAGGGCTTGGGGGGACACGTTTTTAAGAAATGGTCAGTTGATCATGTCCGGCCAGTGACAGCAAACTCAGGACTTCACCAGCACTGAAATGGTACATTCATCTCGACCACAACCATGAGATCCCATGTCACACTTGCTCCCTCTGCCTCCTTGTAAGACCATCTCATTTTGGAAAAATCCCCAGGCTGCCTGGGACGAAGAAGCACCTGCACAAGCAGCAGGTGAAGCTGGAGCAGGAGCAGCAATTTCAGATCACACCAAAGCCATGAGCTTCTGTGCTGTTAAAATCATTGCCAAAGATCTGGTGCCAGCTCACCTTAATGAGGTCTTCCAACAGGGTCTTACAGATCTGCTTCTTGTCTTCCTTACGGAGGTCTGTCTTCCTTATAAGCACACGATATCTCTTTAAAAAGTCATAGTAGGACCACCTGAAAGCAAAGCATACGCTGGATTAGTCTGTATGCTTGGCAATATTTCCTTAAAATAAATGGTTTGGAGTCATAGATGAGTCAAAATATGAAACTCATACTTTGAGGGATCTCTCACCACTACCCTCAGAAAGGATCAAAGACAACTGAAAGTAGCTTGGTCACCCTCAACCTGGCCCTCACTCTCAGCCACTGAATGACCTTATCAGGGCCTTTCTAGCCTGGAACAGAAAGGTCACAGATCACCTTGTTTTCACTCTTCCTGATGTGCTTCCCAATCTGCTGCACTTTACCAAATGCAACAACCCTGTTCCTTTCAGGAAGCAGAGGCTAACTTTGAAGAAATCATGTATCTTCTGACTGGCCAAAAAAATAAAAAAGCAATCTTGATAGTCATAGACAATGAATGAAAAAGATATACTGTTTTATTTTGTGTTTCCAAACTCTGCTGAATATTTATTAGAATCAATTAATTCATTAATTGCTCCATCATGAGGTCTGTGACGTAGACCCTGGAAACACACACAAAATCTTTTGATGCTGAAAAGACAAAGCAGCCCCTTGGAAGATGCCTCACTGTCACCATCAGTGAAGCTTCCAAACAGGCAACACTAATTGCAGGGTTTAGAGCACTGCATCCTACTGCTAGGAAAGAACATCTCCTGCTGCTCCTGTTAGATATAGAGCCTGCAGACTGGGATCCTAAAATTGCTTCAGCATCTGCTAAGTTTCAGCCTTCTGTAGTTTAACATAGTGAGTTATAAACGCCCTCAAAACCTGAGTTTTTAATTAAAACATTAGGCTTTTCCAGCAATGTCCAGAGCGGCCACCGTTATTTGAAAAAGAAAAATAACAAACATCAAAGGGAGACTGGAAAGAATTGCTGAGAATTTGAGCCCTGCCCTTACTCAACCACCTGTGAGCCGGCTCCTCATCCACATGGATGCTGTGGCAGCCAGGATAAGAACACACTGTATGAAGAGCTGTCATACAGAAACATCTCCTGTGCCCAGCAGCCCCATAAACGCCTTTATTTTTTGTGCTATTACACTAAATTCTTCCTAATTTTCCACTTCTAGAGATTAAAAGAGGAGCAGGTGGAAAGGAAAAATAAATTGTAAACGGCCAGAGTGATGCTCATGGTGGGTCCTTACCCTTGGCCAGTCTGCAGTGGTGGGGCTGGGCGAGACACCACACCACCAGAGCAGTGAGGGCTGCCAGCTCTATAAAACACTTCATTAAACAAAGGACCTGCACAATCATCAGCTGCAGATATCGCTCATGAAACATCTTGAAGATTGGAAGATGGGGTATTTACTAAGACAGGTATATTCCTTATTTCAAAATACGCAACCAAAAGTTTCATGTCACTTCAGAAAACACAGTCAGGGGAGGAAAACCAGTTTGATTAAAAGCAGTAGTCTAATTAAAAGAGTACAGTAGAAGAAAGTGTTTGCAAACAGAATGAAGGGAGCAAAAAGGAGGGGAAAATGGACTGATAAGGACTGGGAAGCAACATGCAACTCCTGCATGGACACAACTGGCAAAGAATACGGGACTGGAAAAGCTAGGGAATCCTCAGTACTGCAACTGAAGCCAAAGGAAAGGTGGAGGGCTCCTGGAGACAGAAGAATGAGGGAAACTGTCATGAGAGGACTTCCAGTGCTCTGATTACTCAGATTAGTTCTGGAGCATCCAGATTTGGCACTGATTTAATCCCTGTCACACCTTCAAATAACCAAAAATGTTGGATTATCACTAAAAAACCTAAGATACCAGCTATGAGGAGCTCTCTCTGGGATGAAAACTGAACACAAACATTATGCAAGACTATCAGCTTTGTGTCCTGTAGGGTTTAAGCTTGAATTCGCTTTCTCTTTGCTTTCTCAGTGCCTCGGTTTTATAATTACATTTCCCATTTTGCTTTGTGCAAATAAAACCCATTTTCATTTTAAGCACGTCTGAGGTTTACACAGCTCCAAATCAAACCTGAGAGGAGAAGCAGAGCATGCAGTGCCCGAGGCACCCAGCCAAGCACACGATGCTGGAGATATCCTGCCTGGCTGAGGTATTGCTTGAGCCAGGGAGAGCTTGATCAGGGGAAAGAAGAGTCAGTTTAGGTGCTGCCATTATTAACTGCTGCTATTTGCAGAAGAAAATCATCCTGCAAGTGCCACCCAGGCTCCTCCAGCAAGAGCAGATGGTGAAGAGGCAACACAAGAAACTGAGGGCACGGGTCCAAGCTGGGTAGAAAGCAAAATCCATCATCTTCCAGCACCAAGAAAGAGACAGAGGTCCTGTAGCTGCTCTCAAACAGGAGTCAGGCACCTGCAGGAATTCCTTAAAAATAGATCATAAGTCATTACATAATGGTCTTCCTTCAGAGCCTGTTGTTCTCGTTTCACAACATGGCAAAAATTGATTTTCTACGTGTTTCCATTTGAGTCCGTCTTGAACATAAATGGCGCACTTTTTAGCAGTAAGTCTCACATGAGGTATTGGAAGTGGCAGGGAATGCACTCACTGATTGCTGCCCAGGTGTTTATCTGTGCTGGTGGCATCCACAGTCCTCCATTCACACCTCCCAGAGGCTCCCAGCCCAGTGCTGCACCTCCACAGCACAGAACTGCTTTACTCATCCTCTCACCTTCCTTGCTGAATCAGCAGGAGATGACAGCCCTGAGATCACACTGCTTGTGCTATTGTCCACAGAGTGTCAACACAAAATCCCTGCCGGGCCAGGGCTCAGCTGGTCCATCAGGAGTTTCGCTGGAATATTTGCCATCCCAGTTCCCAAGCAAAAGAAAGCTGCAGGGGCTCGTAGGTGCTGTTACAGGATCCTCCCAGGAGAAAGGAACAATTAAAGCACTCAGGTTTAATGTAACATGCCTCACTGAACCACTTGAGGCTCAAAGCTGTATAAAATTTCTTTACAACTATGTGCTCCAGGAGAAACAAACATGATCCCCCACCCCTTCAACGGAGAGCTCTCTGGTGCAGAAACACTGAAGCTCACTTTAAATTATTCTTCTGCACATACACGTCTTTTCTTTACGTTCAACACTTTCATTTTCAGAAGAGGAAAAAAGAAAAAAAAAAGAAAATAAAGAAAAACAAACAAACAAACAAAACCCACACAAAACAAAACAAACAAAAACCAAAAAACCACAAACAAACAAAAACCAAAACCAAAAAAAAAACACACTTGTTTCCCACCTGCTAAACCACGCACTGATTCCCAGCCACAGGCAAAGGATGTGCTGTGTTACCCTACAGCTTAGCAGGTTGGGAGAGATTATGGGAAGGTTCCACCTCAGTTCAACTTGCTGACAGGTATTAAATAAAAAAAAAAAAAGAAGGTTGTCAAGTTTTCAAGATGCTGCCACACAACACACAGCACTGGTATGTCTCGTGCTGGGAGCTGGAAACCACCAAGGGCCACTGAATAAATACAATTCCATATAATTTTCAAGTTATAAGATCCAGATAGGCAGTGTAGAGAAAGAGCTGGAATCAGCAGGATTTTTATACCTGCACAGCTGAGAAAAATGAAGAAGGAGACATGAAGAACTGGGCAGATACTTCTCCAACTTTCCCAAGGTAAAACAGAATAATTTTGGGACTGAGATCAAGCACAACTAAACCTCAAACATCAGTGTTTTGCTTTGAAGTCACTAAGGAGGAAAGACAATAAAAGGAATGGAAGGGTGCAGGAAAATAACTTATGCCTGTGGAAAAAAGTCCTCCCTGGGTTCCAACAGCAAGGGGGATGCTCAAGGGCTTGGCCAGGATCAGGAAACTTGGTAATCCCTGCAATTTCTTTGTCATCTACAGGAATTATAAAGAAGGAATAAGCTGTAACACACATCACAAATTGTCTTTACTTTTTTTTTTTTTTTTCTGTAGTTTAAAGAACCAGATTTGGATGTTGTACAGAAAACTACAAGGTACAAAGCAAAGAGGCTGCTCCTGGCCAAAATGAAGGGGCTACGGACCCAAGCACAGCCCCCTCTGCTGCAGAGCCAAGCTGAGTTTATTACCTCAAATTAAAGGGAGGGCTTGGGTAAGAAACCAGGGGTGACATTCTAAGGAAGCCTCTGAAAAGCTGACTCCAAGCAGTCAGCAACTACCCAAAATATCTCCAACCCATTGTTTCAGGGTGATTACAGCAGCGTTATGTCAGCTGCACTGAATTAAGAGCTGAAAGGAGCATAATAAGTCAGCAAAGCTTCAAACTCTTACCCATAATATGGTTTTCTTTTGGTAGCCTAAAATAACTTAATGTAAAATGTTTCCATTCACGGCAACCAAATTAATTACCCCCAAGACCATCCCATGTGCTGAGCAAACCAAGTTTTGTGTTAGAAATCCTGCCAGCACCACGTGGTGCCCTCCACTGAATGGGCCGATATTTTAAGCAGTGAGGAGCTGGACTAGAATGATCTCTCCATAGGATCCAAAGCCTGTTTAGGGGGATGCAGGTTGAACCTCTCAGCCAAGATTTGACATGAAATTATTTTAGAAACCGTGGTTCAGGGAGAAAATTTCGCTTGCCTTGTTTACTGCAGCAGAACAGATTTGCCTTTCAATTAGCTCTAAAACATGCAGGCTGGCCTGGCTTGAAATTAGCTGGAATATATTCAAAGAGAAGAACAAGGGGGGAAAATACCCCTCCATTTACATATTACACCTTTTTTTTTGGGAGTGGGCAGACAGAACTGCTGGTAGCCACAGTCATTTAGAGGTTTTGTTACTTTGAAATGACAGCTAAAGGCACGTTATATAAAAAAACCGTCTGTATCCAAGGATGCCCATGATAGATTGCAATTATAAATGTTTAATGTTTATGGAGTTTAGCAGCTGGGATTTCACACTGAATTGATACAAAAATGCTGCATCTGACAGTCAGATTCAGGGACCAGAGGAAGCAGCCAAATGCCAAGAATACTTAAACTATAAATACATAACAATTGCAACAACAGTATTTCAGAGAGGCTGCAGTGCTGAGGTTATTCAGAGTCGTGGCACAGTGGGAGAACGTTGCTGTTCGACCACTGACTGGAAACCACCAGAACCAGTAAGAAGAAAAATGTAGAGTTTTGACAAAACGCAAGTTAAAAACTTGTTTTAGAGAGTATTTTGTGATTCATGGAGATCCACACCAATTAATTCTCCACAGACTCATCTTTATGCAGCCAGTTTCTATAAAGAAGATGAATGGCTGTATAGCACAGAGACATCTTCCACACTTTACCCAGGGAAGCTGATGATAGATTTACTATCTACACACCTCAGACAGTCCATTCATCACAGCCATTTATGTACATGCTAACAAATACATTTCTTAACTGCTGAGCAGCATTTCAAACCAAATGATACATTTTCAATTTACTTGAGACAAAGGCAGAGAGCAGTGCACCATGGAAATGATAAAATAAACCGGGTGCAACCAAAGTGGGGAGCACAAGGCTTCATCTTCCAGAGGAACTACAACTTACATTAAAACATTATTTCTTTTCTTAAAGGTAAAAAGAAAAAAAAATAAATTATTAAAGACTCAAAACATTGCATTCTTCAACCCATGAAGTAACTGTGATGGAGTAGTGTGAAATTAGAGCAGAAGGTGGCTTCATCCAGAGATCTCTGACCCAAGGCCACATCACTCTCAAAAAGTATGATGGAAAATATTCAGATGTAAACACTACATTTTCTACAGTTTCTGCAATAAAACTTAGCTTTAGATAAAAAAAGTTGGGAATTCTCTGTTGTTTTAAAGGTAAATTGCTTACACCGAAGTGAAACAAAACTCACAAAGATCAAGTTTTCTGTTATTATTTTAAAGGGGTTTAAATTTAGAGCCTTCACATGGGATTTAAATTTAAAGCAGTGACTCTCCTGTTTTGGTTTTATCATTAACCAACCAATATAAATCAACTTATCTCAAAATATAAGGAAATGCAGAGGAGTAATCTATCCGTAAGGTCACTTACAGATTGCATGTAAAAATGCAGAAGCAACTATTTCCCACAAAATAGGATCCTGTTAAAGCATCTTTTCCCAAGCTGGTTTATAAAGCCAATTCAAATACACAGATTATTCACAGTGTTTCAAGGATGTCTTCCAGCTCCTGGGTCTGGATTTTCAAGGCTGGAATTTTATGACCATTAAGGGTGAAGAACTACCAGAGCCCAAAGTGAGCATTTTATTTAGTGCAGAGCTGTTCCCATGCACAATTATCTTCTAGAAACATTAAAATACACAAAAAAAAAATCTGTCCTTGAAGCATCTCAAACATTGGAGAAGGTCACTCTAAAAGGCTGAAGTAGGCATTTGCACTTTTTCTTTTTCCCCCCTGGATGAAGAACAAGAGGTGACAAATTGCAGTGATTGAAGAGTTCTGTATTCTCAGTGTCCTGGGAAAAGATCTCATAACCAAAAGCAAGCAAGCAGAGCTGAGAGCATCACTTTTGAGTTTTTCAGGGTGCAGGGGTCTTTGCAACAATCAATTATTTGCTGTAAATAGATCCTGGCTGGTCTCCAGGTGCTGCAGCGGTTTCTAACAGTTACTAATTATACATTGATTTTAGTGCTGTAGGGTCTAAACTGCAGTTAGATGAGGAGAAAAAGGATAAAAGTCTGTAGTATAGTTACGAATGGAGAGGAGCTGGGTATCCCTGAAGCCCTGACAGGACCAGTAGCAAAACTAATGGACAACCCTCAAGTTAGAGCTCACCAAACCTGCACTGGGGAGGGTGACTGCTTGCTTAGCACAGAACTGCTTTCACATGGCCTCTCCCATGTGAAAAACAACAGCTTTTTCATTCCTTAAGGCTTTTACTGCAAGAGGACAGACAGATGTGGCCCTGAAACAAAGACAACAACAACAAAAATGACCCATGGGCTGTTTTCTAAGTCCTCGCTGTGTCTCAGAGATCATGAAATTTAGGAGCAACTTTTTATTAGTTACTTCAACAGACACCTTCAAGACTTCAGAGGTGAGACCCAGAAGTGATTCTGGGTTTTCTAACAGGGTCAGACCCCCACAAGGAGGACCTAAATCCCCACGTACCTCTGCCACCCTTCCACACTGGCAAAGAGAGAAATTGGTTTCTATGAAAAATTTCTTCTTCTTTTTTCCTTTTTTTGCCTCCTTAAGTAGTTGGGCTCAGCTGGTCAGGGAGAAGCCCATCATCAGCTTTTGCCTGTCCGTGGAGGTCACTGGCCAACACAGGTGAAGTGCAGCAGAGCCACCTCATCTCAACGTGCAGGCGGTGCCATCGACAGCACAGTCCTCCCCAAAATCCAGGACAGGGAGTTTCTCATGGTGCACAACATCATGCTCAGCCAACTCTTCACTGAGCATATTTATAACCTCTTTGTCCCATATAAAAAGGCTGATGGCTTTGCTGACATGAACACAAAGCAGCTTGGCACTAAAACGCAATTGATGCATTTTTAGAATTATTTGCCCTTGTCATCTTCAGGGTTTATTTATAGTTTATGTTTCCTGATTTATTAGGCCTTAAAAACCTCTTTTGAATTTTTATACCACAATCAGCAAGAGCCACACCACCCACAACACTTCCTTTTTACGATGCAAGATTCTGAAGCCTCGGATGCTTTGGATGTGCAGTGTGGAAGTCTATAGTAATAATTTACAACCCTTATTTTCTTTCTCTGCAAGTACAATCAATTTTTTTTTTTTCTGAAATGAAAATTGCAACAGATGTCTGAAGCCAGGGGGGAAAAAAAAGCACAAAGGAAAGTAAATTGTAAAAGTGGAAGGATCTTCAGGCGAGCAGGGAAGAATTTCTCTAGGGCAACATTTGCTTCCAAGAAGGATGGGTGCAGAGGATATAAAGCTGTTGTTTTGTTACTTGATGTCCACCTCCATTTGGGATCAGAGCTGGATTCCTTTATCTGCCAGGCATCAGCTTTTTCAGGGATTTCACCACATCAAATTACATCTCAGGACCAAACTGAAAGCACCAGCTGAAACGCTGGACACAGCACAACACACCCTCTGTCAGCCTCACTTTGCAGCTCTTTGCCTGATAATGAATCTCTTAGATTTGAGGAACCCAGGACCTAATGGGAGTTTGGCAAACTGCAAACAAAAAAAACCCATAAGAAGCAGAAAATCTACCCTGGATATAAACCAACCTAAATAAATACTCTTTGTCCTGAAAACACCAGTGTTTCTTTCTCTCTTGCCTCAGATAATCACAGAATGGTTTAGGTTGGAAGGGACCTTGAAGCTCATCTTGTTCCACTCCCCTGCCACGGGCAGAGACACCTTCCACTATCCCAGGTTGCTCCAAGCCCCATCCAACCTGGCCTTGGACATTTTCAAGGATGGGGGATAACGAACTTGCTGAGTAAATCACACCAGCAGAACACCACCACAGCAAACACCCAGCCCAGTACCTGGAGGGGAATCCAGCTGCACTGATCCGGATGGTCTCCAGCACTCCACAGGCTCTCAGCTGCTGCACTGCCCTCTTTGGATCAAATCTGCAATCATATTTAGGATAGAGATTAACACAGTGAAAAGGAACCCACACTTTAAGCCCACCTGACAGCGACCCTTGCAGAGACAGGAATTATCTTCTGCTCTTGTCATTAGAGTAGGGGTTGAATAAAACCACCTTCCATACTTTTTAGTCCATAGCCATTCCCTCACAAGTCTCAGGATAACCCATGCCTTGCTTTGGGAACATGCTGCACAGATGTCACACATTTCCTCTCCACATCACAAGTTGTTGTACTTTTCAAGAGCAACAGGCTTTGCTACCACCCTGCTATCAATCCCTAGTGGTTTTCTTGGGATAAGATGACAATCTGCTGCAATTAATTAGTCCCTACAGCCATAATGTACCCAGCTTTGTAAAGCAATACAATTACAATACAGTAGGGAAAGGCTACCCCACCTCAAGCTGCCTGATGAACCAGACAGTACTACTTCTGCAGTTTTAAGGTCCAGAAATCAAATTCAACAGCAAAACAAGTCTGATACATTTAACTCCATATTTATATTCATACCAAACCAGGTCCCACAGATTTACAGACTATATTTACCCAGAACAGTGGTGCTCATGCTCCCGACTAACATCAAGGGGTTCCTGAATAATGCAAGGGGTTTCTGCCCTCCTCTTTTTAGCTGGCATCATCCCTTAACACTGGCATCTCATTTCCATCATCAATTTGTGCCAAAAAACTTCATGACAACTTCCAGCTGAATACCTGGGCTGTGCTCTCTCTGGCTCCTGGCACGAGCCCACTCCAGATCAGTTTATCTTTGCTCAGAGTGAGTCCAGGTACCAGTGTCCCCCATTGCTGCTCCCTCCTTCCACCCCAACACTGAATGCACAAAGAGGTCCCAGCTCTTCAGTTCTGAAGACCCTGGAAGAGTTCCTTGGGTGAAGCCTGGACTCATACAGTGCAGATGTACACAGCTGTGTGAGGTTTCCAGAGCAAGGGTGAGGAGCCAAAAGCTTCTCACGTATCTGCTTATCTCCCCCTGAAAGCCCAAAATATTTACACCTGCAAGTCAAGATTACATGAATAATTCTGTCTGGTCTCTGCTGTACAAAAGCAGAATGGAAAATGCTTTCCTTCTTCTCTGTGCTTTTTTAAATTCCCTGGACTTGTCCAGACTTACCAGCAAGTTATTCACTGCAACACCACAAACACAATGCAGGGCGAAAAATCAAGTCTGGGCTGTCACTCACTTCAAGGAAGAACCCACAAGGGTACAATTTCCATAACAATAAATAATAAACAGGACTGGCAGATCAGCGGGGAAGCTTCAGGCCTGGAAGATCCCAGGGCAATCTCCACTGTGCACAAGGGAAACTCTCTCCAAAGCAGACAAGCCCTGCTCAGAGTGGGTGAAATGCAGTAACAGGAGAGGCTGTAGTCATCTATCTGCACCAACTCCAGCTATGGGCTAACTCTGAAATAAAAAGCTTCAAAGTGGGACTATACACACTATTAAAAACTTCTTTTCCTTGCCATGGCAGGTAGAAGCAACTGGCAGCAGGTTGCTTTTGGCCTGGAAACCCAAGTAAAAGATCACAGACCCTGCCCGAAACAGAATTCGAAAGGAAAATTGAAAAAGGAACAACCTGAAGTCAGGCATTCCCCTTGCACATCTGTCTTTTGAGGTCTTCACCATTATGGAATAACCTCAGACACAGCCTGCAGCCAGATGCAGCAAATATCATTGTTTCCTCCAGGATGGAAGCCTGACACCCCTCACCCTCATTGTAGATCTTATGTTTTCATCAACTTGTAAAGTAGGAATGGAAGTAATGCAGGGTGCAAGAGACCTGAGGAAATCAACCTCCTGTTTTTAAAAGCTGGGACAGCTGTAGGGGCAGACCCATAGCTCAGGGCTTTATCCAGTCAAAAGCTGAACACCTCCAAAGATGGAAGTTGCACAATCCCTCTGGGAAGACTGTTCCACTGACAGACTGTCCTCAGGGAGAAAAAAAACACGTTTGCCCATCTCCACTATGAACCTCTCATGCCAATTTGGGGCCATTGACTCCTGTCCCCTACCTACACACCATTGTTAAGAGCATGGTTTTGTCCTCTTGGTAGCCCCTGTAAGTACTGAAAGGCTGCTATTGGGTCCTTTCTCTTCTCCAGGATAAACACCTCATTTTAGCAAAAAATGTAATGCTCCTGTGAGTTGGAAAATGTTACGTTTTAGGAAGAGAAAATCTGTTTTTTTCGTTGAACAACAAACATAACACTGAGTGTTCTGCACACTACAAAATATCACTTCAGTGCTAACCCCGGAGCAATGCCACTGATGCCTCCCAGCACTGTGTATTTTCCAGTAAGTGGCTCTGAAACACAGAGTCCTTTACAGCCACCCCAGTACTCTCCAGGCTCAAGTTTTACCTATAAGCAAATAGACTTTAGAGGGTAAATCTGATGAGGAGCGGCTGAGGGAGCTGGGGGGGCTCCTCCTGGAGAAAAGGAGGCTCAGGGGGGACCTTCTGGCTCTGCAACTCCCTGACAGGAGGGGGGAGCCAGGGGGAGTCAGGCTCTGCTCCCAGGGAACAGGGACAGGAGGAGAGGGAACGGCCTCCAGCTGTGCCAGGGGAGGGTGGGTTGGACATGAGGAGGAATTTCTCACTGGAAAGGGTAGTCAGGCACTAGAAGGGGCTGCCCAGGGAGGTTTGAAGTCCCCACCCCTGGAGGTGTCCAAGGAAGGACTGGACATGGCACTCAGTGCCCTGGGCTGGGGAATAAGGTGGGGATCGGGCACAGGGTGGACTCTCTGATCTTGGAGGGCTCTTCCAACCTTAATGATTCTGTGACTTTATTCAAGCCAAGCTCAGGATACAAATTCCTCTTGGCAGTAAGATCAATACTGACCAAGATTCTCAGATCACGTGTCAATTAAGCAATCCATGGTGGGTGAGGAGGGAAATCGTCTCTTGCAGAACCCCCCACAGGGGACACCTGAACCAGAACTTGTAGAAGGGGATGCAACCCCACCACCCCAACCCAAAGGAATCGCCTCCAGAACCATTCTTGTGTGTTATTTTGGTTTGTCCTTTGTTCCCAAAACCCTCAGCTGGGAAAACTCTGACCGGGAACATCTCATCAGACCAAGCCACCACTTAAACCACAAGCAGACACTGGCAGAATTATCCTCTTGCTGTTTGCTACCCACAGAAACAGCTCAGAAGTACAACTGAGTTAATTCAGACAACTACTGCACTTTCACAACCAGGAGCTCACACATTTGTGAAATTATATTAACTTTATCCTGAGCATCACATGAAAAACTGAATTGAAAAGTTAAAAGGCAAAGAAGTAAAGATGGAGGGCTGAAAGCATAGTTGAGTATGGACGTGGAGTATTGGAAACACCCTCTGGAAAGGTGAAGACATTTCACCATTCAGAACATCCTTGACACTTTTCACTACAGCAGTTCAGAAAATATTTCTGTGTTTTATCTAAAGAAAACAGTCAATCACAAAGTATAATCCTGATTTTCATTTAAAAGGGAAATCATTGCAATAGGCAACAGGTGTGGCCCTAAGCATCTCCAGTACCTACAAAATGGTACATGAAACAGATACAACAGAGTACAGAAGCCAACACAACCTTCTCCAGAGCTTATAACTAATCATCTAAGGAATCAGTCAAATATAAACCAGTGTCTGAATGTCTTCTAACCATTAATACTCTTCACTTTGCTGTTTGCAGGGGGAGAAGAGTCAAACCAGGAAGCTTCCCAGTGGATACATCTCCACCAGCACATTGTGACCAAGGGTGAGCCTGTTGGCAGGTGCTTCACTCTCCTTTCAGGACACTGTTGGAGTTGTCTCTGCACGCTGAAGTTGCACTGTGCTCACTGGGAGCCCTCAGCCTGTACTGGACCAGCTGGAGGAAAATTCCTCCCTGCTGATGGGTTAACCTGCTTTCCTAAAGGTCACCACCTGCAGTTTATGCCTTTCAAGGACATCAAAACATGATCTATGAGGCGCCTACATACCAACAGACAAGGTTTTTTTGGAGCTGAAGGGAACAAAACTGGGTACAAAGACACGACCAAGAGGTCAAGCACGCCTAACAGCTCTCTGCTCACAGAGTTCGCCGCTCGCTACACGTCTCTGAACTACAGAGGAAGATCGAGACTGGCTGTTTGTTTCAGCTGTTCACTCACCTGAAAACCTGCCTGAAGTTGACACAAGTCACATCTTTACTTTTTCTGCAATTTATTTTGGAGGCACCAAGACATTTTTGCTCATTTTACAAGCCCCACTACTTTTCTCCACATTTTCATTTCTTCATCTTTTCACGGTTTGGAACTGTAGCTATTTAAATCAAAGCAAGTCTAAGAAGAAATTGTACAAAGACCCTATTACTGCAAAGTAAGGATGCTCAGTATTATTAGAAGAGTATAACTACGAATTACTATAACCTGAATCAGTCTTCATTTCACACAGGCACAAAAAGCGCGTGACGAAACCCACAAAAAAGTGACTCCAGCAAAATATACGGACCTTCCAGTTGCAGGGACAACATTACAAGGAGGGAGCAATGCCTCCAACAAAGGTCCAAAGCACACTCTGTTGCTCTAAAGACGAACATCCCACTTACTTAAAGGGCAGCTTCTCGTCGTTGGGTTTGATGCAGCGCACATAGTGCGGGGTGGTGGCGTTCAGGGTCTCCATCAGCAGATGCAGGGAATTGCGGAACTGGAAGAGAAAGCCACTCGTTTTGAGGAGGGAGGAAGGTGCTGCAGCCCAAGCTGGCAGCTGCCACAAGGCACCTGGAGTGACAGCCCCTGGATGTGACACAGCGTGAACCTCCCCGCCTGCCCAGCACGTGCAGGGGAAACTCAGAGAAGGCACTGGTGGGGTTGAGAACTTCCAGCTTAAGGTTCATGAGCAACAAGTGTTTGCTCAGGACTCTGCACAGTTGGGTCTCTGAAATGCCTCCAAGGGTGGAGACAGCACAACCTCTCTGGGCCCTTGTTGCACCACTTGACTGTCCGTACAAGGGGAAAAATGCTCTTTTTCTGAAGTTGTTTCAATTTATGAGATCCACAGCACAATGGAACACATTCCAGTGAATCCCAGAGTGGCTCCACCCTCCTTAAACCTCTCAGCTACTTCCAATCAAGACTACTCAAGCCTCCTCATACAGAGACACTGCTAGAAGTCATCCATGTTCGGCAAGAGCCAAACATGGGTCATGGGAAAGTGTCTTTCCATCCCCAAAAGCTTTTTATTTATCTCCAATTCAAGCTGAAGCAACAAGATCTTAACTGGATTCCCCTGTTGTTGGCTGACCCATTCAAATTATACATTACCTGATGTCCCACTGTTTTTTTGTGCTCCTTGTTGGCAGCTTTGATGGGTGGCCTGGCAGAACGGACGCTGATTTTCGATGTTCCCTTTCCCTTGGAAGTGACAGGCACAGCACCCTTCTCTTCGTGGAATAAGTCTGCCACCATTGGATACTAAAACAAACAATAACACTTGAGCAACTCTGGCCCTGCCCACTGGGGGAATGAGCCCACCCAAGTCACATTGCTCAGGTCATTTTTTTACCCATCTTAAGCCTGGAGGAGAGAAAAAGGGCAAGAAAAGTGAAAGCAAGAAGCACTGTGTACATGACCCACATCGGGACCATGAGACCATTCTGTCTCATAGTTCATCAGACCTTGAATGTGCAAAAACAAGGAGGCTGAAGTCTTGTCACACAAAACCTCCCGCATGTGAGGGGCCTCACTCGCAGGGCTTGATTCCAGCATACTCATCCAGTCCTGGCCTCATCAAGGATGCTGCCTGAACAGCACACACCCCAGGAACGGGAGTCTCCATGTGAGAAGGTCCCACCACAGCCCCAGAGGCACTCTTGCTTCTCTAACAATTAAAAAGACCCCAGCAATTCCTCACTAATTACCTGCCCATCAGCTGAACAGGCAAGGCAGCAGCAGGACTGCCATTCCACAGCCCTGGGTGCACCACATTTGGCTCCTCAGATCCCCAAAGACTGGGATTTCTGGCAAGCCAGCAGCAACATTTCCTCCTCTTAGACGGGAGAACAGGTGAGCTGGCAAATGCACTTAATGTCCTTTTCTAATTATTATTATTTAAGGAGCAGGATATTCAAATCTGCATTAGACTGGGGAACTTGAATATTAAGCAAGCCACCATAAATCTGGTCTGGTTAGCAGGGCTGTTAAATTTTCTTGGGCTCCAGGACAGTGCCTGCTAAGGATCTGCTTCATATTCACAGTTTTTTACTTTTATCTCTGGGGCTTACTCAACTCCTACCAGAATAAAGGCTCTCACCTTCTTTGCCTGACACTTCATCCCCCCCAAAAAAGAGACATCCTGACAGCTGCTGTAGAGGTGCTGAGGGATAAGCAAGAAGGACAGATCCCTCCTTCCCAACTGGCAGAGTCAAAACCATCAGTGCATTATTCGTAATTACAAAGGAACTGGAGTACAATACCTGTGCAGCATGCCTGTATGCTCTCCTCTCCATCAGTACTCAAATCAGTTTCCTTAATTCAAAAGAACATCAACTCTCAACTGTTTTAGCTGACCGGTGCTAACAGGACTAATTAGCTGCTTTATGAAGTCTCGTTCACTGTCCTGTTGATGGCATTAATTGCATTCTAATTAGCAGAAGGCAGTTCTGCCTCAGTGGGAGTGCTTCATCAGCGATGTGGTTGTTGGTGGAGAGGTGTTTAGGTCCTTGCTGTGTTAAACTGAGTGTTCCCCCTTGCCCTCCACATCACTTTGGTGGGAATACAAAGAAGAGAGCAGTGAATACTGTATGGAGGCCTGGTCCTGAGGACAGGACAAAGTCCTCACATCACAGCCTTTTGCAGCACAAATTTAAGTTTTAGCCAAACTAGCACTTCTGAGCAGCAGACTCGGCACTGCCACTGCAACTCTCTTTGGTTCAGAGAGACCATGTTGCTTTTCACAGCAAAAGAAAATTGGTTTTATTTGTTTATAGCCCTGGAAGGCACATGGCAAGCAAGAGGCAAAAAAGCCACCCCAGGATAACACAATCTGCTGGCAAACAGGGGTTAAGGAAACCAAGAGCAGATCATCAGGTTTTAGAGGCTTTTCAGGAAGAAGGTGAGGATGCTCCTGCTGCTCTTCTTCCCAGGACAGCACAGCATCAGCACAGGCTGATAACAGTCGCTGCCCCCATGTCACTAAAGAAATGGCTTAAAGGCAGAAATTCTTCAAACTGTCTCCCAAATGTTCTCAGAGCCAAGTGCATCTGAGAGTGTTTTGTGCTGCTCAGAGAAGCTGTGGCTGCCCCGTCCCTGGGAGTGTCCAAGGTTGGAGGGGACTTGGAGCAACCTGGGCTAGTGGAAGGTGTCCCTGTCCCTGGCAGGGGGTGGGACTGAGATGGTGTTTAAGGTCCCTTCTAACCCAAACCATTCTGTGATTCTGTGATCACAAATGCAGATGTTGGTGTCGCCTACAAAGCCACCACCATGAAGCCACAGGGTCCAAACACCTGATCCCAAAGGAGCATTCACCTAGTTTGAAGGACAGGTAAACTCAAATCTTTGGTCCTAAGACATTCACATTAATTTTTTAGGGTTTGATTTGTTCGGGTTTTTTTAGGTCGAGCAAACCAGCTGCAAGGAGCAGGGTTTGGTGGTGTTTTTAGCTATTAAATGAAAGTCCAGCCTGCTCTGGTATTATATTATAGTCCCTATACATGACAGAGAGACCTATTTCACCATTTTTTAAAAATCTCTTATTTTTGCAGAAGGAGTTCCAGGGTCCCCAACACTTTCCAGCAAGGGGTTACATCTCTCCTCTGCAACCAAGTCAAACAGAAATCCCTACCAGACACTGCCAGTTCTGCACCGCTGACTTCAACAGCAAGTTCAGCACTGGTTAAATAATTCATCATACAGCATCAATTATTCCTGGAGGCTACCTGGCATTTCTAATAAGCTCTAATCATGTCCAGATTTTGCCCTGGGAAGCTTCCTGAACATGCAGAGCTCTTGGTTTGGGTGTTATTAATGTCCAGTTTCACAGTTATTTGTCTCACAACTACCCCCACGGATAAGAAATCTGCTCATCCTGTCATCTTCACATGAATTCCTGGTGGGGACACAGGACAAGCCACTGATAACAGTCAAATAATTTCCCATTCTCATCTCTGAACTTTGACAGGAACAAGTTCCTGCTTAAAATGCTCCTAAACCCACTATTTCCTCCATCTCCCCTCACCCCACTCCTTTTTTAGGGTGCCTTTGGAAGGCGACAGCCAGAAGTAAACCCAAGGGAGGGTGGCACAAAGAGAAGCCTGGATATGTGACACGTTTGCTTGCAACATGCAGGGGGGTCCAAATTCTGTAATGCAAAAAAAATCCAAAACCAATGTAACCTACTGGCCTGTGCTGTGGAAGGCTTTGAAATGTTTTGCAGAAAAGCAGATGTACTCCTTCCTTAAACCACACACAAGGTTTGGCGGGACAGAGGTGCCCCAAAGTCATGCAGCCTTGATTTTGGATGCAGGATGCAGGTGTTGGACTTTGCAGGGCTGGATTTTCATACCAACTCCCTAATAAAAGCTGCCCCTGGAAGGGATGAGGCTGTCTATGAAGTTTCATCTCATTAATTGACAATGAAAGACTCAAGGCTGCAGGGAAGAACTTTTGGTCTGGTTTTAAAACAGCAAGTATTTGAGATTCCTTAGATGTCTGCACTGACACCTTTAACCCAATCCACCCAAGTGCCCGTGGAGAGAAGAGTGTGGTACTGGAAGTCAGCGTAAAATCTGCTCAGTTTATACATAGAACTGTGAAGTGTCCAACCTGAAGCCCACTGCCAAATGCCCTTTCACTGCAGGCAGGACCCACACCAAAGCCTGCAGAGCCCCAGAGCTACTGCTCTTCTGCTTCCAACATCCCACCAAATCCCCAGCCCACAGAACCGCTGGAGATTTTAAACACTGAGAGCCAAAATGCTCTCTACCAGAAGACCTGGTAGTCAAGGTCAGTCAATACATCCCTGCCGGCACCTGAAGCAGTGAGGTGTTGACAAGTTGTTTGTACAACACCTGAGAGGAGAAAGGCACAAGGCCTTGTATCACAGGAATTGGCAGCGTGATCATCAATATGAGTTAATCTGTTAAAACTGTATATTGGCAGTGCTGTGAAACAGCTCCACAGCAGCTGGGACATCTCAAGGGTTTGGGTAACGTTTCCAGCATTTTGTATGAACCCTGTTTTTTGCATACTAATTATTAAAGTAATTAGAAAACACAGGGACATGTATGATGGACTACAGCTAAAACAAACAGCAATTTTCATATAGGAGGGTGATAGGGTCATCAAGGCTACCCACAATATACAGACTACACTGTTGACCATGGCTTTTAACCCCAGGATCACCTTGCTTTTGAGCAACCTAGTCCAGTGGAAGGTAACCTTGCCCACAGCAGGGGCTTAGAACAAAGATGATCTCTAAGGTCCCTTCCAATCCCAACCATTCTGTGATTCTATGATAGCACCTTCAGTGCCAGCTGACGAGTGGGGAGCTCCAAGCAAGAGTTAAATGGGATTTACAACACCTAGTAACTTATCTGTTCCTAATTTTGGCTCTTGGTGACCGAAAAAGAAGAGGATCGGCAGGTTTGGAAACGATTTTTGTGATGACAGGATACCAACACCAGGGTGAAAGAACACGTACAACCGCTCACCTTCACACATGGGTGTGACTACAGCCCCCAGCACTCTCCTCTCTCCCTTTTCTCCCTCCTCCACATCCCACATATTTTCCCCTTTCACTGCTGTTACATGTTCACATACCCAACACCCTGTGGCATGGCACAGCAACACACAACATCAGCTCCAACCAGGACCACTGCCACGATTTACTGCTTTTACCTTGCTGGCTCTCAGGATGCTGATCTGCTCCTCATATATGGTGTCCCGGTTCTTCTCCAGAAATCCCTCACTCTGGTATTCCACCTAGCGATGGAGACAAAAGGAATCTCAGAGGGTAAAGTCAAACCACACGGGGACAAGGTGCTCCCACCACTCCCCTGCTGTCAGGAGCTCACCCAAAAAACCTGAGAGGGGCAAAGGGGAGAACAAGAGGAATTTAAAGGTCACTTTTTAATCAGAAGAAGTGAATCTGAATGAAAGCACAACCCTTGCTGCAAACACAGACTGTCATTAAATTGCTCTGTATGGAAACCAGAGGGAAAAAATGCGAAGTTCATCAGTAACTCTACACACTCTTTTGTTCATTCCTTATCTTCTTGTAAGGTAATCAATAAACCTCAAATGATGTTGTGGTTATGTCTCTTGTAGGTCTCTGAGTTTTTGAAATTGCAGAGCATTGGGATGCAAAGGAACTTAGAAAAACATTTTTTAAAGTATACTTTAGAGAGAACAGAAGAAAATTTCTTTTTTTTTTATTTGAAGTTGGCTGAAATAAGTGACCATAAAAAAAAAAAAAAAGGTAAAACTTGCAGAAAGATATTGATTGTGAGGGATACAAGTGCAAAATCAATTGCCTAAGGAAAGATGAGTACCAACCTTTACCACAAAAAGTGCCTCTCACATCCAGGGCAAACCTGGTTAGGAGAAGCACATGTATGGCAGCAAAGCACCTGCTTGTTGTCTGCTCCTGAGACATATCCCTGGTCTTTTTTTTTTTTCCAACAAATGGGTCTTTGGGATAACCACAAGCTTTTGAAATTCTCATTTGCTGTGAGTGGCACCTGTCACATCAGGGTTTTGATGAAGTTGGAGCACATGGACATGTCCCTGCAGCTCCAGACAGCAGGATTTAGTTCATTTTAGTCCCACTGTTGGCATCTTCTCCCTCACAAAGGTGGGATCAGCCCAGCATCACCTCTCACCTCCTCCCCACACTGTGCCTCGCTGACACTCGGAGCCCCTGCCCTTCAAAAGTAATTCCTTTTTCCAATACATTCTTTGTCAAGCTGCCCTTACAGAAATTCACTTCGCCGCAGCTTTGAAAAAGAGGATTTTGCTCTCGTCTAGAAACCACAACAATTTACAGCTTAGAGCAATAGTTCTGAGGCTGAAGGCCTCGGAGCTGACCTAGACTCAAGCACCGAGCTGAGATCACTGCCACCCCGTCACCGAAAAGCAGCTCGCTGGGGCTGTGAACTAATTTTCCCTCACGTGGCTGTTCCTTTCCCCTTCTGTGCACTCCCTGTTTCCAGCCCCAGGTACCTTATCAGCGAAGTGCAGGATGATGAAGGAGGTGTTGGACATGCGGGGCTTCTCGAAGTGCTCGCTGGAGCCATGGCGGTCGTACAGCTTCTGTGTCCAGTTCTGGTCAGTGCCCTTGGGGACCTGCAAGGGGGGAAGATGGACCAGTTCTAGCACCTATTTTCTTGTATATTCCTGACAAACACACTAAAATTTAATTGCCAGTGAAAAACACCCAAATGCCAGTTCTGTTCCAACACACAGAATTGCTCCTGCACGGAAAAAAAAAAAATCCCAAAGATTAAGGAGGTATTTTTACACTTAAGTTGCATTAATGACTCAGACACCAGCATTATTTTTTTAGGGCTATTTTTGGTGAGCAAATACTTCCAGAAACTGCCGTCTGAGAAAACACGTAGGAAGCCCTGGTTTATCTCATTTAAAATAATAATGGCAGTACCATAATAATTCTTAGATACTAAAATCAAATAATAGTAAAATTATAAGTCTTAAGAAATTTCTGCCACTTTGGGATCACTTGGATTCCAGCCCCATGATGTTTTAACCCCAGTTACACACAGGGCTGGGGCTTCAGACCCACATACTTGTCCTGCCACAGCCAAACGATTCCCATGTCCCCTTCCCACACATCCAAATCTCCTGTGCCACGGATGTCCTGGATGCCAAGCCCTCCCTCTGCCTCCTATTTAGACTGAAATCAGGATGCCAAATTGACACCCTTTGAAAGAATTTGGCCATTGTACAGTAAGATATCAGGTGTTGCCCAAGAAATTGCTTTGGTAGAATATGGCAGAGAATGAAGAAATCCTAAAAAACTGCAATTACTTAAAAGAACACCTCACAGTACTACCTGTGCAGCAAGGAAATGTGCTACTTTTCACAAATTAACAGTTAAAAGAAACCTTTAGCTTACCATCCTCTCCAGCACCCGCAGTTTTTACCCACTAAATAATGGTTAAATTAAGCTAATGCAATATACTGTCAAGAAATTGTGAATACAGCACATACAACTGTATAGCAGCATATAAAAATATGCTGTAATTTAATATTTAATAAATACTAAATACATAATTACACTTCCCATAAAGAGTAATTTTTCTAGGATACATTTAGATCCTTCTCTGCTAACCAGCCAAAACCCCCAAAACTTTCCAAAAAACATAAGGGCATTTGAGGAAAGCACCTAGCTGTAAATATATTTTATTTCGTATTTTTCTAACCCAACAAGCGTGACACAGAACAAAATTCTTGAAAATCAAAGGAAACAAGGAGTGAAATTGATACTCTTGAAGACTGAGAGCTACAGCTGATGGGGTCATGCCCATCCCATGGATCACTGCCAGTGGGACAGGAACAGCTGCACATACATACACACTTACACACACATAACTTTTAACAAAAAAATGACCAACTAGATAATTTAGGTTAGGAAAGGAGAACAGCTGGAAGAGAAGTGTTAGGCAATATTTGAAATTAGATGGTACAAAAGCCTAGAAACCACAGAACAACTGTGCAGCACCAGGGAGAGCTCTGGATCATCCATCAGGACTTTACACAGACCTTTATAAGAAAAAAGACGGTGGAAGTAGGGGCAGTAAACAGTGAGAAGGAAAATTCCAGACAGATGAGGACTATTTCTCAGTGCTGCTCTGAAGCAGCCTTTGATTTCATGGCAGCAAACCAAAACACACCAGAAGGGCTCTGGACACCAGGATAAGCATCTCCTGCCTATCCCCAGTAACAGGGGTGAATTAAATGCAGCAGCCACTCATGCATGTCATGCTAACCTAGATTTATTTATATTTCACAGGTTTTAAGTGTGGCCAATTACGGATACGCATAGAAATAACAGAGAGTACATATGAATATTAAAAAGGCACTTAGTTATGCAATTATATACATGTTTTATTTAGGCAAGATAGAATTGCATGTTTAAACTGCAGAGTTATATAAATGCAGATGGGTTTCTTTTCATCAGTTATTTTTAATATTTATATGTAAAAGATATTCTTTCTGGAGCTAGATGCCTCCTGCTCAGGACTAAGTCACAGATGCAGAGCAGGAGCACCTGAGCCACGGGATGCTGCAGAGAGCAGATTTACCCTGCAACCAGCTCTCTTCTAGGCCATCCACTTAGCTGAAAAACCTGCTTATCTCAGAGCTGAACTTCAAAGGCCTCGCTCCTGCCTCCCAAAAAGAGGGTTTTGCCATACCCTGCTCACTGTCCTGCAGCCAGGGTATTTTTAGCTGCCTGGAGGAGCACCTGATCGGGACAAAGTTCCAGAGATAAAAACTAACAGGGCCATTATCTGCACTATTATAACAGCTTTTGGTATTAGCTTGGCAGTTTAAGGCCCTTAGAGCCACTGAGAAAGTTATTTAGAGACTATCTCATCTCTTTTTTAGGGGCTGGGGAAGACGAAAAGTGACTGCCTTGCAAGTATTTTGTATGGAATCTTTAAACGAGGCAAAACTTATACCAGCAACAGCGCCCAAGGTCACTGCTTCTGCTCGTCCTCCTTATCGTGCCTCTGTCACTCCGCACAAAATTGGTGTGTAATTCCTCCATGCACTGTCCTCTGAGCTGCCAGGAGCTGCTGCAACCGAAATCAACGCCACCCAGCACGGCCAGGGTCACCCCACAGGCTCAAGTCTGCCCATCTTGCACCCCAGGATCAAGAACCCACCGAGATCACCAGCCAGCTGAGGAGCTGCCTGGACTAAAGGCTGAGATGCCTTCTACCGTCACCTCCAACAGGAGGACAGTTAAAAGGAAAAAAATAACAAAGGTCATTGGCTTTAACCTGAGGGAGGGTAGATTTAGACGGGATATGGGGAAGGAATTGTTGGCTGTGAGAGTGGTGAGGCCCTGGCACAGGGCAGAGAGGCTGTGGCTGCCCCTGGATCCCTGGGAGTGCTCAAGGTCATGTTGGACAGGGCTTGAAGCAACCTGGTCTAGTTGGAGGTCATGCCCCACCACGGCAGGGGGATGGAAAGAGGGGGTCTTTAAGGTCCCTTCCAACCCAAACCATTCTGGGATTCTATGATTCAAACCTAACGATCTAAAAGTGAACCCTCTGAAAGCCATTTACATATTATTTCTTTTGCCCTTAACTCCAATACAAGTTAAAGCCTGAAAAGAGCCTGGGCTTCCTCTGTGCTCCAGAGACACGTTCCAGTGCAAGTGACGTGCCTGGCTTTAAAGTCATCAAATCTGACAGCATGACATGGGGGAGGTTGTTCTGCCATCGGATCGGGCGGCCCGCCCGAAAGGAAAGCCCAGAGGTCCAACCTCTGCTCGTGGAGCAGAAATCCCCCTGGACAGGACAGGGCAGCACAGGAAGGCGATGTGCTCGTTTCTGATGCTCAAAAAACTAACGAGTCCAGACAAGGAAAACACATTTGCTCAGATACCCAAGTTCACAGCGATGCGCGGAGACAAGCGGGATTGAAAAGCAGTCAGCCAGAAACAGACCTCAGTGTTTCTGGCACTTGACAGAAGGACACGGGAAAGGTTAAAGAGCATCTTTTGAACAACACTAGAAAATGCATTTGGCACATTAACAGCATAACACGATGGCAATGTGCCATAAAACACAAAACGGAGCCACAAAAGAGCTCAAGAATGTGAGGGAGTCTCTGGGTTTGGTGCGAAACGTCCCCCTTTGGCAGCCTCGGGGTCAGGCTGCTCCTCAGCAGAAAGGATTTCACCAAGATCCCTAACAAATTTTGGACAACAGTTCTGCAATTGACTCGTGAACCCCTCCAAACAGCCTGTTCTTGACTGAACCCTTTTCAGTGCATTTCATGCTAATGGACAGGGGTTTTTTTCATTAACTTTTTCATCTGCACTCCCATCCCAACATCACAGGCAAAAGCATTAAAGCAGAGTGGCTGCAGGACACCTCATGGAGAAACCTGGGAATCCAGAGCAATCTCTGACTGTACTCCCAAAGAGAATCACAGAATCACAGAACGTCCTGAGTTGCAAGGGACCCAGAAGGATCATCAAGTCCAACTCCTGGCCCTGCGCAGGACCCAAGAATCACACTGTGCCCCTGAAAGCCATGTCCAAGGCACTTGGGAAGCACATGGAAGACAAACAGCATTCCCACAGGGAAAGCAGTTTCATCCTGAAAAGCAGGACAGCTCATTCAACTTTGACACAGAGACTTGACTGCGTTTCTCAGAGAGTTTTCCGTTTCCTCTGAGGGTAATTTAAGTCTCTTGAAAAGCCAACTCCAGCGGGCTGCACCTCTCCAGAGAGTGAAAGTCACTCTTCACACATCCCCTCAAAACCTCAAAACCTAAGAAGTGTGCTGCCCCCTCCACCAAGGTAATTTCCTTCACAACAAGTGCAACCGTAACCCAAATGCATTTCAGACATCCAAGCAACACTCTCACACCTGGATTTTCAGAAGACAGCCCCCCTCCTTCATGCTCATTTCTTCTGGTAGGCTCTACATTCATCTCCTTGCTCTCTTCAAGGACTTTGCTCTTATCCCAAATTACTTCCCATCACCTCACTTTGTCCCACGGTGACTCCACGCACACTTCACAGCTCTCCACAGGGAGGTTCTCCTGGGTGCCCTTCTGCCCTTTCCCATCTCTTCAGGCTCATCAGTTTGTGCCTGAGGACTTCATCATCACACCATCACGGTGCATGGGGCGTGAACCCTTGCTGTTCCTCTGACACTTTTTTAGGCCAAAGCAAAACCAAGAGGTTCCAAAAGCTCTGGGGAGATGAAACTCCAGTGCAGGAAACAGGGAAAAGTCACTTCAAGAACTCCACCAATCACTTAGCAGAGGACATAGGTCACAGTCCGTGGAGATTTTAAGGACTCCTGGGCAGACCAAGGGCATAACTGGGCGTAGGACCAAATGAGCTCCAGAAGCCACCTCCAACCTTAACAATTCTACAGTAGTTTCCAAATCCTAAGATTCCAAAGCTGTTTAAAAAAACCCCAAACATAAACATCTACCTGCTGGAGAGGGATTTTTCATGAAGGCATGAAGTGACAGAACAAAGGGGAATGGCTCCACACTGCCAGGAGGCAGCGTCAGATGGGATATTGGGAAGAAAGTCTTCCCTGTGAGGCCCTGGCACAGGTTGCCCAGAGAAGCTGTGGCTGCCCCATCCCTGGAAGTGTTGCAGGCCAAGCTGGACAGGGCTTGGAGCAACCTGGGACAGTGGAAGATGTCCCTGCCCATGGCAGGGACCTGGATGAGCTTTAAGGTCCCTTCCAACTCAAACCATTCTATGACTATATATCTTAAAATCTTTTTTAAGAACTAAGGGTTTTCTCATTTGCTTTCATGAGACAGGCTTAGTCCTTAACACTCCAATCTCAGTTCAAGAGTCCTCTCTTTCATGGCTAATTTCTGTTTCAATTTTTTCCTAAACAGGGACAAGAAGGTCTCATATGGCCTTCACCAGCTGAACTGCTTTAGCACATTCCCAGCCACCTCCTCCCCATCCATACATCAAAGATTAGGAAAAAAATCCATACTGTGAAGCAAGAACACCAGTGACAAACCCTCTGCATTTGTGCTAGGGCATCATTATGTAGCCAGGATCCCCTCGATGCCCTTTCAAGTCCCACAGTACATTTATCCACCACTGTAGGTCCTAATGAGGTGATGTGCAATTACCCTATTGTGATCCCACCCTGAGAGGTGAAACACTTCCTCGGGGGTAAAGGTTTTCATCCATAAACTGGTGCTTTCAGTTGACAGGTTTTGCTGAAATTTTCATAAAGCTGGAGAACACTTACAGGTTATTATAAAAGAGGTGATTACAGGGCCTATAATAAGGGCTTCTGACTAATGACAGCATCCCCCACTGACAGGTAAATAACCAGATAATTGTCATTTTATGGGGGGGGGAAGGGGGGAATAGATCTTGTGTTTCTTTTTCTTTTTGGTAAAAAATTAAGCACAGATGAAAAAAGCAGTACCAGGCAGATCTGCAGCAAAGTTGCCCATGTTACTGGTGGTGCATGGGAGTTGCTCTGTCTAAGGCAATGTCACCAGCAGCAACCAGTGCCATGTGCCCCAGAGAGGAGCCCAGGGTGTTACTCCCAACAAGACACAAGGGAAATTTCATTTAAGGTCCTCAAAGTTATCCAGGAGACAGTTTGATACTGAAAAATTCAACAGGCCTAATAACACAGAGACCAGAAGAAATGGTACTGAACATTAAGCAAACACTCTGGCCTCCTTCCGAGCCAGCACTGGCTGAGATGCTATTTTTAAGGACATCAAATTAAGTTTAATTTGTTCTCATTTTTAAGGAGTCTTCCTGAGGGAGGATTTGAAAAGCTGAAGCCCCAGCTCTGGCTCATCACAAGGAGATAGATGAAGTGTTTGTACCCCAGCTGAGCTGGGGATGTGCAGGTTGGGACAGCCCCATCGTGCCTGGGAAGGCAGCCCTGTCGCTTGGAGGAGAGCAAACACTTGACAGGTCACCCCCTTCCCAGGTAAGGACAGGTCATACATCTCCTTAAATCCATCCCAGCAGGGGCATTAGTCTAAATAATTGATCCAAAACCTTTCCTTCTGATGCAATATGACATTCCTGTTCTCAGGCCACCAGATCTTGTTGTTCTCTATTCATGGATCCCACAGAGCCAACAGGAATTTCTTGCATCCTTCTTATCACCTCGACTATCCTGGCCAGGGCCCCTCCTTACTTCAGCTTTCTCACCACCCTTTGTCTCATTCCTCCCTGCCTTTGTTCAAAAACGCTCAAATATCCTCCACAACCAGCAAGACATTTCCAGTCACAGAATATATCCAAGTGTCAATGGAAACTCTTCCCAAGGACAACTTGCTGGATCACACCATAGCAAAACCAGTCTGAGGCTCCTCAGGGCAGGTACATCCAGGAGGAAGGTTGTTCCCATCCCCTTCCAGCAGGAGGTCTCCAGCATCAAAGACTTTCAAAACAGGCATCCCAACTTCTCAAAAAAATCTCCCATCTGAGAATTCTTATTCCTAGGTATATTTGGCAATTCATGACTGAGCAGTGAGTGAATAAGGAGTCCAGCCTTTCTTATGGGTTCTCATGAAGGTCTGACATTCTGGCCTTTCTTAACTTTTAAACAAGCTTTAATTTTGGCCAGTATGAGAGAGAGTGCGAAAGAGAGCAAACTGCTCTCCAACATTACAAGTCTCTGCAGTCTGTGCACTGAATGCAATCAGCTCTACCCCAAATAGCTACTGCAAGAGGACTTGGATTTCCCGTGAGGCAAAATAAGGCTTGAGACAGGGAGGAACTACAGCTCCTGGATAACACCAAAGCAATCAAGTCTGGAGCAATGGCTCTTGCTAAGTACAACCAGGCCAGAAACATAAGCACTGGCAGCACAGGGTGAGATCAGGTACCAGGCTGGTAGCAAACACCTGCCAAGGAGGCTCTGAAGTGTTCTAAGGCAAAGCAAATGCCAACAGCCTACCCTGGCCTCAGGTACCCCAGCAACACACGTAAAGGAGGTGTTTACCCTCTTGCAAGGCACCTCAGGTTAAAGCCCATTATTTAACCTCTCAGAAAAACACTCTTTACCTTGCACTCTTCATCCAGCAGGTCCAGGATCCCAAGTTTGGCCTCTATCAGGTCTATGCAGGGCTGGTTATCGTAGAAATCTATGAGAGTCCAAGGGATTCCCTCCTTCATGTACTCTTCTTGTTCCAGTTTAAACACGTGCTGAGAGTGGAAGAACAGTGGAGTTACTGGCCGTGGCCCCAGCCAGCCCCTTCCACATCCACCCCCCGTCCCCACTGGAGTGCAGTATTCCATGAGAACATCCAGAAGCCACAGAGGCTTTAGGGGCCCTCACATTCAGCCTGTGCAGGCTCTGCCATTTACACAATTTAGCTTCTGGCAAGGAAAATAAAAGCATTACACTAGGAAACCACGGGGCAGGGGAAAATAAGGCTGTAAATGACTTTCCCCAGAAAACGACTGACGCTGTCACTACATTGAGGTGGAAGCCACATATTGAAGTGGCAATGACACATATATCTCTTGGGCTGACAAAAATCCCTCTCTCCTTTATTGCTCTGCTGATTAAAGCAGTGACCTGCAGTGGGAGCTCAGCCAGGGCTGAGAGTGTGTCCCCCCATCTGCTTCACAAAGAGCACCTATCATCCTAGAAGGGATATCAGCAGCAGCATCTGACCAAATCAGGGACACTTCTATGGAAGCTTCTTATTTAAAAAAATGTATAACAAAAATTAAAAAAAAAAAAAAAAAAAAAAAAAAAGCCTCTGCGTGGCTTATGTATCTCAGACCTCTGCCCAGGCAGATAAATTGTCTCTGGATATTTCTGAGATATTTCTAAAGCATATGAAAAAACGATTTTTCAAATGCACTTTTTTCCTTCAAAGATAGCTTTTTAAAATCTCTTCAAACATGTCATTTCGGAGCTTGAATTTATAAGCTTCAGAAGTGATAGTTCAACATACTAAGTAAGATATGAATAGCGCAAATACAATCCATAATTTACTTTTCATTTTTAGCAGCAGTGATCTATCTGATGCCTCAGATAGACTGCAAATGTTCATGGCCATGCATATGATATGGTTTCAAAGGGCCAAACTAATCTGCAGTACTTAGCTGCTCAAATTTAACAAGTTTTCCCTTGTGTCCTGAAACCGATAGTAATTTTTTCCCTGCTTACAACCAAAGCAGAAGACAAACCCCTTACTGGTTTCATTTCCAGTGCAGGCAAGCACTTGTTTCTAATAAAACAGGAAAGTCTCCAGGTTCTGTGAGGCATGCCCAAGTGAAAAGTGGGGAGTGTGTCCAACCCTGCTATTTAATACAGAGTTTTCATTTCACAGGTTTAAGCCACACTTAATGGGCAGGTTTCCACACCCATACTTTAGCTTACACTGGAAATCAGGACCTGGCACAAGACCATCCAGATTTTGCTTTAGGACCGAAACTACACCAAGAAAACGGCAAATTATATGCTTACTCAAAACCCTAGTGAACCTTTGCATAAAACATAAAGCCTCTTTCCAGTATCAAGCTTATACATCAACTGAGCAACATTTTTCAACTCGATGGCAATATTTAGTGCCATTTCAATGCAATGCCTGGGAGAGAGGTATCCCAGGGGCTACATTCATGCTGGCCACACGATCTGTCCACGCTGCAGGTGAATGGCATTAAACAGAAGCCAGACGTACAACAATCTTGCCTTGTTACATTTTCTGCTAAGTTCTGTGGAACACTTCCAAGCTGACCTTACCAAGTTGAACTGCTGCTGGAGCTTTTCGTTGGCGTAGTTGATACAAAACTGTTCAAAGCTATTCACTTCAAAAGTTTCAAACCTGCAAAGCAATGAATAAATCAGCATTAAGCGTTGCTTTGTCTCAAAATCTACTTTTTTTTTTTTTTTCCTTTTCCTGCAACGGTGTCATCTGTGCAATGGGGAAAACCAGTTATTCAACTGTCTCCTTGCATTCCTTCTATCCCAGATCTACTTTATTCCTCAAAACATCTCCCTCTCCTTGGCACAGCTCAAGGGATTCTAGAGGTCTCTCCTGCTATGCACGAATGAGATACTTGGCATGACTGCAGCTTCCTGCCCATCACGCAGAAGCACTGTCTGAGACAAGAAGTGTAACAGCCTCTCTTGGGGAAAAATATTATGAAATATTAAGTCCAAATATATTCACTGCAAAGGTGATGAAGAAACAGGAGCCGCTGTCCTGAAAGACCCAACATGCTATTTTTAATGTAATTCAAGAGAGCAGAAAAAGAAGGTATTAAATTTGTAATTATAGCTTCTGTACTGCACCCCTGTTAGCACAAAATCTGGACACACATGAGCAAGCAAATTCTGGAAGGCAGAGGGGGAAAATGATGATTTCAGCTCCAGTTCCATGTTCCTTAGAGGAAGTCTGGAGCTGTACTCAGTGACCCCTCTCTTCATCACCTTCCAAAACTCCACTCACCAAATCCTTACCCCACCTTTCCAGAGACTGACTCCAAACCAAGCTCAAAACTGGCTTCCTCGTCACAAATAGAAGGGGAAAAATATGAAGTTTTAGTAATGTGAACTACAGGTAAGCAGCAGAGAGCCAGTAGAGCCCCTGGGGCTGAAGCACATGACATCCAGGGACAGGCACAGGGAGCCAGGTCTGCTCTTAAAAAAACCAAAGAGGACCTTCTCAGCTACACAGGGAACTATTTTTTATTTATTTCTATTTTTAAGGCACAGTTGGAAGGGGGAAGGGGGGAAGAAAATCTTTGGCATATGACTGTAAGGATTAAAATAAGGGGAGAAGTGGGAAGGCTCCCTGTGTTAAATGAGTAAGCTGCTGTAATGATAAATACACAGCTAAATAATTGTTCAGGTAATAGGTACTGCAGGAGCTGGCAGAACAATCTCAAAGCCCTAAATAAATGAAGCCTTTTTTTTTTTTTTTCACCACGCCTCCCTAAAATAATCCGTTTTTCTGCTGCTTTCTGAGGACTACCTTGCTGTTATCCAGGTCATGCAGCTATTCCCCAGGTATTACCAGGTGACAATGCCCTCACCACATAAAATGCCTGAGACTTTGGGGAAATACAAGGCAAAAAGGCAAAAGAAAAAGGAGAACGGGATAAATGAGCTGCTTTTGTGCTTTTATCAGTCCCACAGCCCCTGAGACTGCTGTCTGAGCCCTGGGACTGCTTCCCCTCTGCCTGTCCAGGGCTGGCATTGCCCTTGGAGTTGGTGCAGCCTGTGCCGAGCAGAGAAGGCTCAGTCCTTTCCCTTACAGTTTTTAACACAACGAAATTTGGTCTCTGGGACAACAAATATTTACATTAAACACGTGGCCTGAGCCTCAGTGATGAACATCCCCTTGAAGAGCTCCCACTGTGTTTGATCTTGGTTGCACAGCCATCGTGCCAAGCAGGTCGGTACCTCCAGCTCCTGCAGCTAAAGGGATGTGACTCCTTGGAAACACAACTCCTGCAGGTTCATGATCACAGCAGCAGGGCACGAAAAGATTTAATTAAAACACAGACGAAGAGGGATGGTGAGCTGGGTGGAAAAACACAACAAGAGCGGGACTATGAGAGGAAACGAAATCGGAGTAGAAACTTTATATCCACTTCAGAGACACCAGATGAGGTTTATGAACCTTCTCCGTGAGCACCAGCCAGGGGCAGAGCAGCTGTACAACATCAGCTCCAAGGGAGCTCTCGCTAAATATCTTATTAAGGGACTCCACCAGCTGAATTTGCTAATTGACAGAGCAGATCAGTCACCAGCTCTACATGTGTGCTGGCCAGGAGGTCCTACCTGCTCAGAGTGACTTCACCAAGGCAACATCCTAACAGGAAAAGGAAAAGCAAAGCAGAGCCTGTTTGGTTTCTATTCATTTTAGTGCATTAGATCTTGGTGCAAAAAATAAGCATATTCACCACTCCTGCTCATCCCTGTGACTGCCCAGAAGGCACATCCAGCTTGGAGGCAGTAGACTTCAGGGGGTAAACACTATATTTTGGTTTTTCTACTGCTCCCCACTCTGCTGTGTGACTGGTATCTCCTAAATCCGCTGTAGCACCAGGGTGTATGCTAAAATATTTAAAGTTCATAAATAAGTCCAGCATACAGCTGGCCACCTGGGTGTTCACACTTCCCTTCACAGGGTGAAAACAAGCCGTCCCCACCAAGTCCAGGAATGCCACGTGAACCCACTCCTCAGACAGACTGCAGGAGTGCTGCTGTGGCAAATAACGTGCTTTCAAAAAACACAGGAAGGCTTTTAATGCTGCACACCGTCACCTCAACGTTAACAGAGAACTAGGGATGCAAAGTCGAACATTAGAAAGTTTGGAGACAAATTCTACAGCCTCTGCATCCTCTCTCGGAGCTCAATCCCTCTCCCAAGGGAAAAGGAAAAACAACAGACATTTGGAAAAAAAAACTTCTAATATTTGGCAAAATGCATTAAAACTCCCTAAAACCCCAAGTTTGGGGAACAAAACCACTTTTAAGGACTGCAGAGACAGGTTATCGTTACGCAAATTCCCTGCACTGTTAATCACTCAGCATTTAGACAGCAACACCCATTTCAAAAAAAGGGATTTTTAGGACACCATATTCTCACAAGCATTACAGGCAGAACACAGACACCCTTCCTTGGCAAATCTGCCTCTTTCAACAGGACCTGCAGATCCTTGTGGGGAAAAAACCCTGCTGCACCCCATGGTGACAGCAGTGCTGTTAAAGCATCAGTTTGCCCACACACTAGATGTGATGCACAGACCTGCAGCTAAAGGACGGTTTTCTTCCTCACCAACAGGTTTTCAAGCCCAGTTTAATCTTTCACGAGTATTATCCTCAAGTCTCCTTTCATTCAGATTTCTGAAAGCCTGATTTCCTAACTCAGGCATCCAATTTTCTGTATTGACCCACTATCACCCACACAGTTCGATATCAGAGCTTTATTTATCACATCCCAGCCTGCTGAAATTTTTTATCTGTGGAGACACTTACGGGAAACAGCTTCTCTACCTCATACAGTCTTTGAACAAGACTGTGCCATTCCCATTTAGTTAATTGAGATCTTTCAGGTCCTGTGCTACCTACTGAGGAGAGCCTAGAAACTTGCAAGCCTGAAAGAGCAACCTCACCATCTCAAGCTATCCCTCTGAAATCCCAAACCAAACAGAACAGTATTCTTATCGTTCTTGATAGAAGTGTTCCTGTAAGCCTTGCCATACGGCAGCAGTTGCTGATGGAGATGGGCAGAGTGGGTTGCACTGATGCTCCAGCACTTTCTAGCATCCTTTCTGCTGCTGTGTTTGTCCAGCAGATGTCAAAATCAACATCCCAAACACCAGTAGCTGTAGAAACCTCCTGGGAGGGTTTGTACACAGGATCAAGCTCTGGCAATTGTATAGGTATTACAGCCATAAAAACTTTCTTTTTGTTCTGACCCAGCACTGCTTTGGCAGGGTTTCATTCTGAAATACAGGTTCACTTAGATCTGACAGACCTTGGAGGAGCCTGGCATGAGAGGAGATTTGGGACTGAGCAAGCACAGTGACTGCACTGGCTTAGGGAGTGCTTCCTGAAGCAGCTACAAATTCTGCATTCCACCCTCCCCTCCAAAACAGGAACAGCTCAGCATTTTAATGTATTAAGGGAACACAGCAGGCCACTGCTGTCCCATTTAGAACCACAGAACCATCAAATGATTCGGGTTGGAAAGGACCTTTGAAGGTCATCTAATCCAGCCCCCCTGCCATGGGCAGGGACACCTCCTGCTAGGCCAGGTTGCTCCAAGCCCCATCCAACACGGCCTTGGACACTTCCAAGGATGGGGCAGCCACCACCTTTCTGGGAAACCTTGGACTTCTCCCTTTGTCCTTGCTCCCCAGAGAGACAGAAAAAGGATGACGATTAAAGAGTGGAGGGTAAAACCCAAACCCACAAGGTATCTTTCCTTTTCCACCCCATAACCGACAAAATCCCCTTCTCCTCCATCTTCTCCTTCTTCGCGGCACTCCAGCTAAAATGAACCCTTCACAAAACACCTCTCACATCCCTCATCTCCCAGCACTCAAGTGCCACGAGGACAGACCAGGCAATGACTGGTACTCAGCCCAAATTTGAAGCAGCTCGCTGCCCCTGAGGCTGCAAGAAGCTTTTTGCACCTTATGGCCCTGCCGCAGGTTAACAAACCCCTCCAAAAGCTCTCACTGGCACAGGGGCCCTGCAACAGCGTTTTCACAGCTAAAGAAGCAAAGTACTTTCCTCAAATCCCAGAGCAAGCCCAGGCAGAGCCAAGTGCAGTCTTTGGTCTCCACACTGGCACCTCTACCACGAGCTCATCTTGAGCTCGATGCAAATGAGACAGAAATCCCAAATGAGAACAGCACGGGAGGTAACTCCCAAAGCCAGCACTCAAACAGAACTGTTCTGGGGTCAGACTGTACAATCTAAAGGAGGATACAAACTGCAAAACACACATGATGGTGCTTTTTTTTGTGCTTCTTTCCCATCATTCCAATCACCTGGCACAAGCCGAAGTCAAGAGTGCCCTGCAAGAAGGGCAAGGCAAATTATGATGGGCCAGGCAAATCACGAAGGGCGAGACAAATTAAGAAGGGCAAGCAAGACAAATTATAAAGGGAAAAACAAATTACAAAGGGCAAATTAAACTGCCCTAAAAAGCAGAAACCACGCCTACCCATAGATATCGAGCACGCCGATGAAGGAGTGCTGCTTGACAGTGGTGTGCAGGGCCTTGTTGATGTGCTGCACGATCCAGTTGAAGAGCTGGGCGTAGATGTGCTTGGCCAGGGCGTTCCTGGCATTCACCACCTGGTGCAGGGACATGTTCTTGACGTAGGTCTCGGTCGTGGTGACGAGCTTGCGGTTGCAGAGCCAGTGCTGCATCTGGCTGAGCTCCACGCCCAGCAAGCTGCAGAAGTTCTTCAAGTGCTCGTCCTCGCTCTGGGAGAGGGGGATGAGAGCCAAAGTCAGCAGGCTGGTGACACCCCAAAAGGGAATTTTAACACCCAAGATCTTTGCAAGGAATTAGAGGCATTTCCACAACTATCTAGGGAGAGACTGTGTCCCTCTGTGGTTGGCAGGAATGGAAGAGCAGTGACATTCATCCAATTGTGCCAGTCTTCGTGGACATGAGTGGAACAGCTCACACAGAGCTCCAAACAGTGGCACCACGGCTCGGCTCTGCTCTGGTTATCCTTGAGGTCTCAGTTTTCAACTAAGAGCAGATTTCCACAGGACAGGGTATTCTCCACTTTACTACTCCTGGAGCTGCAACCACACACTCCTTCAGAGCAACCTGGATTAAGCTCTTAAGCTGAAGCTTAGGCTTTGCCATGACACCTTTTACAAATTAACTCCCATTTTGAATGACAAAGCCACAAATTGTGCATTACCAGAAGGGCTGGGGTTTTGAGCAATTAATAAAATTATATGTGAACTTCATTTTCTTTAGTGCAATGTATTTTCCCCCCCATCAAGGCAAGGCAGCTCTGAGTCTCTATTCTGCTAAGACAGTGGGCACTGCTTTTGGGACAATAAGAAAACAAATTCCTTTTCTTCTGTGTAATAACATATATGTAAAGGAAGTAAATTCTTTCCAGTTAGATATGTGCACATACAAATGCTGAATTGGTTTGGTGATGGAGAATAAAAGTGCACTTTGTGAGAATTCTAGGATGCTTTATTGCTGTCATACCTTTCTGACTACAGATTCAAAGGCATGACAGAATTAACTTAAAACCTTCCAATTACATCTGAAGGTAATTAAACAACATGAACTTCATTAACAGAACTCAACATTGCCAAAGCAGAACCTCCTTCAACATATCCATGTTGCCAAATACCAAGTAAATTACTCCGGCACCTAATGCATTGAACACCAAGATATCTCAAGGGTAACACTAAAACTGTGTGCAGAACCCATTTTAATACTTTAATTGGGAACAAACTACCCAGCCTGAGATGCAATGATAATTTACAGGATAGTATTTTCCAAATAACTGCTTTCTTCCCCGCCCCCCACAACCTCCGAACAAACAGAGAAATGGAAAAATTGCCACTCAGGCATGTTTTGTATTATTTATTCTTGCTAATTAACTGTGCAGTGTTCCTTTGGATACTGAACTGGCTGCATCACAAGCAGCAGCTCCATGGCTTTGCCTGTAGGAAAGTGGTTTTAGAGCATCACACCTTCTGCTGGTGGAGTCACCGTTCCCCAACACAGCACACCAGGTTCTTTAGGGAAGCAGGAAGAGTTGGAGATGTGTTGGGATGTAAAATGATAATCTTTGGATGATCTTGCCTACAGGCTGGCCAGAGAGGAGGCACAGTGCACTAACTCCAAGGAAAAACAAAGCAACTAGGAAATTATAATGTGTTTCCAAAAAAAGGCGAAGAAAATCAGGGGGCAAAGGGCTTTCCTACTAAAGGATACTGCTCAGTGCATCCAACATGGCCTGATTTATGAGCATAGCAGGCTCCCCACATACCCCACTCCAGCTAGTGACCTACCGACAGGCTACAGGTTTCGTTGCCTCGTTCCACTTGGATTTCCAAGTTCCCAAGGTGCAGAATGGCCGCAATTATCCTAAAAATGGTCATCTGATGAGACTCCTTCACTCCTGCGTGAACAATTGATAGCTGATTGTCACACCAGAAAACAAACAGCAATTTTCAGTTTATTTGAAGACACTCAAGGTGTTTGATTTTCCTTCCCAGGCTGCTGGTTTTCAGAATTATGAGACTTCTTCCAATCAACACACCGTAAACACTCAATTTTAACACAGATGGGTTTAATACACACAGAACCAAGGGTGCTGCTCTATAATGATCAAACAGGGTCAGAGCTGTAACAGCTCTGTGGCTTTTACAGAACAAGGAGTTGTTTTCTGTTGGCTGAAAACTGAAGCACAGAAATTACAACATATTGCAAGTGTCCCACAAACAGAAGAGAAAATTAAAGGCCTGCACACGATGCACAAACACATCCAAAGTGGTGCTACAGCTGGATACAGCCAGGCACCAGGGAGGTGAAGAGGAACTCTGCCTTACTGTCCCCAGTGCCTCAAAAAGAGCTATGTGTTGTGAGTCTTTACTGGGGATATAAGATCTTACTGCTTTATATATTTTTTCTGGCAGGATTTATAGGCATTCCCAGCAGGAGCTTTGCTCAGCAGCAGCCTGCACACGGCCTTCTTGCCGTATCTTGCATTCTTTTCACATTCCAGCTGGGTTTCTGCGTCCCTTTTTTGTTCAGGGCTGGTGTCCTAATTATCCACCCAAGGTCTGAGACATCACCTGCTGGTTTCTGAATTACCCAGAGCTTCCCTTTCTCTCTCTCAGGACTTTTCTGTTATCAGCACAGTGAGAAAGGTTTCAAGGTTACTAAAAGGACCAATGCTCTGCTGTTTCTTGGAACTGTTAATTGGAGTTAAGCCTGGCTAGGGTGGGGATTTGCAGATAAATCTGACTTCTTCTTGTTACACACAGAAAGGAAAGACTGAGAAGTGCAGTAGCAGTATCACCAGGCCCTGAACAGAAACAGAGCTGAGAAACACTGAGGGAAAGACGAGGAAAGGCAGAGCATGCGAAGAGAAAGAAAACATCATCAAAGTGGCAGCAGAGGAAGATACTCTCACAGTACTTCCCAGAGACCAGCAGGGAAACAGGGGGGCTGCTCGGGGAGGTGGAGAAGGGGAACAAAGAGAGACTACACGTGCCAAGGGGATGGGAAGAGAGTTCCCTAGGGATTACAGTCCTGTGTGCAAATCTGGAGCAAACAGAAGCCTTATTTTTGGAGTAGTTAACAGTTAGAAGTCACACAAGAGGAGGGTAATGACAAGACCCCGCTATCACCCCAAAGAAAAAGAGACTGAGCCCATCTGAACACAAACAGGACAAATTTTTGGGAAACACTGGTAGTTCCAATGCTTGAAATGAGTGCCCATGCTCACTGCTGGCACAGTTGGTCAGGGGATTTCACAGCCAACTGTGAGCATCATGAGCTCCTCTCACAACATATGAAATGCAACTGAAAGGCACTGAGACTGAACAGGATTTAAAAACATGGTTTCAGATAAATATTAATAAACCAGGGAAGTTTTCCCCAGCAAAAATTGCTCTTCCTTTCCAATAGCCACTGCTGCAGGCAGGCTACAGCACTGCTCCACTGCAGCATGCCATGGTTTTTGCAGCTGCCACGCAGAGATGGACTCTGCACAGCAGGGATGTACTCAGCTCATTATTTCCAGGAAATCAGCTACTTGGTACAATACTGTGATGGTCCGAGAAGTGACATCACCCTCAGCCCCAACAAAGATTGAACTGCAGAGTAATTGCTCTTTTCCTGCTTGTAAACAAGTGTAAAAAATAGCTGCAGCTGGTTTGTTTAAGTTGCTCCTAAATTCTGTGTCCTTCTCTATTTCACTGCTGCTTTGCAGACAGCTGTAAGAAACACTTCTGCAGCTCATACTGAAGAACAAAGTAAAGCCAACTAGGTCAACAGGAAGATTATAATTCAGGCAAAACACCCAAAACAATTGCAAGAGACTTCTGCTGGGCAGGCTCCAAGCAGAGCAAACCCTTACCAAGCAGGGTGAAGGCATGCCTGGTTTTCTCAAAGTCAGCAGCGTCATCCACACCATTGATGGACGTTTCACCTCCCTGAGAAATGTAGAAAAAGTCTTCAGCACAGGCTAGGAAAGAAGAAAGAGGAGATATATCAACAAGCAGTATTCATCTCCTGGAATATGGACTGGGATGCTCCCCAAAGGGCACTCGTCTCCTTCAAACCACAGTTACTTAGAAATGGATGAAGCAGAACCTTGATAAGTGACTGCAACTGCTTCTTGCAGTGATGAAACCTCTTCCCCATTCAAAGCAAGTTCAGTCAGGCCAGTGCTATGGTATATTTGGTATTCTAATAACTGCTCCATCGCAGAGGTGAAGATTATTTCAGATACTGAGGTTACTGCTTTCAATACTTTTTCATCCTGTTTAACACACCCATGACTGATTCAGATACTTTAACACCTTCCCCACATAAAGCCTTAAACCTTGGTAGCAAAGGGAATGGAGAATGGCTTGCAGTGCCAGCGTTACACCATGTAAACATCTGTGCTTCAGCCAAGTTATTTCAGGACAACAACAACAAATCGTGTGGAGACAGAAAGGCATTTCTAATGCAAATACAACAAAAAGAGAGCACAGGGCTTATATGCACTTTAAAAAGCTGCACATGCAATCACCCCTCCTTAAAACAAGGGCTTACTTGAGGCCAATACCATTAAGGTGTGCACCCAAGGCTGCTGGGCTGAGTCCTGGCACAGCCACCCCCCATTCCACCCAGAATGGGTTCTCAGCATCAGACTCAGCCTGTTTTGAACTGGGTAGGAGTGACTTGCCAAAAAGCATTCACTAACACAAACATATTTCCCAAGCATCGTGAATGTAAAGAGAAAAAGCCTACTGTGTGTTCCACATCAGCCTACTGGTAACCTTTAAAATCACTGCAATCTGCAATTTTTGACTCAAACTGCCACCAGAAGCTCCCCATCCCTTCTCTGCCCTCCCGCAGGCTTTTGCATTAGCTGTACTTCCAAGCTGTAAAGAAAAACATCTAATTCTTTTTGGCACACAAAGCCCGGGGACTCGGAGGTTTTGGTAATTCTGCTCATTGATGGAGCACCAGGAATAAGGGGCAGAAAACGCTGATTGGGGTCAGGCAGACAATGTCCATCCTGGTCACCCAGCACAACAGGAGCTCACCCAGCCCATGATGGAGCACATCACATTAACAACTTGCTGTTGCTGCACATCACCGTGCAAGAGGTATCCAGGGCTGGTGGTGGTTGATGGGACTGCAGCACCAGCTTCCAGTTTTAAACATCCACATGGAGATCTGTTTCTGCCTCAAGTCATCTCTGGCATAACTGACTCCAATCTTTACCTTCCAATATATGTATAATAACTTTAACAACGACCTAAACCCTTTGACTCACTGCAAACAATTCAAACACAGTCCTGCTTTGCACCACTGCCGAGGCATCGTAAAATCAGACACCACACTTTGAAAGACACCTGCACTGCACACCAACATTTTAAGTCAAATATTTACCTTCTAGTTTCGGATTAAGCCTTTAGGATCACTCTGACTGAGCAACACTGGTTTGCTCTGCTGGACTCACATACATTTAGAGACTCTCTCTGTTTTTGAGAATTTTACAACATACAAGACAGTAATGACAACTCTTTGTATGTGCAAGGGCCAAAGGAGAAGCAAACTCTCTTATTTTTTATAAGGAAAAATATACATCCTCCACCATGTCCAATAAATGGTGGATTTTCACAGCAAGATAAACCTTGTTTTGTGTAAGTCTTGGGGAGAAAAGGCTGACATGTAAGGTAAGTACAGCTCACACGAGGAAATAAATTTGAGTTTTGACTAGTCATCTTGAGATACAGGCTATTAAATCTGAGGCAAAGCTGGAAATTAAAAAAGAAAACATATCACTCAAGAGAAAAAAAAAAAAATAAGTGAATTGTGCATATCTGCACTCACAGAACACTGCCCAGCATTAGCAATTCCACAGGTCAAGGCAGAGCCTCCATCACGCCAACAAGAGCAGCCCACAGCACCCACATCTCTGACAACACCAAATTTTGATTAAAAATGACCCATGAAGCCTCCTTTCGGGCCCTGGCACCCACTGCCTCCTACACCACCAGCTGTTGCCACTGAACTGAGAAGCTGAGAGCCCCAGTCACAACAGCATAAAGACGTTTTTGCATTTTGGATGATGCACCAGCAGAGCAGAGACCTCTCAGCCTACACTATTACCAGTCACCACCAATACAGACGATGCTTTCAGAGAGCTGTGATGAGCAAGACTGGTGTTTCCTCCGACCCACACGTTCCCAGGATGAGAGAGGTGGTTGCACAGCTGGAGCTCTCACACATCAGCTCATATCCCAGTCTGAGCTGAAAGCATTTGTGTCTGCATTTTAAGATGCCAGCAGACATCACCATTACCTGGGGTATCTTTGCAAAAATGAAGCACACAACTACATGGCAGCAACTCTTGGAAGTGCTCAAAGTGACGTGCTCTGTGTGGGCAATATGCCTACAGTGACACAGGAAGTCTGAAACACAAAGCTCAGAATTACTCAGAAACTGAAAACTCTCTCTTGGATCTTGCATTCCTCTGCAGCCAGGATGGAAAACTCTGTGAGAGATTGCTGGGATCACAGCCTGCCTTGCTTGCTCACTGTTTTAAATACTGAAAAAACCTATTTTAAGCCTTGCTACTTTTTCTAAGCAATATCAAATATTCAAGATAAAAGGATAATTAAAGTACATCTCTGCACCCCCTGCTGCAAGTGCAAACCCTCTGAATCAGGTGTCCTACTGAGGTTTTGCTGCAAATTCTGGGAAAAGAACTCCAACCCATTCCAGGACTTAACCACTGAAAAAAATACAATGGATTCAAAGCACACTCCTGCCAAGACTTTGGTCAGACCCTACTCACAGTGGGTTTAAAATACACATCTTTACGCAAGCTTGGTACAGCATTAACACATGATCTCCCTGCATCAGCTGGCATCTACCAGGGCACATAGTTTCACTGTGGTTCTGCTCTAAATTTTTATAAAATCCTACAATGGTTTGGGTTGGAAGGGACCTTAAAGACCATCCTGTTCCAACTGCTGCCACGGTCAGGACACCTTCCACCAGCCCAGGTTGCTCCAAGCCCTGCCCAACCTGGCCTTGGACACTTCCAGGGATCCAGGGGCAGCCACAGCTTCTCTGGAAACCTCTGACAGGGCCTCCCCACCCTTATCCTGGGTGCCACATCCGTGGTGATGGCACAAGCAAACCTGTGCACCATCAAGGAGAAGAAGCCCTTCAAGCTCATCTCCCTTCACCTCTTCCCACTGCACAGGTACATGTGACCTCACCAATGACCTGAATTTCTAACCTCACCATGTTTTCCTGTTGCCATCGGATCTAGGCAACAGCCACCAGCGCACAGGGAGGTTCCAGTACTTACTTAGTCCGAGATCTTTGAATTCTGGAAGGCTTGAGGAGGCACAGAGCTGATAGAAGATGTGGTAGTTGCGCTCATGCTCTGCCTGTGGGGAAAGTTCTGAGTTACCAGAGGCACAAAGAGGTTACAGCGATGCTCCCACCCTCAGCCTGGTGCCCACTGAGCCCAGGGCCACACTGATCCCATTCCCTGTTTCCCACTGTTGACCCCTCCTCAGTGCCACCAGGACAGGGACCTTTTCTTGCCACCTGGGAGAAAGGAGGTGCCAAGCCTTGCCCTGTCCAACACACATTGCCCATCTTGCAAAGAAAACAAGTGACTCTGTATTACCTTTCACATCTTATCCCTCTCTGGGATAACCCATCTAAGTTAGCCAGCAAGCACTGTAGTGCAAACCTACAGTAATGTAAAAAAAAAGGTGGCCTATTCTCATGGCTTCCCAAAGTTGTTAATATTTTAGGGGGAGTGTATTTGGTGCCTTTTGTGTGTGTGTGTGTGTGTGTTGTGTGTTTAAGGACAAAAGTTTTGCAGGTGCTTCTGAGTTACATCTCAAGCCCAAACCAAGAAAGCTTGTCCTGAGCCCTGCACAAGAAACCCAAGGGACGTGCCAGGGCAGAGACATCAGCCTCCTCAGCCTCTCCTCCATCTCCAAAACTGAAGACAGTTGCCTGCAATTTGTGCTCCCTGGCTCTTTAGAAGGCTCAGCAAAAACAAAGCAGCTGCCCAGAGAAAGGTTTTCCATCCCTGCCCAGCAGCCACGCCAGCAGCAGTGATCCCTCCTCCAGGCTCCAGCCTCAGGCTCACACAGGGAAGGACCCAAGGCCAACTAAAGAGTCTCCCAAGTACAAATTATCCCAGAATGAGGGTCATCACGTTGGGATCATGAAGAACAACTGCAAACGACTGAGCCTGAAAGACACTTCTGGGAGCTGTGTCTACCAGGAGAGCAATGGACAATAGGAAACGACCTCAAGTTGTGCCAAGGAAGGTTTAGATTGGATACTAGGAATGATATTTTCACCAAAAGGGTTGTCCAGCCCTGCCACAGCTGCCCAGGGCAGTGTTGGAGTCCCCACCCCTGGGGGAATTTAAAAGCTGTGTGGATGTGGCACCTGGGGACATGGGTGAGTGGTGGCCTTGGCAGTGCTGGGGTACAGTTGGACTCAAGGATCTTAGCAGTCTTCTCCAAACTAAATGTGATTCCAGTTTTAAAGGGATTCTTTTTAGCTCATAGAAAAGTCCCAGACTATTGAATTCCCAGAGAACAGCACCCAAAAGAAACAAAAGAAGGAAAAAACCCTTCAGCTGCTCACCTGAAACACAACCCGAGATTTTTCCAACAGATATGTCCTTATGTTGGCACCAATGATGTGGTATCTTTTATCAAAGCCAATCTCAATGTATTTCCCAAACCGACTGCTGTTGTCATTCCTCGTTGTTTTAGCATTTCCAATGGCCTGCATGAAAGAAAAATCAAACGTTAATTTTTAATTTAATTTTTGAAAAGCTTTAAACATTTAAATTTGTAATCAGTGTTATATAAACAGTCACAGGGGGATTTAAGGAAAAGCCCTTCCCAGATGCAGAAGGCAGAGCAACAGTGTGACTTCGGGGAGGATTCTTCACTGAAAATGTGGGTTTTAGGATTTTTAGGGAAGAAAAATGTGTATGAACAGCAATGAGTGTCCATACAGTAATTAAATCATCTACATCCCAACAGCCTCAACACTCCTGTTTTGTTTTACAGGACGCCCCCACCTTTGTCCAGAGTCAACACTGACAGGTTTCCTGGAGGGGTCATAAGCAGTGAAGCCCTGAAAGAGGGAGGGAACCAGCTGCAGTCCATTTCCAAATGTTCAGGCTCTGGCACATGGATTTGATGACTTGGCAGAGTCTCTCTGTGCCTCTCCAGTGCTGACCTGCCACCTCCTGGGCAGGTAACGCTGCCACACACTGTGGCAGGAGGGAGAGGAGGGAATCCAGCCCAATCTACAAACATCAGGGGTGTATCACTGCAAACATGGGAATCCAAGAAGGAGCAACTAATGGTGATGCAAGAGGGCCAGAGAAAAGCAATATCCCTTCATGGGGTACAACAGCTCATTTTTTACCAACATTCCCCTGTCCTGAGATGATGAGCTTCAAGCAAGCACAGAAAAAGCGATGGAAGGGAAGGGACACGTACAGGGAAGATCCCTCAGGCCCCTCTAGAAGGCTGTCTGCCTTTCCCAGGCAATCCTTGCAGATCACCTTTACCTACATGCAGCTCCTGGGGAACGCACCAAGCACTGACCAAGAATCACGGCATTACCTACAGCATCACCCAAAACTTTTGATCACAGGACCCGACGCCTCCAGTTGCATGTGATGGAGATCCCCAGGGAATTACTCTGTGTAGTACAGCCACCAAAGAGGCTGCTGCACATGCAAAGCTGCCTGACCCCTCAGCTGCTCCACCCTTCCACCCAGGGCTGAGGGCTCCTTGGCCTGACGGCCTCAGCATCACACCCAGAGCAAGCCCTGCCTGCTACCTGCCCTATGCAACCACCACCCACACAACTCCTCTTCTAGCTAAGGCACCTTCTTTCCCCCAGGCCCATTTAACTTCAGGTTTTTCTGCAAACCCAGCAGGTTATTTTTATGTTTTTTCCTGCATAGGCAATGTTCTCATCAATTTCCAATAAAGACAGGCAGGTTGCCCGGCCACAGCACTTAGAAATTACAGCCAGAACAGAGCACAGGCAAGAAAATTAGAACAATAAAATTCTGGGGTCATACAGAGGAGTAGCGTGCACTATGAATTTTTCCCATGCGTTGTTTTAGGTGTCCCCTGGGTATTGCAGCTACATTTCACAGAGGCAGAGGAGATGGGTGAGGAAAGGAGTACACCACCACGAAGGAAACTATCTGCAGAAGACCACCGTGTCCCCTGCCAGCTGTACACCTGTGTGGCTTTTCTTACTGATCACCTGCACCGTCACTTGTTTTAACATTCCAGCTCACACCCCACATCAGGCAGCACGGTGCTAGATCACATGTGCTGCCTCTCAGGCTTGGTTTTTATCCTGGATCAGACACGACCTCCGTGTCTGTGAGACAATTTGCCCATGAGGCACCGCAGTGGGAAGCCTCCCTGAAGGTTAAGCCAAGCCTAAGTTTAAGTGCAGGACAATGCTGTACTCCCTAGTTCCTGCCTTAAAAAAAAAAAAAAAAGCATATGACTCTGAAGTCCTTAGCTGACTTCGGAAAAGCCCAAATCTTGTCTTCATACTGACTGGGGTATTTTACAAATGCCTCCAAAATGTTGCACTCTGACTCCAAAATCTGTTTGGAAAACAGGATTTAGGCACTCAAACATTTATTTTCAGCAGCTGGCCACAGTGCAAGGAAAACAAAGCTACTTTTCCTTTCTTTTATATTTACATAAGGAATTATTTTCCTTCAGAGCAGGGATTTTCCTATAATAGGACTTTTAATTCCCCCATGCAATTGATAGCAACAGAAAATTAGCAAAAATAAAACTGTATTAAAGTATGTCAAATAGATTAATCCCTTTCTTTTCTATACCATGCCTACACAATTAAAGAAGATTAGGAGGTACCATGCAGTGACAAAAGGAGGAAGATGGCAAAATACTAACGGTGCCAGCAGCACCGCTTGGGTTCTCCTCTCTGGAGCCCCATCAAAGCCCAGCTCCTGGAGCTGTGCTGGGGTTGCACAGGTTCAGCTTTAAGACCATCAAATACAGGAGCAATTGGTGTGGGTTAAATTCAGGCTGTCAGTGTATTTCTGCATTTTCAATCCAGCTCAAGGACGCTGTGATGCCGCAAATCAGATCTGGCTCACAAGCCCCCGGGGTTCTCACCGTTTTTGTGACTTCTGGAGTCACACAGTGATCACTGCAAGCAGGGCAAAGGAAATTACGTAGATTTTACCTCCATAATTGGGCTCGATGCGAGGACTTTGGCCTCAATGTTGGTCTTGCTGGCAGAGCCCCCGACGGTGGCGAAGAAGCGCATGGCGTATTTGGCAGAGACCGTCTTCCCCGCGCCCGACTCCCCGCTTACAATGATGGACTGGTTCTTCTCATCCCTGTTGAGGCAGAGGAGTCAAACTTTTGTAAGCTAATCTGTTTCATTGCTCACCGTTTGCATCATTGGTCCCTCACCTTGTTGCCACCTGCGTTACGGACGCTGCATTTTCTCTGGATTTACAAAAGCCACAGTGAATAATACACAGCTGTGACACATCTCACAGAAAACACAGAGGACACTGGACATCTCCAGAACACCTCCAGAGGCCTGCAGAGACACTGGCAGATGAACCCCTGCGTGAAGCACTGCTGCTGCCTTCACCCCTAGACCAAGTATCCCAGTGCTGGGAAGCCAATTCCTTTCACGCCACAATCCCAAACCTCTGCTGCTTGGATTCTGCCTGGAGAACTATTAACTGGCATTGGCTGAGTCTCAGCTTCTAGTATCATACATTTAATTTTTCCCTCCAATGCCTTCACTCAAGATTGAGTGAAGATTGAGATTCTGCCCAATAAAGCACGAGCAATTCATTGTGACACTTGCTCAAGTAGCCTTTAAAACACAGATACCCAAAAAGCTTCCTGTATGCTCAAAATGTGTTAAAAATATTGCAGTTGTAAAATCTAGCACCCCTACAATTAGGACACAGAAGAAATAACTTGATTTCCTAAGCAGTTACACAAATATCAATATTTTCACACAGCTCCCAACATCTGGCTACAACATTGACAATAATAATACAAAGCATGTTTTTGACATCAAGCCCACACCAGATACTCATCTCCAAATCCTCTCAAGTTGTCAAGTCATTGATCTGAAGCGCAGAGATACTTCTGGGAAACAAGGGGTAACAAAAAGAGGATAAATAGTTTAAAAACAATCCACGGCAGACATCACTATGTCCAGTTTGTTCAGCTCCTGAAGTTCTGCGGAGCAAAATAGTTTTTTAGAGGGGCTAGCTCATTAACAGAAGGATCAAGCAGCCTGACACTCTCCAAGCACAGAACAAGTTTCCTTACGAAAGGATACAGGTGTCCCAGCTCCAGGATAGCAATATTCAAGCAAATACACACCAGAACTTTGGGTGTGCACATATGAAAATGCTTTGCAGGGGTGGGAAGCGTTATCCTGGCACCGAGGGGCTGATGCAAACCCTTCTGCAGCCATGATGGGAGCAGATGCCACTGTCCCATCCCTGGGCTGGTGCTGGGTAGTGGGAGCAGTTCTGCCCCTCCAGGCTTCTGATGTCCTCAGAGCCCAGGTAAACCACCAGGTACCTCCAAGACAGATCACCAGGTACCTCCAGGGCAAACCACCAGGTACCTCCAGGGCACAGGACGTTGCACAGGGAAGCAGTGGGTGCATCACCTCATGTAGCTTTTGAGCCTTGCACAGAGCACAAACTCATCCAAAAGCCTTTCTCTACTTTCGAAATGAATCCTTTACACAGAAAAAAAACCCTTGCACAAGTCATCATTAAACACCCAGCCCTTCCCAGCACGGGTGCACAGCATGGTACCCACTAGATACATCCCAACAATTAATCAGTTTATTGTGTTTGAGCTGCAAGGCATAGAAAGGGCCAAGAAGACAGTAAGAGGAGCTCATTTTCAGAACTGTATCCTTCTAGGCAAAGATTTGCTGGCTCCAGGACTAAGTAGCTCTGCTGCAGTGGGATTCACTCCCCAGGGTATTCTCAGGACACTGCAAACCCAGCACCTCCGCAGCTTGGCTGTGGACTTCAGGAAGGAGAGAGTTTTCACTGCAGGATTTGCTATAAGATCCCCAAATACCCAAGCTATTGGGTAAGCTGTAAGAATATAATTGAGTATGTTTTTAAGTAAGACCAAATTAAGCTTCCCAGACTCTGCCTGGTTTTCATGAATCACAGCTGAAAGCAGGCACAGAAAATCCTATATATGAGTACAACAACCTTGCAGTTCTCTTGACACCAGGAAACACCATAAAAACACATTTCAATTTAAGATATCAGTTCAAGTTTATACCAGCAGGAGATGAGAACAGAGTCTAAATCATTGCCACATCCCACTTCTACAATTCCAACCTAAACACACCACACTGTTACTTTCCTCCACTGTCAGGCACATACACCTTGGTCCTTCCAGGCTCACGGTAACTGGTCTGAGAAAAAAAACACCTCAGCCAAGTCCCACGTCACATTTTGGTGCAAACCACAACTTTGTGACACTTTCAGCAGGAGAAGAACAACACCATAATTTCCAGCTCTATACTTTTCAGGGCACCGATTCACAAAGCGTATCTTAGTCCATCCCCTGGCCAGTTGCACTGTTGTCCTGGGCATCAACCAGCAGGAGGCCAAGAGGAACCACCAGCTACTCCAGCTGTCAGGGAGTTAATGCAGAAACACAGGTTGGGAGCTGAGCACAACCTCACCCAGGCGCTCAACATCCTGGAGCCAGCATTCCCGGTGACTCACCCTGGGTGGGAACAGCCTGGTCTTGCTAAGTCATGGTGTCGTGCCCTCCCTGTGTCTTGGCAAAGCCACCATGACTCTCCCACAGCCAGCTGGCAGGATCCAGGCACGGGGCTGCCAATGCACCAGTCTCACCCCTTTGGCCTTCCACAGGTGTGCAATAAAACTCTTCTTGTAGCGCGAGCCGTCAGACACACGAAACCAACAGAGGAAAACCAGGGCCAACTCCATGGTGAGAAAGGAAAACTAGCCACCCAACCCAGAAGAACACTGGAAACAGCCACAGCAGTGGTTCCTGGGACAGCTGATGGCAGTGATTTGGCATGGTTTATCTCTGGTTAAAGTAGGTGAAAAGCTTCACCTCTGCTCTGATCATTTTCAGTGAGGTGCACTGCCAGTCTCTCCTCCCAGGTGACAAGGGAAAGGACAAGAGGAAACAACTTCAAGTCGTGCCAGGGAAGGTTTAAAACAGGTACGAGGGAAAATCTCTTCACGGAAAGGGCTGTCAAGCCCTGGCACAGGCTGCCCAGGGAAGTGGTGGAGTCCCCATCCCTGGAAGCATTAAAAAATATGTGGATACGGCAACTGAGGGCATGGTTTAATGGTGGACATGGTGGTATTGGGTTGATGGCTGTACTCGATCTTAGATGCCTTTTCCAAACTTAATGATTCCATGATTCATGGAAAACCACTCGCTGAGGTCCCATGTTGGTCATCAGAAGGATGCAATGGAAAAAATTCATGTCAGCTACAAAGGAAGTGGCAGACAGAGGTTTTGGCATGGGCTGCAAGGGTGGGTGAACAGATTATCTTCCATCAGAGGTGAGGGAGAAGCAGGAGAAAGAAGTGACAACCAAAATCCCTGGAAGTCTGCAAATGCAAAGTTGGTGTGGCCTAAAATTCTCAAACTTACTTGAGAATTTTTGTTTCTTATCCTTCTCTTCATGACAGGTACAGCCCTAACAGCACATTTCAAAAAGCATATCCCCACCACTCTTCTCCTTAATCCTGAAGATGAAAACTCCATCATTCTTCAGGGAGTGGGTCTCCAGCTGAATGAAGCCAAAATCTCAAATAATCTCAAAATCTCATTACTTGGCATGCAGACAGCACAGCTACAAAGTAATATTTGATAACCTACTTTATTCACAATTAATATTAAGATTCACATCAAGACTTCTTGATATCAAATCTGATCTCTCTCATTACTTCTCCCTGTCAGCTAGTGGGGTGTGTCTGGATGGAGAAGGCAACCCTAGTGGGAGCCCAGCCAAGGAGCAACCCAGACCCACAGTCCCCATGGGGTTCAGATCCCATCATAGAATGACTTTAAGTGGCATTCTGAGTTGTTATTCCTCCCTCTGCCTTGTCCCTTTTAAAAAGAACCATCATTCTCCAAAGGACACTGAACATGGTGATAAAAACACGGCCAACACCACTTACTGCTACTGCAGCCACTCTGACAGGTCACATTTTCCCAGAGTTTCTCATTATTTTGCCCTAATGGCTGATGTGCTGCAACAAGAAATGGGCCAGGCGGGCTCTCCATGGCACAAAAAACTTCTGGATTATATTAATAACATAAAGTAAAAAGAAAGATGCTTTTTAGCAGGCCACTCCATCTCCTGCATTTGCAGTAATGTGTCTTTTCTGTTGTGTTTTTTGGGGGTTTTTTGTTTGTTTTGGTTTGGGGTTGTTTTTTTGTTTTGTTTTGTTTTGTTTTTTTCTTGGATATAATGCATGTTCAGGCATTTCTTTTCCAACTTCAGGAATAAAGGCTGCAGAGACTTTCCCTTCTTCAGTGTAAAAGTTAACCAACTGCTGGTGCCAGCAGGGAAGGATTGATGAACCCCACGGAGCAGTTGGTAGCAAACAGGATGCTCAGAGAGAAGAAATGGTTAAAACCAGGCAGGGGGTGTTTGTATCCAGCATGGAATAAAAGCCACTGAAATGTCTGGCCACTGTGCAGGCACAGTGTGCAACACAGCTGCTTGAAATATAGTCAATTTTAGCAGCACCAGCACAGAAGAAAATTATTATGGTAAAAAAGCCTGAATAAAGTGAAACTTTAAGGGTGAATACCGTCTCTGCTGCAGCATGGCACTGCTTGTCACATCTCCTGCTGGGGCTACTTCGGGATTGCCTTTAGGATTAGGCTTAGGGGATGGTCAAACCCTGGCAATAGCAAAGGGTTTGAACCCAAGGATGGTTCCCACCACCCCTCTGCCCGTCAAGAAGAGACAGGGGACATCTCAGTGCAGATGTATATATCCAGTACCCTAAGTCTTCAGCAACACTGCTTGAAAACAGGCATATTTGAAGACAATGCCCCAAATGTTCTCCAGACGTGTACCACTAGTCAGCATTTTTCCTAAATCAGCTTTCTTGAATGCAATAATCCAAACCCATGAGTGGGGACCTAGAACTTCTAGGGTTTGTTTTCATAGTCACCCCTTCAGAAAACCACCACTGGGCACCAGCAGCTTAACTGCACAACTTCATCTTGATTTCTGTAGCGGGAGCAAAACCAGCTGCACTAAAAACACAGCTCTTCCAGGAGGGAAAAATATCTGATGCAAACAAAGGCGGAGCCAGACCCTGTG